CTTTCTTTCGCGGGCACCTGCTTATGTTGGGCTCCAAGAAGTAGGCAGGTGGTGAACGCAGGTTTCTGAGTGATGGGAAACCATGTGAGCCACAATCAAAACCCGGGATAGATGAATGTTAGTAAGGAACAATCCCAACCATGAATAGCTGCGGAATTCCGCCTTCTTAATTCTTGAAGCATGGTTCTGGGTCGACCGTTTTAGTACTGGGTTTTGATTATGACTCATGCGCATTTTTCTTTTTCACCAGGCTTTCCTTTGGGCTCACCGGCCCACGGCAAATTGCGCCAGGACGCCTCAGCCACGGTGTCCCAGGAGCGCTGGCCGCCTTTTTTTAGGTCATGTTGCATGCCACCTTTGTTGGAGTGAAGTGGAGTGGAGTGGACACGTTCTTTGACAATGAGCCCAGGTTGGTTTCCCACGTCCAAGGAGATTTCGGCTGATTTTCACATTAATCCCCCCCCCCCCCCGCCTGAACTCTGCCAACAGTCATTTGGAACCCCTCAGTAGGACATGGCTCTCCAATACTAATTTAGCATTGCCGATTTGCCACGATTTAATCTCAGATTCCCAGTACTCATTTAGAATTGCCATGTCTATTTCCAGTATTGCAAGGTTTAATCTCAAATTCCTTCTTAATTTAGACTTGCCAAGATGAACCACCCTTCAAGAGTAAAAGGCTACGGCTGTGACTTAAACAAGAAGATTCAGCAGGATCAGGGGCTCCAGACGGTTCTTGCCGCGCTGTCGTTAAGCAAGGTGTCTCAAAGTTGATGGGGTTTCGATTCCTTCCTGGTTTTAGTTGGTGGTTTTTCAGGTTTTTCTCTACCAGTTGGAAACCCATCTATTTCCAACCTAAAAGGACTTTAGGCCTGGAAAAGCTTTCGAGGATCTGGGGCTTCCTCCGACAAAGAAACGAATGAAGACCCCAAAGTCCCATTCAGGATCAGAACCTCTCACGGGCAAGCCGCTTTGTGTGACTCTTGCGTGCTTCTAAGACTGCATTTCTCCGCCTTTTTTTGAAAAGAAAGCACAGGGTTTCTCACAACTTTGGTTTGGGGACCACTTGTTGATCCAATCTGGGACCTGGGAAAAAGAATTGGCCAAGTCTTTGATCCGGCGCTTTCTGATTTGGTCGGAAGAACCACTTTCTATCAAGGACCATGACAGCTGCAGGATCCATCGGGAAAACACACAATTCTACCTGAAGGCCACCTGCTGTGCCATTTTCTGGGCCGTCCGTTCCTGAGAAATGTGAAGCATGCCATTCACCCAGATTGTTTCATGGACTACCCTCTGGGAAATCAGTCCTGATTCTGCCAGGGGCTTCCCGAATCCCGGAAATCTGGTCTGCCACCACATTGCCAAAGGCTATCTATGCTTCTCTTCCCTACGTGGCCTAAGGTTCCCTGGTGGTTTTACCAGAACATGGCTTTGCGGCAGGCTACAGCGCGTCGAAACAAACGGGGTTGCCAGCCTTCGGAATGCAGGGAGGAATTCAGGAGCACGGTTGCTCCAAAGGTGGCGCGTGGATGGGACGTTTGTCCTAGCCCCCCCCCCCATTTTTTCCTCTGGGGTTTCGTCGGGGGATCGGGGGAGCCAAATCTTGAGGGGAGTCCATGGGGCATAACCTATGGCGAGCCATTTTGGGGTGGAACATCCATTTGCCACCTTTAATGTTCATCAGGGGCTAAACCTGGGTTTTGACCCACCAGTTGAATCTTTTCCTCGCGGACAAGCTCAGGAGCCTACGGAGCCAGTGGAGCCAGTGGAGCCAGCGGAGCCAGCGGAGCCTACGGAGCCAGTGGAGCCAGAGAAGCCTGCGGAGCCGAGCGAAGCGAGCGACGGGCGCGGCATCCCAGCGACTGACCCGCGGTTTTGGATAGGAAAGAACATGGGGATGGCCAGGGACTTTACTTGGCGGTTTCCAGCCATCCGGTTCATAAGGTTCTTTGTGATTTTTCGTTGGTTTGGCGCTTGGGTCTCTTGGTGGTTTCCAGCCATCCGGTTCCTTAGTTGTTTTCTTGCTTTTTTCGCTGGTTTGGCGGGGACATGCGACGGGAATCCCACCTCTGCTCTCGACTTTTTGGGAGAACTTTGAACGCGGAAAGCGGGGAGAGCGGCGCTCGTGTGCGTTCCAAATGGCCCAAGGTGAGTCCTGGACCCTCAGACTGACCAATAAATTTGAGGCAAGAACCCATTTTGTAAGGGATTCGAGAGGGTTTTCTCGTAACCCCAACTTGCAAAAACCAAAAACGGCGGCTCGCGCCTGCCGTTTCCCCTCCGCTGAAAAACAAATCCACCCGAGGCAGTCCTTCATCGGGCCAGAGAGCCGGGAGCTCGGACAACTCGGTGACCAAAGCGCGGAAAATTCTTAGGGAGACTTCTGCGGTCATTCGGGATGAATGAAAGACGACCTCACACGACCCCCAAATGGTGGTGTATGTGGGGAATAGACCCCCAAACCACCTTATTTCAGGTTGGGCGAAACATTATTCACCCAAGAACTATTTTGACCGTGTTCTGGGGGTCCAAGTCAGAACATGCGGCTCCAACTTTAAGCCACTTCAACCTCGCTGGAGTTCGGCTTCGAACTTTTCAGGAGATCGTACGTGAGAAGCAAGCCGAAATTCGGGTGAAGTCGAGAACTCCTGCAGGCACTTTCCCTTGGAGGGCCATTTTTTTTAAAGGATGTTTTTTTTGTTTTTTGTTTTAGGATTTCCAAAAAGTGGGACCCCTTTCCCTTTCCCCCCAAAAAAGTCCAAGAAGTGGGGCCCTTTCTGCCCGCCCAAAAAAAATGATTGCAAAGGCAGGGAGGGGACGGAACCTGAAAGCAAGTCTTGTATCACCCTATGGCTTGCGGAATGGAGGCCCCAAGCCCCTACTCGGACCAGTTTTAAAGGAGAGGCCCAAGACCAAACTCTCTGAGACAAAGCAGTGCGACCAAATGAAAGCTCCTGGTTTCCTTTATGGCTCTTTGGTAACGGATCTATAACTTTTTGGGAAACAGTATATTTTTCATTGAACCCACACAACATTTTCTTTGTTTTGCGGAGGGGTAAACAGCAACCAAGTGTTTGTCTTTTTCTCAGATATTCAAAATGACAAACTATGAGCCGAACATGTTAGGCCCTGAGTTTAGACGATGTTAGCACCAGCCTCCCTTGCTTTTGGTACGTACTACAAGGGCTTGAATAGTCAACTTGGGTTTACGGAACAACAACAAAAACAGTTTAGTCATCATCACAAGATCAAAGTGTTGGTGATTTGTAATTAGTTCGCGCATCACATCACCCCAACCCAGAATCCCTTTTGGGAGGAACATACTCTAGAGTGAAGGATCTTCTAAAATTGGACACCCCCCCTGTGAAGCAATCAGCTTTCAGTGACCCCGAGGACCAACTTTGCAGCCCTTGTCAAAAGGGTTTGCAGCGTGGGGTTCAGTGCAGGCTTACTAATCGTTTAGAGAACCCCGCGGACCATTTGAGCACCCCACAACCCCATGTTAGCCTCGACTTCCCTTTCCTTTGCTACTCAAAGATCAACTTTCTGACAGTTGGCAAGGTCAACATGATGAACCTGACAATCAAAGCACCATCAATTGAAGCGGAATTTCCTTCCGTGAAAATCTGCAGCTGGGTTGGTTTTCACCCTCCCTTCTTTTGGGAAGGAAGCGTTCCTCAGACGAGAGACCGGGGGAGGGTTCGTACAGTGGACGCGCGTGTATCTCACAACGTTTGCTTGGCTTTGCTGCCCCAAAAAAGGAGAACACGCTCATGTTCATTTGAGGACCTGAGACCCACCGAGACCAGGCGTGGGCTCCGCGGGATTCGAGGAGGCGGCATTGCTGCAGGCGGCTGTGGGCGCAGACATCCTGGAGGAGGCAAATGGCGCGGGGGTGGGCGGGGCGGGGTGGGGTGGGGTGTGGGGTCTGTGGCGTGGGTGGGTGTGGGTGGGTGTGGGTGGGTGTGGGTGGGTGTGGGTGGGTGTGGGTGGGTGTGGGTGGGTGTGGGTGTGTGTGGGGGTGTGGTGGGGGTGTGTGGGTGGGGTGGGGGTCTCGTCAAAAGAAGACAGACGCGATTGATTGATTCATGGGTTGAGCGCCGTTCACGTTCCCCCGTCTTAAATCGGAACATCCGAAAGTGGCAATTTGAACGGACACCACCAGTAAATTGCAACCTTTGAAGAGGAAATCCAGTGGCCAAAGCAAGCAAAGAAGGTGTTTGTTAGGGGGTGGTTGGGGTGGCAGTCGGCGAGCGGCCCAAGGAAACCGCTGCGCCATTTGGTCAAAGGAAGTTTAGAAGGAAACTTCCGAGTTACGGAAACTAATTGAAAGCTAGCTTGTGAAAGGAAGGTAGTAGAAAGAATGAGATGCGCGTGAGAGAAAACATGCGTGCGCGTGTGGCGGGGGAATAGAAATCGCGAAAAAGAGCAACCCTTTGCGGGTTTGGGGGTGAGGCGCTGGCTGAAAGCGAAAGCTACCCCGATCGCGGCGTCTGACGGACGACGGTCTCGGGACGGTCTCGGACTGTATTCGGAACGGGCTACGGGCTTGGATCCGTGACCATTGGAATGATACGGCACCGTTTCGCAACGCCGTTTTGTGTGGCAGGCGCAGCACTTTGTTGATGGGGTGCTCAGATTTCGTGGCAGGCGCAGCACTTTGGCACCCAGGGACGCGGCGGTTGCGAATCGAAAGAAAAAGAGGAAGAGAGCTTCTCTATAGTTGCTATATGTTTTGAAACTTCCGCAGCCCGGCCGGCTTTACTGGCAGGGTCCCCTAATACACTGGTTCAGTGGGGGTTCATCACATTTGGAGGGAACACCCCCTATCCAAAAAAAACAACCTCCATGGCGTTAGACGAGCCATTCACAAGGAGTTTGGTCTGGGAGCAACCTTCCGGCATCGAAATGCGAGGTGTCGGACGCACCCTCTGGCGCACACTCCGCCCGCACTGCGGCCAGCTGGGAGGCGGGATGTTTTTTTTGGCGAAGGCCTGTGACTCTGGCGGCTTGCTTCATCTTCGGAAGGTTTGGTTTGGTGAGGGGGGCGGTTTCCCATTGGGCCATGGTTCAAAATCCCATTTGGAGGTAGGTGCACCACCCATTTTAGAACCTATTTAGTGGGGATTGGGATGTTCACTGGGGTGCGGGGTTTTGGCCCAAAGCCATTTACCCACAAGAACCAAGGGTACAAACAAATCAGTGGAAGATGAAAAAACATCAGCCCAGGTGATATTGACCCGGAAAGGGCACCCCAAAACGGAACTTTCTTTATCAATGATGGACTTTTTCCAAATGATGGGTTGGGTTCCATGTGAATCTGCGGGCTGAGAGCAGGTGTGTCCTAAACATTGCGTGGCAATCACGGCCAGTGGGCTGGCTTCAGCCAGTATGTTGGGGGCGCTGAATCTCCGGCTGGCGCTGGTGGGAATCCCTGTAATTAAGATACTCATCTAGGTCCCCCAACTAAGTGTCCTTTTACCAACTTCTTTGGGGAGGGTTCCCCTACTAAAATAGACTAACAGAAAAAAGGGTACCCTTATTCTAACCTCTCAAATCTGGAGGACCTAGTCATCTTACCACAGCTTTGTGGTTAAGCCCGTTTTGATATGTTAATTCTTGCCGAGGGAGGCTGTGTATTTGGGGGGAGTCGGTGTGACCTTGACTGGGACCCCCCCCCTCCCAAACCAGTCTTTCTTCCTCCAGGGTTCTGAATAACACGACCCCAAGGGACGTCCCCGTTTGTACATGCCCGGTGTCTGACTTGAAATCACCCTCCAAAAGAGGCTCCTCTACCCGGGAAGCCTCAAGCTAGGAACAATGTGTGTGGCATGCGATCCAACCCATCTCCGCCACAATCAAATTGGTGTGTCGTTAGTTCCCCCCCCCCCAACAAAAAAGATAAATAAAGTAAAACAGGAGAGACAACAAGACGAAAATGTGTTTTGTTCTTTTGGTCGTCCTTGAAACCAACCCCAGACAGGGTACCAATTGCCAAAAAAACAAGCCACCCATTACTGCGAACCTGCGTTACCCGGACTGCTTCAGGAGCGTCTTCTGGCCGAAGTCGCCGGAGATCTACTGCCGGCGCCGGAGGAGACTCCGGGGCGGGGGGGGAGGGGCGGTTCAAGTGTGGAAGCCAGACAGAGGCATAGGTGTTCTTTTTGGTTGGTTTGAAAATAGAGGGCCCTGGTTTAGATGGGGTTTATTCCATTTACCAGGGCCATCTATTTGTCCAAAAGGCCACCTATGGACAGAGGTCGATGGCAGATGGCAGGAGTCTGAAATCTCACAGCTTGTTGTGTTTCTCAGGAATGTTTGGCGTAGGAGAGGTCAGCGTGCATGTAAATCACCGGCGCAAGCAGGTTGCGGTGCTTTCAGCGAGCGCAGATGGGCGACTGGTTGTTGACACTGTTTGTTCTTTTACCACCACATCCGCTAGTAGAAATATGGGGAAAAACTGGGTTGACTGAGTAGTCGGCTTTGCAGCACACTTCTGAAATGGGTACGTGGCTGCGAGGGAAGAGCCGCCTGGAAAGACAGAAAAAAACAACTGCAGTCATAGAGGATAGAGGCCGTTCCCAACTAGCCACGCACAGTGTCCAAACTCGTGGCGAACGCAAGAACTTCTTTTGTAGGCTGTCCAGTAGCGTTCTTGGGTTCGAATCCCACATCTTTTACTTGGTGTGGGAGCCATCCCCTTAGCTTTTCGGGATTTGTTTTGGATTTGTTTCGCGTTTTTCGTGGTGGTTTCTCCATTCAACTCACCAAAAGTCATTCACTTTTAGCATATCTGAGGACTAGCCCAGTTTAGAACGGCGGGCTTACGTCCAAGCCGCCCTGCGTGCGAGCGAGGGGCTTGGGGAAATCTGAGGCGCCCTCTCGCGCCCATTCTGCTCGCACTGCGGCCAGCTGGGAGGCGGGGCGGGGCCAGGGGCGTGCAAAGGGGCGCAACGAAAAGGGGGGGGGGAAGCCCTAAAAAGATAAATATATGGAGAAAAAAAAGCAAATCAGAGGTATCTGTATGCGTGTGTGTGTGTGTACATGAAAAGCTTATTGATCTATTGGGAAAAGGAAAAGGAATCACGTACTGAAAATCATATAATTACAAATATAAATAAAATACAAGTAAGTACCTATCGGTATACGTGCTCGAAGGAGGACTGGCAAAACACCTGGGATGGCGCATTTCCGCAAGCGCCTGAGCCGGCCAGGCAAACAAGTGGCGCTAGACATGCATTGGCAAAATTGTCTTCGCACCTGTGTTCGACTGAAGAACGTAACATTGATCCCATGTTGTTATCAACCCCAGTTTGTGAATAACAGGGTGTCCCTCAGTTTAGTGGGGAATCATCCCTTCTGGAGGGGCCCCCACCCCCGTATTGATAAACTGGGGTTGATGAAATATGCGGCCAACATGGTTCAGCAATGCGTCCGTCCAGCGTTTCTTCCCTGTCATCGTCCTCCTGGATATCCGGAATCAGTCCCCCAAAATAGGACAGGCTGCAACATGTGGCGATGCAACAGGCAGGTATTGCGAGCAGGTCTTTTGCAGACACGGCGCGAGCCAAGTGGCTGGCTGCCTTGTCAACATGTAGACAGGTATAAATGGGAGTCAAGTGTGTCAAAAAATAGGGGACCTCCAAAACTAGTTGGTTTCTTTTTGGTTTCCGCTACACCGCCATCGAAAAGGGGTTCCCTATTTTGAGACAGATCACATTGAGGCTTGGCGCCAGGCAAATCGTCCCTTTGTCAACCTAAGCACAGCCACGACTACGCTCATTTTGCAGCAAATGGGTGTGGGTCAATATTACAACACCAGGGGACCGCAGGTTTTAGTCCATGTGTCCATTTCCAGGGTTCCATTTTGGGTACCTATTTTTGACCCACAGCCAAATGTTGCGCATCCTGCAAGGATTCGTGGCCATCCGGCACCGCAAAGATCAACATTTATCCAGAGTCCAGGGCCGCGAGGCCAAGCAACAGACGAGCTAGGTCCGTGCAAACAATGTCTGCCGAGGGCACGGCAAACAGCGCGAAACTACAGTGTACCCATATATATATACATATATATATATATGTACATATACACACATACATGCATGCATGCATACAAGTATGTTGCCGTGGTTCTCAGTGGAAGTGAAGGGAAGTAAAGATCACCTGAGAAAGTTCTGCTTTTGCCCAAGAGTTTCTTGTTTAGAACATGAGAGAATCATACTGTGTGGGTGTCTCCTAAATTGGGGGAGTTTTGGAATCCCATACAGCACAAGACGGAGCCACCCACGTGTTTAAAACTCTCGGGAACGACCCCCTTTAGATTTCTTTGATTCCAATTGAGCAGGAGGGTTTTGGAAGATTGTCCACTACCATGATTGTTGGAATTGAACATCAAAAGCAACGGAACGAGCATCACCCCTGATCGACCCCTCAGTGGTCATGGGAATAGCGCCTTACTCCTCTGGCAACACCCGCCCAACCCGGGGCGTGCATGCAACTACCTGTTTGTTATAAAGATTTGGCAAGGCTTTTTAATACAAGCCTTTTTGAGGATGTACCATGAACGGAATTGTTTTCGTAATTTTCTATGGCTGATCGCCTTTGTGCGATCACAAGTCAACCTGTGAATTGGGCCCAACCGCATTCTTGGTAGGTGGTTCTTGGGGCGGGGGTCGCGTTTCGGCACCAGATGGTGCGTCCCGAGGAGCGCGTCATGTTAGACGTGGCTGGCGATCTTTTGACGCCGAGACCTCGGACGGGGCTTGCCGGAGCTTCGATGCGCAAATCTTGGGCTCAACTGGAGATCTTCGTAACAGTGGAGATTCCAACAGGTGGTTGGTGAAACAGTTTCCCCGTTTGGCGCCCTAGTTCAGGAAGAGCAGGCTTGCCCTTTCTATGTGCGGTTTCAACCAGGCCGAGCTTTTGCCAAAGGGGTTCCCTCAAAAAAGACACCTCCATATCCCCAACAATTCGGTGTTTCCAACGGGCAATCCACGGTACATGTCGTTTTGGAAGGAACCGCTTGGGTTTGTTAAGGAAAGGCATAGGACACCAGGGCCAATGCCGGGGTGGCCACAAAGAAAAACCCCTATGATTCTAGGGGTTGATTCCATTTCCATTCTTTTCAGCCATCGTTCTTTTCAAAAACCGATCGCCGTTTCCTTTTTCGGGGTTTTCAAGGTGGTTTTCTAGAAAGGATCCCTGGAAAGAATGGGGAACTCAGTTGTTCAGTGACCCTGGGAAAAAAGGGAACCCTTTTTGGGGAAGACCATTTTTAGTGGGGCAGCCACCAAAAAAAAAGAAGTTACCCCTAGAATGATTGTAACGCCGTCTCGAAAGCGCCAAGGGATCTCCTCGAGTCGGATCTGAGGCCTTGCGGAGGCCAAAAAGCAACTTGAGACCATCCGCCGGGCCCTGTAAGCATCACCCCACCCCACCCAAAAAAAAATAAAAACTGTCAGCATCACCCCACACACACACACACACTCACACACGCACAAACAAGCACACACACAAACAAACAAAGGCCAAAAAGAGCTTGCTTGATGACCAAGGATTCCCTTTTGTGTAGTTGCAAAAGGAAAACGATCACCACCGTGTTTTCACGACTCTCATTATTATTATTGTTATTATTAATTTATTATTATTATTATTATTATTATTATTATTATTATTATTATTATTATTATTATTTATTATGATGATGATTATTATTATTATTGTTATTATTAATTATTATTAGTAGTAGTATTATTATTCTTATTATTAAGGGGCCTTTTTTGTTTGGGGGGCAGCAACAAAAGACACCCATATGTGCATTTGAGGGATGTAAGTAGGATATTGCTTTTTTTTTCACATGTTCCAACCCAAGAGAAGGCATCCATTGAGTTGTCCGACGGTTGCCACTCTTTCAGAGAGGATCCTCGACCCAAGCAAGGCATTGGAGACACATGTGGGGGGTGATCAATATTCCTGGCCCCCAAGTGACCATGGGCAGTTAGCGTTTCCCATGTGCGAACTTTTTAGTTGGTGATCCACTGGTCCCAAGCAACGCTCATCCACTGTATAGCGCGGACCTTCTGATCAAGCCCCATGTGCTAATCCACTGGTCCCATTGGAGAAATGTGTCAAAAGCCAAAGCCAAATGGTCCCCAGGTCTGACCACGCCAAGCTCATGGCGTCAGGGGCTCAGATGGCTCGCAGCGATTCTCACAAGACTTCATGAAAAAGGAGGGCGCCCTCTCAAATCGAAAAATAGCCCCAACATGGTGGTTGTCCTCAGAAGCCAACATGGACATTTTCTTGAGTTGGTGTCCAGTTTCTTCATCAATCCCTGCGTTCCAGATGTTCTGTGACTTGGCGTTGCTTTCCGCGAGAGCCTTCGAGTTCAGCCGAGACCTGGGAGAGCGACTCCTTTGTTTCCGGAGGTTTCGATTTCAGATCAGAAAACGGACAGCCCAGCGCGGTCTTTCCCATAAAAGTGATCCGAATCCGTGGACCGCCCCGATGGATCAGCCAGAGACTTGTAAAGCTTGGATTCCCAACATCGGACATCGAGGTTTTGGGATTCGGGAAGCGAAAGCGCTGTGACGAACAGGCTGTGCTTTCAGTCCTGCGCGTCGATCACAAAAAAATTGTCCAAGAAAATGCCAGCACCAAGGTTTATATTGAGAAAGCAGCTGGAACTGTAAGTCAAAGCTCAAGAATGCCTGACTTGAGCAGCGACTTACTCCAGTTTCCGTGAACCGCCCCACGGAAGCCGTGCAAACTCTGGGGCGAGGAAGTGTCAGCTTGTGCGACCAATGTGAAGGGCCGCCGTGGCCTTGCAAACAATTTGACGTCGTGCTAGGCAGGCAGGCAAGCATGGACTTGTTCCGGGAAGGGGTTGGCTTGGACAGAAAACAAGAGGTTGGCTTGGATGATCAGCCTCCAGTTGCTTGTTGATGTGGTTTGGCTTGATGTTTCGAGGCAAAGAGGGCGGTTTCCCACTCGCGCCCAACCAGGAATGAATATGTTCCCGTTGGTGGTTTTGGGCAGCATCCAGGCAGCAAATCCTCTTTTGGGGAGATGATGTTTAAAGGGGAAGCGTAGGGAACCTTAGCTTACAATCAAACAGCATGTGACACATTCTCACGGCAGAGGCACTGGGCGATGTGGTTCAGTACTTCTTGGTTTTCTCGCAGTCAGCATTCATCCTTTTCGGTGGGTTGCAGCATCGCCTTTTGTCCATTTAGAAATGTTAATTTCAATGCGAGTTGTGGTTTCGCTTTGGTTTTCCTTTGGTTCCCTTTGGTTCCACTTTGGTTTCCCTTTCGTTTCGCATTGGTTTCCCTTTGGTTCCACTTTGGTTTCCCTTTGGTTCCACTTTGGTTTCCCTTTCGTTTCGCGTTGGTTTCCCTTTGGTTCCACTTTGGTTCCACTTTGGTTTCCCTTTGGTCTCGCTTTGGTGTTCCTTTGGACACAGACCGAACACGGGCTTACCATTTGGAGACGCAGAACGAGCTGAGGCTGATCGAGGACTTGCAGCGCAGGCCCCTTCAGCAGCCTCAGGCGGGGAGGAACTGGGAAGGCTTGCAGTGGGCCAAGTTGGGTCTGTCGTTGGTTTTTGAGTCTACCCTTTTTGTGGGTTGTCTTTTGAAAAGGAACGCCAAGAGGAACACCCCCTATTTTTCAGACACGCCCAACTTGTTTTTAGTGAGTCTACCCTTTTGGTGGGTTGTCTTTGGAAGGAACGCCAAGAGGAACACCCCCTATTTTTGAGACACGCCCAACTTGTTTTTAGTTGGTTTGCATGTGCAGGGTACCTTTTTTTGGAGGGTTTCCCTTTTGTGGTGGTTTTTGAATCGGAACGCCAAGAGGAACTTTTTCAGACACGCCCAACTTGTTTTTAGTTGGCTTGCATGTGTAGGGTACCTTTTTTTGGAGGGTTTCCCTTATTCTTTTTGGGTGGTTTTGAATCGGAACGCCAAGAGGAACACCTTGGTTGTTGGAGGGTTTTCCTTTTTTCGGGGTGGTGTTGAATCGGAACGCCAAGAGGAAGATCTTGGTTTTTGGGCACTTTTTATTTGGGTGGTTTTGAATCGGAACGCCAAGAGGAACAGCTTTGTTGTTGGGCATCCCTTTTTTCGGGGTGTCGGAACGCCAAGAGGAACACCTTGGTTTTTGGGGACCCCTTTTTTTGGGGTGGTCTTGTTTCGACTCGGAACGCCAAGAGGAACACCTTGGTTTGTGGGGACTTTTTTTTGGGAGGGTGGTTTTGAATCGGATTGCCAAGAGGAACACCTTGGTTATTGGGGACCCTTGTTTTTCTTTTTTTTTTGGTGGTTTTGAATCGGATTGCCAAGAGGAACACCTTGGTTTTTGGGCACCCCTTTTTTTGGGGTGGTTTTGAATCGGGGTGGTTTTGAATCGGAACGCCAAGAGGAACACCTTGGTTTTTGGGGACTTTATTTTGGGGGGTGGCTTTGAATCGGATTGCCAAGAGGAACGACCACCTTGGTTTTTGGGCACCCCTTTTTTTGGGGGGTGGTTTTGAATCGGATTGCCAAGAGGAACACCTCGATTTTTTGGGGCTCCCTATTTTCGGGGTAGTTCTGAATCAGAACGCCAAGAGGAACAGCTTGATTTTTTGGGCCCCCTATTTTGGGGTGGTTTTGAATCGGAACGCCAAGAGGAACACCTCAACTTTGGTTTGATGCCCCCTATTTTCAGACACGCCCAACTTTTTTAGTTGGCTTTCACGTGCAGCCATGTTTCTTCCGATGAGTCAGTTGGATCGACGTCCTCCCTTGACGTACCCGTTCAGTGTGCCGAGTTTTTTTTGTTTTTTGGGTTGGATCAAAGTGAGTTGTCAAGAACTTCCAGAGTTGCGTTGTTTCGACTTTTTGTCGCCCTTCGGCTTCCCGCTAATTGGTCTTGGAGGTTGGTTTGGAGGTGAAACGCCGTTCGGATCCAACTCCAAAGCGCCAATCCAAGCACATAGGTGCTTGAGCCTCAGCCGGGAATTCTCACCTTGAGACCCTTTCACCACTTCAGTGGATTCCAACATGGAGGAAACGCCCTTTAACCCCTATATAGATGGATGGTTGCGAACTCTATTTCGCAGCACCTCAGAAACCCTGGTTTCTTCGATTCCCCATCGTAAATACCAACAAAGCTTATGGTTTCAACCGTGGCTTCGAGGTGGTGCGAGAAGCGGTTTCGCGTCCATCCACAGCAATGTTAACCCCGGATTAATAAACCCCTGGTTGATTAATAGGGGGGTGTCCCCTTTTAGTGGGGATTTATGGGATTCATCACTTTTGGAGGGAGCACCCCCCTAATAATGGGACGGGTTTATTAATCCTGGGTCAACATTAAGTTTGTTTCGATTTGTCCGCAAGCCGCGGATTTGGTCTCTCGGCTCGTGCGGTTGCGAGCGAGGCTTCCGGCGGGGTGGGGGGGCGGCGTTGGGCCGCCCATTCGGGAGAAAAAACCGGCCAGCCTACCTTGGACGTTTATTTTTTTTTGCGAGGGCTTCGGTCGTCCATTTTGGTTTCCCTTTAAACTGACCAAAAAAGCAAGGGCTTGGTTCCAGATCCCTTTTTGCTGCCTGCAACGGTGGCAGTTTTTCGAATCGGAAGCCAAAAGGACATCCGGTGACTCCTGGTACCCCATGGTACCCGAAAAAAGAAAGACACCGCCAAATGGCACTTGAACCCCCGCAGGACCCTGTTCAAGTGCTCCGCATGGCTCCTGACAAAGGGGCTTCCACTTCAAAAAAGATGCGTTTTTTCACTTTTGTTGGAGAGGTCAGCGCTGCGAGCGCTTGGTTGGTTTGGTTGAACAATATAGAGGGCGATTCCTGTTTTTTTCCTCTTGTTTTCTTCCTTTTTTTCCTGGTGGTTCCATAATCTACCAGCGCCACAAAAAGAGGACACCTATGCTTCCACCTCGCTGCCAGCTAGCATCCCGGTTTTCGCCTTTCGCTCTTCAGGCAGAGCTGCGGATCTTGGGGGGACACCAGGCAGAGCCTGAGCCCTGCGATGCCAGCGCCGGGAAGCCAAGAAGAAGAAGCCGAGTGTTTTTGGATGGTTCTTGTCTGATTCCCTTGCTAATGTGCCAAATCCGATTTGTTTGTGTTGTTCTTTTTTGGGTGGCGGTGGTGGTGGTTTGCTTTGTTTGTTTGCTGTTTTGATTTTTGTTTGTTTGTCTGTCTGCCTGTCTGCCTGCATACCTGCCTGTTTGTTTGCTTGCTTGGTTGTTTGTTTGTTTGGTTGGCTAGTTGGTTTTGTTTCATTGTTTCTTTGTTTATGTTTTTTCTTTTGTTCCTTTTTTGGTTGGCTGATTGCTTGGTTGGGTTGGGTTGGGTTGGGTTGGGTTGGGTTGGGTTGGGTTGGGTTGGGTTGGGTTGAGTTGGGTTGGTTGCCTGGTTGGGTTGGGTTGGGTTGGGTTGGGTTGGGTTGGGTTGGGTTGGGTTGGGTTGGGTTGGGTTGCTTGGTTGGTTGGTTGGTTGGTTGAGTGGTTGGTGAGTTTGTCGGTTTGTCGGTTGGTGGGTTGGTTGGGTGGTTGGGTGGGTGGGTGGGTGGGTGGGTGGGTGGGTGGGTGGGTGGGTGGGTGGGTGGGTGGGTTGGTTGGTTGGTTGGTTGTTTTGTTTGTTTGTTTGTTTGGTTGTTTGGTTTGGTTTGTTTGGTTTGTTTGGTTTGTTTGTTTGTATGTATGTTTGTTTGATTTATTTATTTGATTTGATTGATTTGATTTGATTTGATTTGATTTGATTTGATTTGATTTGATTTGATTTGATTTGATTGATTGATTGATTGATTGATTGGTTGGTTTGGTTGGTTGGTTGGTTGGTTGGTTGGTTGGTTGGTTGGTTGGTTGGTTGGTTGGTTGGTTGGTTGGTTGGTTGGTTGGTTGGTTGGTTGCTTTTGTTTGTTTTGTTTGTTTGTTTGTTTGTTTTGGTTGGTTGGTTGGTTGGTTGGTTGGTTGGTTGGTGGCTGGCTGGGTGGCTGGCTGGCTGGCTGGCTGGCTGGCTGGCTGGCTTGTTGGCTGGCTGGCTGCCTGGCTGGCTGCCTTGCTTGCTTGGCTTGGCCTTGCTTGACTTGCTTGCTCGTTCGCTTCTTGTTTTGAAAGGGATTGTGTGATTCTTTTACTTTTGTCCCGCTTTTTTTCAAACCGCGTGGTTGCTTCATAAAAGCGTTTCCGCGTTCCTTGTGGTATGCCAAACTTGCGAAGCTTGTCTGGCCCTTTCAGCCTTTTCAGTGTGGCAAGAATTGTCGGACTAGGCTTCTTCGTCTGGGTCATCTTGGTCCAGGTAGGTTCAGCCCAGCGATACGACTCACAAGAAGACCTTTGGACCTCTGCAAATGGCGACCTCGCTGTCCACTTTGGCAGGACCTTCTCACGGTGTTGACCCCGGATTCTAGGTGCGTGTTCCCCTCCAAAAATGATGAACCCCCAAAAGGGGACCTCCCTAGGAATCAACCAATCAACCAGGGGTGTATGAATCCGGGGTTCCCATTCGTCATGGTATGTGGCGGGTGTCTCCAGCTGCATCATTTTGTTTCACCCAGTACCTTTTTTCGCGGTTTCTGGGAGTTAATGCGGGGAAAAGCGACGTGACCAAGTTGCCGTGGCAACCAAGTCAAGTCGCAATTCGGTCATGACTGGGTGTTGAGAAGCGGATGTCTGGATTCTGTTGAGGCATGTTCCAACCACGTGGCGTGTTATTCCAAAAATGCAGCACCCCTGGCTTGTTTTCGGGGAAGACAAGAATCGCAATGCATCAGGGTTAGCGTCCAGCAGGCCCCAGCGTTTTCCGCAAATCTCCTTCAGGTCCAGATCTTCAAGTCGGCCCCTCCGAAGCCGTTGCCGGACTCGGCCAAGCCGAAGTTGTTGCCGCCGGAGCCAGCCAAGAAGCCTGAGGCGGAGCCAGGGGGGTCGGGGGGCGTCCAAAAAACACGGTGTTTCCTTCTCGGCCTCAAGTAAGCCTAGGTCCCCCAGCTAGGTGTCCTTTACCGTTTCTTTTTGGAGGGTTCCCCTACCAAGATAGACTGCAGAAAAAAGGGTACCCTTATTCGAACCACTCTACTGGAGTCAAGTACTGGTATTTGTTTGTGTGTTTGTCTCAGTTGCCTCAAGTATCTGCATGTTTGCCCTGTTGGGCGTAGACTCCTCAAGCAGATGGAAGTTTCTTGCGTCTCGCCCATACACTTCCCTGTTGGTTTTCAACGGGCATGGTCGCAAACTGGTAAACGGATATTTCCCTTTAAGGGAAACCCGAAGAGAGCTTACCCAGTCTACTGGTTCCACATTTTTGCTTACTTAAACATGTTCCATTTTCTGGGCACGTGCTAGAAGCGCTCATGGATATCATTGGCTTTAAAGCAGCATGGTCATGGCCGGTTCATCTTCTATTCAGGAGAGACATTCGGACCCCCTCCCAACCCTCCGGAAAGCTGTTCAGAACCTAAGAACTTCTTCCATGAAGGTTCCTTCAGCACCTTTCCTGGTGCTTCCCCCCCAATCCTTACCCTGTTGAGTTTGCGAAGCTCTACACAACAGTCTCTAACTTTTTGGCTCTCGTGGCAATCCAACCTTCCCCACACTTTTGGAGGTACAACTTTCAATGGAGTCAAACCTGCAGTAAAAGGCATGTACCCCACTCTAAATACCCGTACGATGTCAACCTTTGACAAAACCGAGGCTTTTCACTGTGGAAGACCAGTTGTTTCAGAGACCCTGAACAAATCTTTATTTGCAAGTAGGAGGTATTTGGGTGTGTCTTGTGTTGAGGTTAACCATTTTTGATTTTGGCCTTAACGGGACACCAAGAGGAACACCAAAGACTCTAGGGGTTGATTCCCCATTCTTTTCAATCATCGTTCTTTTAAAACACTGGCTGTTGACCCCTGGGTTTTTGATGGTTTCCTGAAATGAATCGGATCCCTGGAAAGAATGGAAATGGAAGGTACCCCCAGAAAGACGTCATTTTGGGGTGGTCCCCTTTTGAGGCAGACCCCATTGGTTGTCTGCACACCGGCCTTCAGATGCGGGTCTGTGTCCCGACCTCCCCGGGGCCTCCACCGCGGATCGCTGCGGTGAAGGCTCCTCAACACCGCGATCGGGGATCGAGCCGGGGATGTGACGGGGGCTGGCCCCAAAGCCCTGAAGATTCCGCCTAAAGATGGGTTGTTGCCCCAAAGTTACGGGGTGGGCTTAGAAAGTGATCTGTTTTCTTTCTCTTTTTTTTGGGGGGGGGGGGGTTGGGAAGATTCCTTCTGTTGGAGCTGGGGGCGGATCTCTCCTGTTTCTGTGCGGATGTTTCCTGTTTCTGCTTAGGGGGTAATGGGAGTCCTCTTGTCTTGTTCTTCATGTGTATGTGTGTGTGTGTTTTTGTTTTTCTATGTCTGTGTTTATGTATGTGTGTTTTTGCTTAATTGTATTTTGTTTGTGGGGTGTCGGTTGTTTTGGGGAGCGTGTTGGTTGTGTCTCCAAAAGTTACTCACTGGAGATGTTTTAGGGGGAGACTCGGTGTGGGAACACAGTGCTTCGAGCTGGTGGGGCTGCGTCCGAAAGGAAAACTGGCACTTCCCGCTTGCTTCCCAGTCCGTCCAACATGCGGGGGTTGATCAACAGTTCCACTAGTCACTGGACCATTGGTTGGAAAACCGCAAAAGAGCAGACATGTCAACCACGACATGGGAAATGATGTCCACCATTTCGGGTCCCCACTTAAAGTTCAGGCCCATATCTAGGTCCCCCAACAGTGCCCTTTTACCGTTTCTTTTGTGGTTGGGTTCCCCTACTAAAAACTACAGAAAAAAGGGTTCCCGTGTTCGAACCTCTCTACTGGAGGACACAGATTACAGTCGATTCTGATGCATTGCCAAGATGAGGAGCTGCCGGAAAGTCCTGTGGATCTGCCATCCGTGGCGAGTGAAGAGATGTTCTTACAGGTGTCCTTGTTGTTTCAATTTCGTTCATCGATGGGTTCCTCTGGCTTCGATTTGGTGCATGCCATCCACAAAACAGGGGAAATCCATCTACTTTTACAGGTCACCTCTGGACGTTTTTTCGGGGCGAGCTTTGGGCCTCTGGGATCCTTTTGAGGCATTTGGGGCCTCGACTCGATGAGTCGTACTCTTTGTCGGTTTTCCACAATTTTGAGGGGGCTTTCCGTTACTTTCCCTGAAAGCCAAACCCAAAAAGCTACCCTCAAACAAAGACACACCAGTTGCTTTTGGCAAGCTACCTGCTTTTCACGGTTTTCGTGACATGTTAGCGGACCCACAGAAAGGAAGCCGGAGTCTCTCAAAGGAAGCCGACCTCAACGAGGTCGGGAGGCGTGTTCTTTCACCCCCGCCCCTTCCCAAAAACTGGTGGGCCCCTGGAGCAATACCTTTTGGCGGCAGGCGGCTGAGCGGTTGATGGAGGATTCCCAAGCACCGGCGGGGTGTCCCCGTTTCCCCATAGCCCTTTTTATGGCCCTTCCCATGTGGCTGTGGTGGTCAAAACCGATGGGATCCCATTTTGGTTGCTCGGTGAATTCACCACCCATAGAACCTATTGTAGTGGTTGGAGTGGTTGATGTTCACTGGGAACAACCGATTTGGCTTTTGACCCATGGCCATATATGAACCGTTCATGTTGTGTCACAGAACCAAGTCCCATGGGTTGCCAACCCGCCCCAACTCCGCCGACGCCTAAACCTTTGGGTGTGGCTCAAAATTTCAGAGCTAGGGCAAACCGCAGGTGTTGGCCTTTGTTTCCATGCTCCACTTCCCTAGGGGCCATTTTGGGTACATTTTTTTGAGCCACAGCCATTTTGACCCACCGTGTCTGTGAAATCGGCGGATTTCAGGCTGAGTCCGACTCCAGTGGAGCTGAGCCCACCATGGTGCCTGGCCAGCGGGAGACCCAAGCGGGTGACATGGGCTGCAAAAAATTCGCCCAGGCGGCGACGGTTTTTTGGGGGGTTCGTTTGGCCTTCGGTTTCGGAATAAGAAAAATCTGCAGGTTGGACGTTTTTAGGTTGACCGGATCTGACGTTTTTAGGTTGTCCTGTTTTGGCCTTGCGTGTTGGATTGGACGACAATCTAAAGGTAGACAAAGGCTGGCGGGGGGACAATTCCAGCACTAAATAGGTGTGGATATGTGCCCTTTATGTTTTTCACATGGTTTTGGGGTAGGTTTCTTCACTCACCGTCTTCTTTGGTTCCTCCATTTCCACCTTGACCTTCTGAAGAGGCAGTTTTATTGGAACCCAGAGGTTGTAAATCGCAGCGAACTGTTGAAGGGAACTCCAGGGACGGGCCCTGTTTTAAACTCCAAGTTTTGGTATCGATCACGGTGATCACAATTCCGGGTCTTTGAAACGGCAGGTGAGCGGTTTCAGTGAAAGCCTGGGTGGCTGTTTTGGCTTTCTTGCGAAAAGGTTGGCTGCACACCAATCCAAACTAGGATTTCAAGAAGTCCAAGAGATGGGCCGCCCGTGGGAACCGTCTCAAGATATGGAACCGCCCCCCTTAGATCACTTTCATTGGCCCCTCCGATGAGGGCGTAGGTGTTTCTTGAGACTCCGTCCCCACGACTCCCCACTGCCAAGAGTCTTTGCACCCTGGGATTTCCGCAAGAGCAACCAGCTTTCTGGGAATAGGCGGGCCGTAATGCAAAGAAAACCTTCGGCCCCGCAGTTTGCATTGCTGTTTTTGCAAACCGCACCCCTATACTTTGATGCATTTTGCTTGGATGTTAGGTCTTTGACTGTTGGCAATGGGTTTTCCGTATTAAGCCACTAAAAGTTAGTCACTTTGAGCAGGGGAGCGGAAAGCAACCGAGAATTGAAGAAGTGCTTTTTGCCATGGCCAGTGGAGGTTTGGAGGGAAGCTGCTAAACATGTTTGTCATTTGCATTGGTTGACCTTCGAGCACCAGCAACAAATGGCCCATCAAAAGCTTCGCGGCTGATCCTCGGTGAATGCTTCGCTTCAGGCCTGCGCTGCTGCAGGTGGATGGGTGGGCGACGCGGGATGGGTTTTGCTTGGCGCGAGATATCATCCGCTTGGAAGGGAGGATCAAAGCCCCAAGGATAAATACATAGGTTGGTTCCCTTTGGTTCCCTTTGGTTCCCTTTCCTTTGGTTCCCTTTGGTTTTTGGGCTCCTTTGGTTGTTCTTCGTGTTCTTTCGGTTTCCTTCGGATTTCATGTAGCAAGGCTGATGAGTACCCCAGCCACAGGAGGGTACGGGCAAGAGAAACGGACTCCTCTTGCATTCTTTGAGACATGCCGAGCGCACACCCTGCTGGCCATCCATGTGCCAGGTTGGTTTGAGACTATGCCAAGCTTTAGTTGGAGTGTTGTTTGCCGGTGCCTGCCGGTGCCTGCCGGTGCCTGCTGGTGATGGTAGTGATGGTGGTGGTGATGGTGATTGTGATTGTGATGGTGATGGTGATGGTGATGGTGACGGTGATGGTGATGGTGATGGTGATGGTGGTGGTGGTGCTGGTGCTGGTGCTGGTGCTGGTGCTGGTGCTGGTGCTGGTGCTGGTGCTGGTGCTGGTGCTGGTGCTGGTGCTGGTGCTGGTGCTGGTGCTGGTGCTGGTGCTGGTGGGTGGTGGTAGGGAGCCATCAAAGGCCAAGTCAAGAAGCCTTGGGCTCATACCGTATACACACTGCGCAGCAAGTAGCTGCTACACTTCCGAAGAAAAAGACAGGAGCAAAGTGGACGCGTTTGACAGGACTTTGAGCAACAACGGAATGATGTTTTCGCTGTGGTCTACACCTCCAAAGCCAGCCTAAACCAAACCGACCTTTACCCGCAACCACTACCGAGGCTATCATCACAATGGGTAGGGCAACCTACCCTGAACAGAGCACATATGATTTCGAGCCGCAGGGAACCTGGGAGTATGGCAACCCCTGCGCCTCAAAAAAGACTTTCTTGAGCGAGGCCTTGTTAATTACAAGCGCCGCTGACAAGTACGGAAGCCGACCATCTGGCTGTTTCCCAATAGCGCTCCGGGGGCTTGTCGGAAGATTCGCAACCTAAGTAGGTGTCAAAACAATACATTTTCTGTCAAGTAAGCTCGGGGGTCCTTAAAAACTCCCGGAATTATTCAGCATGTTCCACGGATTCAGGGCAACAACACAACAAATGACGACCCCCCCCCCCACCAGTTGGCTCATGTCAAATCAAGGGTTCAAGTAGCAAGTGCCTTGCTCTGCAGGCCATAGGAAGTTCACGGCTGCACTTGCCGCTGGATCCCTGCGACTTGCTGCCGGAGGATCAGGTGCCCAATTTTGACACGTTCGGCCCGGTCGGCCGTGGCTTCGAGGGACATTGGACGCTTTTGTTCAATGCGAACGTTTTGCGTGTTGTTTTTGCTGCTTCGGGCTGCCAGGTTAGGCAACTAGTTTTAGGCCTGGCGTCAGCCAAAATTGGGAGAAGGGGGCGGACACGAAGCATGGAAGCCACCTATTTTCCTCCCTGAATTTTGCAAACACGAGGCTTTCTGAAAGTTAGCAGAACAGTTTTGCCCTGCGGGTTCTGCTCTACTGCCTTACCCGCGTGACAGGGTGGGTGGCATTTTCCAGTTGGACTTTCCACGTGTAGATTGGTCCCCCAAACTTGCAGGACTTTGGCCCTTTGCCATCCACTAGGTGTAACGAGCACAACATGATAAAGGTCCTTTACCTGGGCTTTTGGAACTATAGTAAAATTTGCAGGGGTCTCCTCCGCTTTTTCGCTTTGCAGCGTAAGGTTGACTACATATGACGCAGAATCTGAACAGATGATTTTTTGCCGTGCCACGATTGGGGGGATTTCGACCAAGATTGGGTTGGGTCTGGCCCATGGATATGGGGCATCGGAGTTTGACGCAACCTGATTTGTCCCAAACTGATTCAGAGGCATAGCAAGGGGAGACCTGGGAATGTCATGACCCTGAATGGGTCTTGCTGGCCGCCTAGTCTTCCATGTTTTTTTCAAAACACATTGTTTAAAGAGGCTCTATGACTCTGGACATATGTTCTCTTGTTTCCCGAGGACGAACAAGCAGCAAATGTTGGTAATAGTCACTAGTCGCTAGTTTGTCTTCGGCGGCCATGGCTCTGTTGTTATAGGTTCTACCTGTCAGCGGGACAATTTTGCACAGGCTATATGGGCTTGTCTCAAAATAGGGCTAACCCCAAAAATGGCTGGTTTCCTTTTGGTGTCCCTTTCACACCTTCCCAAAAGAGGGGTAGCCTCGAAAAAGACAAACCACCTTAAGCATATTTTCAACCCATCCTTGGCCTACCCGAAACCACCCCTAAAACCACCCTAAGGCTAGACCCCTTTAATTACCCCCCAAATTCCCTCAGCTCACCGCCTAAACGCATCAATATTCCTCCCCAAAACGGGTTCTTGCCCCAAGAGGATGGTTGGCCACCTCCCTTTTTTTGCGGCCACCCCCCAAAATCCCCCCCAAACTGGGCTCTTGCCCCAAAACGAATGGCTGGCCACCTCCCTGTTTTCACGGCGCTTTCCGCGGTCCGCGCGGTGTAAAGGCCTCCCTGGTGGCGACGCCCTCCCAAGGCGACCCCTCGGAGGTCAGCGCTGCGCCTCGGACGCTGCTGGGCGGAGCATCCCTCGTTTCAAAGGTATAGGTGCCCGGAATCATCGCAAAAGGTGTGAGATGCTCTATATGCGCCCGTACCGGGGTTAACAACACATGGACATTTTCCCGGGGGGTTCGGGTGGGTTTCCTTCATGTGGATGGGCGAGGTCCAATTTTGAACCTGGTAGTTGGTAATTGCCCGGGAGTTCCACCGCTTTTTCCCGGGGGCCGCGTCGCGGAAAAATGCGCGAGGCGGAGGTTCCTTTCGGTTGGGAGGGTTCCCCTACTATAATAGAATACAGAGAAAAGTTGGTACCGTTTTTGCAACCTCTACTGGAGGACCTGGTTTCTTTCATGTGGATGGACGAAATCCAATTTTTGAGCCAGTTGGTAGTGTTCATTGGAGTCGACCTCAGAGGAAAGATCGAACTGGGTTACTTCTAACTTCTGGGGAACTCATGAAACTTGGTGGACATACCGTGGATGGACGAAATCCATTTCGCACCAGTTGGTAGGGGGCAATTTCCGCAGCTTCTTTCTATCGGGTTTATAGGGCTTCATCCAGTCCAACGGCGGCAGGAGTTTGATTCAGGCACAGTAGAGATTATTTGTAGTTTGCCAAGATGTGTGTTTTCTTGAAAGGACTCTTTTCTAGTCAGAATGGGTGTCCCCAGTCTTTTTTCCGCGCCCGTCCAGCCAAAATGTTGTATCATTAACCTGATCAATATGTTCATCATAACATGTTACTTTAAATTTCGGGGCGCGCTGTTCCTTTTAGACCTCTCGCCAAAATGGTCCAGTGTTGCACAGTGCCAGAAGATAAACTCACCACATTTACGTAAATGGTATTTCAACCATTCCTTATCATCCTGAACTCTATGGCCATGTTTTCTTCATGTTCATATATATTTTCTCGATGATCCGGCCTTCTTAATTTGTCCTTGTGGTAATCGTTATGTTCGTGTTGATGTCTTTTGCATACTCTCAATTTATATCACAAGCTCCAGAGTAGAAGCTGTTCCACCTATATTCTCAGTTATCTTGCTTCCCTTACTCTCTCAGTTTTGCAATCCACCTATTTTTCATGTTCTATGCAGCCAATGCATAAATGTTCTGGGTTGAGTGAATTCGTCTACCATGTTTGACTTATGAGCAACGTTTGTGCAAACCATTTCCGCCATACATGCTGGTGCCGGGTGTCCTTTAGTCCCAAATTCATGTCTTATGCCAACAACAATCAAAGATAAGACTAGCATAGATCAACACATGAATACACACGTTGACTAATAATGGCATCTGATTATTTCAGCGGCGTCAATGACAAACTTAAGCATTTTGTGCTGGAAGTAATATGTTCTAGCTTTGGGAGTTTCGGGGTATAATTGACCCCTCTTATTATGCAATTCTAACATCCCCTAGTATAACAACAACAGGTGTTAGATGGTTCAATACACGTTGCTTCATCCATGCTTAGGTTTAAGATGGATTTATCCGTTTTCGAAAGGATACTCATGCCATTTGCGCATTATAGTATGTTCCAGCTAGTATTCATCTACTTTGCTAGCTGGAGGATTTGGAAAGGTATTTGTATACACCATATCACACCCTTTTTGAAGTCGCCAATTATCAGTAGGGTCATGCATGTGTTGAAATGCCAATCATCTTGTTCAAATCAGATATTCAACTATCAATCGTTTCATGAATTGGACATATTTTGGTTGCTTAATGGTAGATCATTCAGATCCGGTAATCTCAATCAATATTTGTTGTATCAATCATAGTTTGAATGTTTGGTTTGTTTCCATATCACAGTTTGTCCTTCAAATCCATGCTGGAATCTGTCATCATTGTTGAATGTTTTCTACTACAACTGAATAAACCTTCAACTGCTCACTTTGAGTATCATTCGCAATCAACTAAGCGTGTATGCATATCTAGTATAGATATTCTCCTGAAGTCTCAGTATTTGTTTGTGCAAGAACTATTTCTATATAGTGAAATTATTTCAACTGATGTTGCATCTCGTACAGAGTGGTATGCAATTGTCTCGAGTATGTGAGAAAGGTATTTTCCTCCCTCTGAACTGTCGTATTTGTTGTTACAATACCTGCGGTCATACTTATATGCCAAAAACAACTGCTAGAATTACATAATGTTTAATGTTACTTGTGAGCCATTGCATATGTACATATCTGTTTTTGAGTATTTCTCTCTTGGCCTTGTGGTCTTTTATCTAATTATTTTCAACAGTTCTTTCAAAATAACTCAGGAGGTCATCAATTGTATCAGGATTGCATCTGCTGAGCTGCATTTGATTCCCAACAGCAAGCGATAGTATATAGTGCAAATCCATTCAGGATAGTCTCTAGCCAGTGGATCGTTGTAATCACAGATTGTCATGTCAGAATCTACTGATGCGCCTCGTGTTGAATGAGCAGTGGAGCAATGCGTGATGTTCTGACCACAACCCCAAATCACTAGGCCATCTAGTAAACAGGGTATAAAACCACCATTCACACCATGTCTTTAAGGACCCCCGAGCAACTGACCCAAAGCAGACGGTTGTTGATGTTTTGTTGTTGTGTCCGACCCACTGCGAGGATCCTTGATCCGAGCTGTTTTCTGGTGGAAACAAAACGCATTCAGGGACCCCCTCCCCAAAATGCTCCAAGACCGTCCTTTCCGTTAAGGTCTTGTGTTGCTTTGTTTCGTTTTGTGTGGGCATGCCGTTTTTTAGGGGACCTCTTTTGGCAGTTGGTTTCCCTTTGAAGTTGGTTTTCCTTTTGGTTTCCCTTGTATCCCCCCTCAAAAAAGCGAAAGCAGGTACCCAAAGAAGAATTTGCCATTTTTGAGGCTTATTGACCCCTAGCCTTTGGGAATCTTTGGGAGTGTGGCGCAGTACGGTCCCGCAACTTTGGTACCTGCGTAACTCCAGTTTCATTTTAAGACAAACCCAAATAAGCGCTTTGGAGCGCGACCTACAATCGAAGATTCGAGGTCGTTTGTGCATGGGCAGCTAAATGCTCAAATGGGTATGGCTCAAAAAACCGGTGCCAAAAATGGAACCCTGGTAATTGGAAACATGGACCAAAAGCTGCGTAACCCTGGCTCTTTAATTTTGAGCCACTGCGAAAAGGGGTGGAAAGCACTTTAAGATACTGTCTAGGTCCCCCAGTAGTGCCCTTTCTCACCCTTTTTTGGGGTTTTGGGTTCCCCTACTAACATGGACTACCAGAAAAAAAACTCGGGTACCAACTGATTCTAGCCTCTCAAATCTGGAGGACCTAGTTGTGCATATGGAGGGTTAGCCACTGGAACCCGACAGGTCCCTTGAGAAAATTGGAACCTTGCCTCCAGTCTTGGAGGCAAGCCCCCAGTCGGGTTCCATGGTTTCTGCCTCAATCCGAGCGCCCATGTGGAGATAAAATGAGCTCCCTATGATAAAGATCCTTTACCTGGGGATTCGATACTTCAGGTCTTGGAAGTACCTAGAATCTCCATGACCCTCAATCAAAGGGCGTGCAACCCCCTGAATTTTGGGTAACCCCATTTTTGTACCAGAAAACCTCGTAACACACTGTTTTTTTAGCATGCTCATGTTAAAATCACATCCCCACCAACACCCGGTCTCTTTTTGTAAGGGTCATGGAGCCTGCAACATTTGCGGACAATGCTTTGGGAACCGAGGCGAATTCCTCCCCGCAGAGCTTGGCGGACCGCATCGCCGAGAAGGCGCATGTGGGACCCAGCGGTTCGATTAGTTTGGCGGCTCTCGTTTCCAAGACGGCTCGTTTTCCGGAAAACGTATCCAATACCGAAATAGTATATATATTATATATACCCAGAGGCTCCGGATTGATTTAGGGCCTTCAAACAACCTGGTTTTGGAGACCCCCAACCACCTCCGGGGTGCCTAATGGAGGGGTCGAGTCTTCCATTAAAAGCCCCAGGAGCCTCTGGGCAATATATATATATATATATACACATGGGTGGCTCGTCTTTTCAAGGTTGGATTGGACCCCGCAAACAATGCTGTCAAAACCGCCAAAATTGTGGGCTAACTGGAGAATGGCGATCGTTTCGCCCGGTTTGTCCGAGACCGACCATAAAATCCGAATGCGACCACGGCTCTACCACACCCTGGTTGATGAACGGGGCCGTGCCCCAATTGAGTAGCGCGTTTTTGTTTGTTTGTTTTTGTTTTTTTTTGTGAAGGAGCCAAAAAGGAGAGGGAACTGCCGCGGTTGCCGCGTAGCCGAATCCTCGAACCGCTTAGCCTCCGAGTAGCCACTAGCAAAGGCAGATTTCGATCGCTCGTAGCCTCAGCGTAGCACCCGCGTAGCCTCCGCATAGCCTCCAAGACCTGCTCCGGTCCAATTACCCACCACCTACTACGACTACTACTACTACTACTACTACTCCTACCACTACTACTGCCGCTGCTGCTACTTCTACCACTTCCGTTTGCAAGCGCACTTCTGCGTAGCACCCTGCGTAGGCCATTATCAAAAGTATGTTCCGCCAACTTCCTAGGGGGAAAGAGAACGGCGTAGCCTCCGCATAGGTATGTGCTTCCAGTGTATAGGCCCCACACAACTTACAAATCACGGCTTTATTTTGAAGCATCCGACACGCGGATTATTTCATGCCTGACTGCAGCGATCGCTCTCATGGCGGCAAATGGGCAAGCCATTGAAACAAACCACGTGGGTGATTCGGATCTCGTCGAAAGGTCGCCTTTGCGTCAAACTGGGGGATTTCGAGTCTTCGAGGTGTGGAGTTTATATACCACTTCTTGTGGCGTCGGGCAATACCTATACTATAAGTGGAAAACAACCTCCACACCTTTGGGGAAAGAACATGACCCTTAAAAAGTCGATTCCTTTGAAGACATCCACCTGGCAGACGTTGAGCTGAGCTGAGCACCCCAGCCGCCGCGAAAAAGGGGGTTCGGCATGACACTTGCAAAAGGGACTCCCACCGGAGCCGCACTTGGAGAGGCGGTTCCACCCAGCATGGGACATGAGCACAAGGCTGTTTTGGAGTACCTGGCCCCGTCAGGCTGTGCGCTATGCAGAGGCGGCAGCCAAGGAGTCGCGGTCAAAACGACCTGGTGGACCTGGTTGCGAGTAGGGATGGCCCAGCAGTCTCGGAAATAATGGAAATGATAAGGCTGGTTGGAGTGCACTCCCCAACCAAAAAAACCCGAGTCATGAGCCCAACAGTGACGCAAGCGTCTTGGCGACTCCCAGTCCTTTCAGGGTCACCATGTTCACCCACACCTTTGGAGTTTGACCGCACGTTTGAGGCATGGATAGGGATAGGCAATCTTGGACAAGGGGTTTAGTTGTACTACGCCTGGCTCCAAAAACAACAGAGATCCCGGCGGGCGAGAAGGATGGAGAACACCTAGGTCCACTTCAAGATCTTTGAGGAATAGGAATGGTTGGGCAACTAAGTTTGGAAGTTCCTTAGTCGGTCGGTCGAAGTTGCAATGCAACGATTGGTCCTACCAAGACTTTTGTGGCACGTGTTGCGTCCAGAAAAAGACTCATGTTCTTTCAGGGTCAACTTGAGGGATCTTTGGGCCACATGTTGGGCCATTTGCACGCGTTTGAGCCATCGGAAGACGTTCCTCATTTTGCTCCTTGGCCCATGAACGAATGGTTTGGTTCGGATATTAAGGAGACTCCCCCGTTTTTGGACACCAACTAAGAGCCAGGGGCGCAAGTCCTCCAACTCCACCCACACACCAGTTGCAACCAACCACCTGCATTTGTTCAGTGACACACGTTTTCGTCACACGTTCTCGCACGGGGCGAGGAGGAGATGAATTACCTGCAAATGGTCGCCAAGGCTTTGGGTGTAAGGGGGCGGCAGAATTTGTGAATGTCGAGGGCATTCTCTCAGATCTGATGTATCAAGTGGCATGCCCCTTAGGCCTCCTCCTCCACGTTTTTGGCCGGGGGCTGAAAACTGAATATGTTCAAAGATCCTTGAGAGATGCTCTGTGTTCTCCACTTCAGGGAGTCTGTACAGGGGTCATGAGCCTTAAAATGGGCACATGAATCGACACAGGATTGGAATCTTCCCTCTTTAGGTCTTTCGGGCGCCCCTCATTTTGGACAAGGTATCTCTTGCTTGTTCTCAGCTAAAGATGCGGGAATGGCCCCATTTAAATCACAGTTTGCTTGGAAAGTCCATTGCCAATTGCCTGATTCCCAAGAGAGCAAGCAACTCATCACTCAGCTCGAGCTGTTCGGCGGAGTTCGAATCGAATTGGGAGCGTGGCGACAGCCTTTTCAAAGGTCTAGCCCTATCTGAGTTTTTCCCCGGGAGGAATGCCAAGCTTGTTTTAAGCGAGTTCCCATCCTTTCAAAGATCCGAGAGCAACGCATTGGGCGGGTTTCTTTGGCCTATCGCCAAAGTTCCTCTTGGTGTCTTTGAATCTCCGGGCCTGTCTTTTTCGGATTTCGATTTCGATTTCCACCAAACGCAAGGGGTGAGACACTCAGTTGCCCAAAGCTGACCTTGTCACGTTTCGGGTCTCCCTTCTGTGCTGGAATGGCGGTTCCCAGCCCAGAGGAACTTTCCGACGTTTAGACACACCGCTGAAAGCTTTTCGGGTCTCCGCCGAGATCGGCTCGATCGGGATGGTTTGGAGCTGGAGATTAGGTTCCAGGGGTGCGGGGTGTTCGGGATGCCACCTGGGTTCTTTTTTGCTTCTTTTTCTTTTTCTGTTTAGCACATGTTCCACGAAATTGTCTACCCCTGGTTCTTGTTGATTTAATATTATTATTATTATTATTGTTATTGTTATTGTTATTATTGTTATTGTTATTGTTGTTATTATTACTATTATTTTTCTTATTATTATTTATTATGATTATCCCACTGAATTGTCGACCCCTGGTTCTTGCTGAGGGTAAATGGGACACCGCCCCCGAACCTCCACACCACCAATGCCAACCAGGGTGAAATACGGAATCCCCTGTATTGTCAGTCATATGCAACAGAATAGGGAGGTAGACAGTGCACATCCAAACCACCAAATAGAGGGAAGCGAGTATTGAACGTGTTTAGTTTTTAGGACCAAGCTTAGTACACTTGCTGCTGCTTGGTAGGGAATGTGGGCATGAACCCAGGGTTCCCCTTAAAGGCAACCAGCACTTGGATGGTTTTTCTCGGCGTCAGACTCCATCTCTCACTTCCCTGCATCTCTCGAATCCACCGATCGATCGCAAGTAAACTAGGTTTTCCAGTAGTGCCCTTTCTCACCCCTTTTTTGGTAGGGAGGGTTCCTCTACTAAAAACATTTTGGGGAGGCTTCCCCTCCTAAAACAGACCAACCGAAGAAGAAAAAAGATTCGGGTACCAACTTCTTCCAACCTCTCCAATTTGGAGGACCAAGTCACCAATGCAACTGCTGTTTCCATACTCCGTGCGTGCCCATTCTTCCAAGCTCTGAAACCTGGCGGAAGGCATGCGACTCAGGTCTCCCATGTTTTGACCTCCCAGGTCCCGAGCAGAGCCTTGGCTCGGGCCGGTGGAGTGAGATGGGGGCCGAGATCTCCGAAAGGTACCCCAGCCAAGAGCAGGAAGCACACTGCCCCAACCAACCAAGCAAAGGGTGACTTTTTTGGGGGGTTTTGCCTCAACCAACCAAACAAACACGATTTTTTGTTTTGTTTTTTTGTTTTTGGTTTTGAGTGGGTCAGCAAGGCGCTGGTTTTGAGGTAAAGGTCGCACGGAGCCCCGAAGGCCTTGGCGGAGGATGTCGCAGCCACCGAGGTGCCCGAGGCCGACCTTTCGGGTGGCATCGGCCCTGAGGTGTCAAAATCCTTTCTGGAGTTGTTTTTTCTTTTTTTTTTGGGGGGGGGGTGCTGGACTTGAAGGGAGCCCAAAAGCACTTTGTTGGTTTTAGCTGGAAAAAGGACCTGTCCCCCACCCCGACCGAGCCATGAGATGCCTTCTCTGGAGTTCACATGGGGCAACACCTTGTGATGACCTCGATTCGGATTGTGGCGCTTGCCATGATAAGACCCTGATACAGACCTTGTGCCATTTTCATGGTTGTTGTTGGACACATTTTTCCCATTTTTGCTTGTTGTGGTTTAGTGGTTGAAATCCAAATCCACTGAACTGCTAAAAGTCGAGAATCGTTTTGCCCCCCAAACCCAACGTCAACCAAGTTTTAGTCAGGACCTCGCTATTTTCAAAAATCCACAGGGTGTGTTCCAGGTCAACATTCATTTGCTGGCTTGTGGGGTTGTGACCTTACACATGGAGATTCCTGCAAGGTGCTCAAATTTTCGGCTGAAAAAAATGTAATTGGGGGAGGATGAACAGGTCCTTACATGGGATGACTGGGGAAAGTACTAAAAGGATCTTTCAAATGTGAAAAGTTGTGGGGCCGAACGGAACATTGATCAGCCCCGAATTCTCAAAGGTCCCAGAGTTGGACCTTACGTTCGTAGGCCTCCGAAATGTTGTTCGCCCATTGGAGGAGTTAGTCTTGAAGGGCCAACCGAAACCTGTCCTGTCCCCTGGCTCGCCACGCCCATTGGCGCATAGAACTGTGGCCAGTTTGAGGGGTTTTCCGGGTTGTGAGCGTGCTGTCAGGAGATTGACGTGGCAGCCATCGCAGCCCAGGCCAGTTGTCATAGCCCATTGACACCAATCTGCAAGCGAGGTGAGTTGTTTTTTTTTTGCAAGAGTCGCAGAAACAGACAGCTGACACGGAGGGGAGGTTGGAATGACTTTAGCTACAGCTTGCAGGCTGTAGGTACTGTGTTAGACGTGTCATCAGGCGCTAGCAAAGGATGTGATGTCCAAGGAAGTGGAGGCTGGTGACAGAGGGCAAGCTGGCAAGTGCACAGATCATGCATGTTTGCCGCATCGATTGCTATTGCAGGGGCTGGCTTTGGAGGGTCTCAGCATGCAGCACTTGCTTGGGATTGTTTGAGTCTGCCTTGTTTTGCGCATATAGTTTGCTTCTGCATTTAGTTTCGCTTTGGCCTATTGCTTGAATGTCGAAGCCTAGTGGTTTGCACATGCGTCAGGAAGAAGTTGACGTAGCAGCGATTGCAGCCCAGGCTGGGTGTTTTGCATCTTATGGAATCTTCTCATTCAGTGCAACCCTCAATTTGCACAAAATAAGTCCTCAATTTGCAAAAGTCGCAGAAACAGACAGCTGACACGGAGGGGAGGTTGGAATGACTTTAGCTACAGCTTGCAGGCTGTAGGTACTGTGTTAGACGTGTCATCAGGCGCTAGCAAAGGATGTGATGTCCAAGGAAGTGGAGGCTGGTGACAGAGGGCAAGCTGGCAAGTGCACAGATCATGCATGTTTGCCGCATCGATTGCTGTTGCAGGGGCTGGCTTTGGAGGGTGTCAGCATGCAGCACTTGTTTGGGATTGTTTGAGTCTGCCTTGTTTTGCGCATATAGTTTGCTTCTGCATTTAGTTTCGCTTTGGCCTATTGCTTGAATGTCGAAGCCTAGTGGTTTGCACATGCGTCAGGAAGAAGTTGACGTAGCAGCGATTGCAGCCCAGGCTGGGTGTTTTGCATCTTATGGAATCTTCTCATTCAGGGCAACCCTCAATTTGCACAAAAGAAATCCTCAATTTGCAAAAGTCGCAGAAACAGACAGCTGACACGGAGGAGAGGTTGGAATGACTTTAGCTACAGCTTGCAGGCTGTAGGTACTGTGTTAGACGTGTCATCAGGCGCTAGCAAAGGATGTGATGTCCAAGGAAGTGGAGGCTGGTGACAGAGGGCAAGCTGGCAAGTGCACAGATCATGCATGTTTGCCGCATCGATTGCTGTTGCAGGGGCTGGCTTTGGAGGGTGTCAGCATGCAGCACTTGTTTGGGATGGTGTGAGTCTACCCTGTTCCGAGCACATATGTTACTTGTGCATTTGCATTTACCTTGCTTGAATTGGATTGATTGCCTTTTGCCTCAGTTGTTCAGTGGCACCCTTTTGCCTTTTTTTTTGGTGGCCCCACTAAAATGGTCTTCCCAAAAAAGGGGTCCCCTTTTTTTCCAGGGTCACCGAAAAACTTAGTTGCTCGCTTTGCTTGGCGCTTTATGTTTTGTGGCAGGAAGAGGTCGACGTAGCGGCGATCGCAGCACAGGACTGGGCTTGCAAAGACTGGCGTGCCTGGCGCTGTGCCTGACAGCGATGCACAAGATGACCAGAAAGCAAAAGTAGCAAAGGGAGAGATAATTTACATGGCTGTGGCTCAAAATTCAAGAGCTAGGGCAAACCGCAGGTTTTAGTCTTTGGTTCCATTTACCAAGGTGCCATTTTAGTACATGTCTCTGAGCCACAGCCACATAGTAGGAGGTGCCGTGGTGACCAGACCGCGTTACTTGGGCATTAGGGGATGGTCATCAGCCCATTTATAGGGGTTTTAGACACCCGACTGTAGAGGCTCCTCTTTCTAGAACCACGACCACGACCCACATCAGTACTTTAGACCCATGGCACGGGAGAATTCCAGCAACTGCAGCAGTCCATAGGTTGTGTGTTTACTCGTCTCAGGCGCTGGCAAAGGATGTGATGTCGAAGGAGGTTGAGGCTGGTGCGAGAGGGAAAGGTCATGGGGATGTGCTTGGACGAGGATTGCACCGTTTTTGGAAGGGCGACGAGGGAGGTATTTGAAGAGGCGGTGCTGAGCTGTGTGAAGATTTGGTGGCGTCACAGCTTCATCTGGCCATTTTGGGGAACTGCCTGGCAGGTCTGGGGAGTTTTGAACCAATTTGTACAGGTTTACCGGTTGCGCGCGCTGTCAGGAAGAGATTGATGTAGCAGCCACCGCAGCCCAGGCCGGGCCAATGCGTCTGATCTCTCATGATCTCTCATCATTCATGGTGGTCCTGAAGTGCACGGCAATCCGCAAGCGAGGTGAGCATAGGTGGTTGTTTTGCTAGAAAAATAGATGGCCCTGGCTTACCTGGTGGTCTAATCATCCCTAAAAAGGACATCCGTGCAGATGAGGACTGCTTTTCAAGCACCCCACAAACATACAGTGCGACATGCAGTCCGTCGGTTGCGTGTTAGATGTCAATGCGTCAGGCGCTCGCAAGGGATGTGATGTCCAAGGAAGTGGAGGCTGCAGGGGCTGGCTTTGGAAGGTGTCAGCATGCAGCACTTGTTCGGGATGGTTTGAGTTTGCCTTGTTCCGCGTATGTATGTTACTTGTGCATTTTATTTGTCCTTTTGCTTGATGCCCATCTGGAATGCCGTGTGGCTTTTGCGCGCCAGGAAGAGATTGACGCAGCAGCCATCGCAGCCCAGGACTGGCGTTCGCTTTGGTTCGAAGAAGGTTTTGCAAGCATGTTTGGCGCTCGAGCTCAAGCGCAAAACAGCCGGGCATGTATTGTTTTGCTCAACCCCAACTTTGCAAGTTTTTGGGAAAACTGAACCAATGCCAAATCACATGAACTAGTATTTCCAGGGGTTTTGGCTCAGGATAGCAAGCACTGGTGTTTGCCTACACCCCGTCTGAAGGTTGTGCGTTGAGTGTCCTCAGGCTCTGGCAACGGACGTGATGGCCAAGGAAGTGGAGGAGATGTTTCGTGGGTTGCCAGGGTAGGTTGTGTTTAAAGCTGTTCAAACACCTATTCTCAAAGCAACATCCATGGCTGACAGGAAGCAGGGGCTGTTTCACCAGCCCTGTTTGCCACTGGCGTTGAACATTTGGCTAGGGGGAGCCGTGGGAGCGGGGAGAGGAGTGTATGATCCATTTGGGAGGGACATGGGGACGAGCTCAAATGTCAACCTCAAACCAACAGAGGGACTTAGAGAAGACTTGTTGTTTTGTTTCCCACGCCACAAGAGCTGGTGTCATTTCCAGGTTGGGCCCCCCGAAATGGTTGTTTTCCTGTTGGTTGTCCTGTTGAAAACAACCCCGAGGAGGTTGTACCCCCAGAAACGGCGAGCCTTGCCCAACGCGGGGGGCTCACGTCGCCCAGTTTTCCCGGTTGCCCAGGAGGAGCTCGACCTTGCTGCCGTGGCAGCTGAGGCTTCCCGGCGGGCCTTTTTTGGGTCTGGCTTGGTGGAACATAGACATTGTTTGTCAGGTTATTATTATTCTTATTATTCTTATTATTGATATTATTTGTATTTTTTTTGTATCACTTAGTATTGTTTGTCAGGTTTCTTTTGTGTGTGTTTTATTTTTGATAGTCACCAGACAAGCATTTAGTGTCAGTTATTGGTTTTTGTCTCTTCCGTTCTTCTTTGCGTTTTCTTCTCGCTTAGTAACCAGGCTGGTTAGTTTCGGTGTTTTTTTTCCTGCAGTGGGGTTCCCGAATCAATTGAACCAGAGTTTTCCCTCAAGGAGCCGCTTCGGCGACGGCGCGCTGCGACACACAGATTCGGCACTATACGCCACGTCTGTGTGTTTCAACTGGTACGGGCGTTTGGTGTCTGTCCTGTCGAAACCCCCGCTTTTGGCAGGAGAAAAAACCAACGGCGAAAGCCAATGGAAGGTGCATGGAAGCCAATGGAAATTGGCTGGGTCAATATGGAGGGAACAGAAACCAATGGCAAAACCAATTCGAAGCCTTCTGCAAAAGGCCTTCCTTCCTGGCAACGTGTCAATTGGTCTCTGGGTCAGCGATCAGTGCCCCTAAGAGCTGCCCAGATCCCAGATCCCAGATGCAGATCACGAAAGTGTGAAAAACCCATGGGTTTTCTTTTCTTGGTGGCTCCCGGCCATCCCCGTAGGTTATTTCGCCTTTTAGTGTTTAGTGGTAGATTCCATTTAACCCGCTAGTGAAGCACTTGCGGATCTGAGGGCAGCCCAGTTTTGGCTTCCCTTGAAGCCGGTCCAAAAAGAAAGGGTACCCTTACAAGCACCTCTTTCGTTAAAGGACTCGCTTTAAGATGCTGAGATGGGGAGCTTTTTCTTGGCCAGAAGACTCGATCTACCTCTGTGTCAGGCTCTGGCCAAGGATGTGATGTCCAAAGAGGTGGAGGCTGGGCCGGTAACCCTACTCAAACAGATTGTTCCTTCCTTGCGGAAATGGAAGCCAGAACTGAGTACGGTCCAGATGAATCTGATTCAACATTGCCCATTTTCAATCCTTGGCAAATTTCAAAGGAGACTTCAAAAATGGAAGGTGTCCCTGCCTGGTTCTTTTCTAGCCCTGTACTTCCCCCATTCTTTCCAGGGATCCGTCTTTCTAGAAGACCTCCAGAAACCCAGGTTGAAATTGGATCCAGTTGTTGAGAAGAACGATGGTTGAAAAGAATGGACAAGGAATCATCCCCTAGAATTTTAGTGGTTGCGAGTCTATGCGACTCTTTTGCGCGGCATGTTGCCAGGAGCCGTACGTCATGTCCATCGCCATCCAGGCCGCGTGCGGAACTACAAATCGCAGGGCCCAAGTCAAGCTTTACCTTTCTACGGCATGGGCGAAAAGATGGGAAACCCCCACCGGGTGGTACTGGCACTGGACTCTTGGGCTCGGGGGCGTAAGATGGCCCCAGACCTCCCATATTTTTTAAACCCCTTTCAAGCAAAAAACACACGGCCTCAACCAAAAAAGAAGACGGGGTTGGTGTGTTCTGTTTTTTTTTGAGTGGGTCAGCAAGGCGCTGCTTTCACATCTTTGCGCCTTTTGAAGCAGAGGTGAAGGCTCTAAGACCTCAGCTGGGACACGCGTGCGACCCCTTGAACGAGGGAAACACTTCGAGACCGCTTTTGGGGAACCCCACGTATCCCGCAGCATGGGGACACCTCTAATCAGGTAGCACTTAATTGGTGGTTTGCATTGGTGGTTTGGGTTTGGATTTGTACCGCCGGTTCTTGTAGAGGGTAAAGAGAAAACTACCCTTAACCACCAAGTCCACAAGCAAACCGACACGAATCACGTGATTCACCAGCTCCTTGTCCAGGATTCCAGAGTCCTACCTTCCGGTCGTACCCCGAAATTTACGTCGTGTATGAACCCATGCAGCCCTTCATGACGAACTCCTCCAAAGTCCCAGAGTTTTGGGCGTGCAAGTCAAACACCGCTCCTAGCCATCCGGTTCCTTAGCTTTTTAGTATTTTAGTGTTTCCTGGGGATTTCCATTGCAAAACAACTAAAAGTTGAACTTTTAGAAGGGGATCTGGATGTGGGCAAAAAATGGGTGCCCAAAATAGAACCCTGGTAGATGGAAATAAGGACTAAACCTGCGGTCCAATTCCTGGTGGTTTAATTTTGACCCATACCCATCTGAGGGCAGGCCAGTTTTGATTTGGAGTTTCAGTTCGGCTTCGCCGGCTCCAGGCTTTGGCGCAGTTCGTGATGTCGACGAAGGCGAGGTTTTGAGTTTTCGCACATGAGCAGGTCAACCAATCGGGGGGTGCTTTTCCCTGGGTGAAATGTGAGGAATCGGACCACTTTTGGAGGGAAGCAGCCCCCTATTAACAAAAACTGGGGGTTGATTGATATGGGGCCACCATTATGGGTGTGTCTTTTTTGAGGGCACCCTTGGGGAAACCAAAAGGAACACCGCCCTTTTTGGGCATGCCCCGATAAAAGACAAACCCACATGGCCAAAGATGTCCCACCAGAAATGCCAGAGGTTTCTACCTTGGAAAGGCAAGCTCGGACGAAGTTGAGAACACTAGATAAAGAACAGGGCTCCTTAAAAGATCGATCCACTTTGCAACCATTTGAAACATGTTGCTTTTTCCACCAAAATAAAGGGACAGAAATCAACATTTACAAGTTTCAATGTTCAGGTGTATAATCTAAGGATCCCTGAAGAAGAAGCAAGTGAGTGGTTGTCACACATGTTGGCTCCTTTGGAAAGTGGCGACTTTCTTTGCTCCTTTCAAAGATCTATTTGCGATCCATGTTTTTGCCCACCCCCTGGTTGGAAGAAGCTGAAAGCCATATATTCCTTCCCAACGTTGCCATGGAACTTGACTCGAGCACGGCTGTTTTCCGGAAGACCAGTGTTCTCTTCAAGCTAGCTTCTGGCAGGGTCAACGTTGGGGAGGGTATCACAATCATCAGAGGTTTTCTTGCAGCAGGGTGTGTAGTCGATGTGTCTAGCAAGGCCATCAGGATGAGCTGGTTTCCACACCTTGAACCCGAGCAATTTGGGGTCGAGCAACTGAATCGGAGAATCTCCAGCTCTGTGGTGGGTTTAGTCTACTTGGATGTTCAACCACGTCAGGCAAGTCGGGTGTCACTGTTGTTAGTTAAGCGTGGTTATAACCTACTTACTAAGTTGGGCATCCAAGTAGGCAGTTCAAAGTTGCAATCAAAAGACCATTCGACTTGGGAACGTCGGATAGTCCAACCCTCCAATTTCCACAACCCTTACTGGACACCGCTGATGAAACGGATATGGGGGTGTCTTTTTTTAGGATACCCTTTTTTGGTGGGTTCTTAAAGGGAAACCAAAAGGTAAACCACACATTTTGGTTCCCCAAACAGAGACAAGCCCATATGAAGAGGGCGGGAAATGGAAAGTAACGAGCATCCCGGATGAGGTTCGAAGGCGCGAAGGAATCGAAAGACTGGCCACGAGACCCAGTGGCTCATGGTATCGAAAGTCTCAGGGGCCTTTGCATTTTTGCATTCGGATTGTTTTTTGTATAATGGCAACACTTTGAAGGGGCCGGGTGCCCATTTCCTAGAAGCAGTCCACGACTATTGTCCTTGGTGAATGTTGCCAAGGGATGTTAAGACTTTGACTTTTTGCCAACTCATGGGTTTTCCGTATTAAACCACTAAAAGTTAGTCACTTTTAGCGGGAGCAGATTTCTCAACCGAGAGGCCCTGTCATTCATGAAGAAGTCAAATGGCCCCCTTCCTTCTGAAAGCGAGTCCTTGAACGCACTTTCCAAACTGGGTGAACCGGGGGTCATTATTTTGGCTGTTTTGTTGGGTTGTCAAAGTCAGAAACTCGGGGTGTTTCCCTCTAACCTATTATTTAGGAGGTCAGGGGGGTCTTTTTGCCACCTTTTGCGAGAAAATTGGCGACCCCCTCAAAAGGAATCCTTCACTACGAGGGGGTCGATCATTTGTTCACGAAAGCTGGCAAAAAGACCCCCTTGCAGGAGGTGACTTTGATAGTGGTACAATAATGGGCCTGTGAACCCTCATTCAGCGTCCTTCGAAGACAATTCCGGGCTTTTGTTTGACGGTTCCCCCAAGTCGGATTTTTGTTGCGTCTCCGTTTTTTATCCAAGTCAGGGGCTGTTTCCCTTAGACCTACCCTGTGACCGCAGATTCAAAGCTGACAAAATAGTTTTAGGCTAGACAGTGCGGTTGAAAACAGGGTACCACTTGGATGTCTTGGACGCCATCAAGATACTTGCTTTCATTTGCTGAAATTAATATGCTTTTATTTTCCCTAAGAACCAACTGGAAGTAGTTGTTTTTTCCCCCAGGGGGCTTCAGCACATGGAAGCGTCATGGGGGTTATAGTAAATTCATGATGGTAGACTCCAAAGCTAACGGGACGGTGCTGATCCAGGTTTGAGAAATGGACATGGGAAGGCGAGCTCGAGACTTTTTCAACCGCAACATCTCGGAGCCACGCGAATGTTCCCATGTCCCTCTTACGGCAATTGCATACTTTGATCTTGGCTCTTCTTTTTCTTTCTTTTTTTGGGGGGGGCATTTCTGTTTGTTTTTTGGGGGGAATGGTTCTCTTGCTCTCAAAGAAGCTTTGACATCTGCGTATCTCGACTGTGGACTTTAGGAAACCGGGTGCCTGAAGTGGAGAAGTGGAGCCCCGTGGAACAAGGGCAGCTCAGCTCGGTTTCCGGACTTTCTAAAGAGCCATTTGAGCGGGGAGCAAGCAGAAGTTTGTTATTTAGCTGAGGAAACGGACATCAATTCCTGAGGTTCCTGGGTTGGCGACAGCCAACCCAAGTTGTTTTTGTGAATAGTTATGTTTTTCTCAAAATATATAATTAAGAAACGACACAGCTACTTGCCCTGCCTTCCCATTTGAGTTATCGGGTATGCCGCCCCACAAAGGGACAGTTCGTGGCGTTGATGGCGGTGACCCAACTGGTCGCCAGCGGTTTTCCCACGGTTTTGGTCAGGATGACTCGGATGCCACGGCCATCGCTGTGAAGGCTCGGATGCGCGACCGCCACCAGCGAGCTGTGGCCGTGGCCGTGCTATGGTTTTAGAAGAAACGGTTTGGCATGAAGAGAGTTCCATGCCTTCTAGGCCCTCCAGTAGTGCCCTTTTACCCTTCTTTGGGGGAGGGTTCCCCTACTAAAATAGACTACAGCAAAAAGGGTACCCGTATTCTAACCTCTCCACTGGAGACTTAGCCTTGCTACCCCAGTTCAGTGCAACCTCCAAGTTCCTTTGTGCTCTTTTTTGGCGGTGCTCGGTGGCCGCCCGTGTTTTTTCCCCCCTCCTTTCTGGCATGTCTTTCATGTGGTCAACCCCAAAAAAGACGCGTTCCCAGGCCAGGTCCTGGTGTCAACTCAGATGTCTTTGCTCAAAACGGTGCTCTTGGCTCCGCCCTCCAGGGCTCCGGGGTTAAAGCGCTCCTTGCTTAGGGATCCAGTGTGAACCAAACAGAGTCTGACGTTGAACCCGTTTTTGGGCTTGCTCTAAACATTGCCATGGAGTGGGCATTGCAGGGGTTCTTTGTTCAGTTTCAAGAGAGCAGCAGCACATTTTTGAGTTGATCATTTAAGTGGGAAGCACCTCTGCAAACAGAACCTAGTCACTGTATGTCACTGTATAGTTGGGTCTGTTTGTTTTTGAGAGTCGCCCTTTTTTGGTGAGGGAAACCAGCAGAACACCAACCATTTTGTTGGAGGGTGCAACCTTGAAACAAGTCAAACCACCCATTTGGGTAAGACAGTTATTGTTGTTTTTGCGGTCGGGAGGGCGGCGTACCCCCAACTTCCCTTCAGCCTTCACACGTTTCGCCCAATCCGAGGCGCCTCTCTGGGGATGCTAGTGGGGAGGTGTTCTTAGGCACGGGTCTAAAGAATTGCAAGCGGGTGAAATTACTATGCACCCACAAGTCAGGTCACACTCCTATGATCTTGTTTGTGATATTATGTGTGTAGATGTATTTATATCCCTATATACTATATACTATGAATTTCAATAGGGAACCCCTCCAAAGTGGTTGGTTGACATGGATCCCCAAACTGATGTCCATCATTCCGGGTCCCTTCTCAGAATTCATACCCATCTGTCCGTCTACGTGGTTTGTAGCTTTTATTGACCACTGGCCATCTGGCACAATCTGGCATAATTTGATCTGGAGGCTTTGGCGCAGGATGTCATGTCCCAGCAGGTCCGGGGCCCCGGAGACTCCGGGGCCCTCTGGCGCCGAGTGCCGAGTGCGGGCAGGTGATTTGTCTTTCTCTGAAAAAGCCGAGGTGTTTGCTCCATGGTTCTGTTGCTTTGATTTTTCTTCCTGGGGAAACCGAATCAAACCGAAGCTTGGCACTTGAAGCATGTCTTATTCAAAGGAAGCAGAGCCTTGGCCGTTTCAACAGGCGCAAAGATATGAAAGCAGAGCCTTGGTGACCCACTCAAAACAACAAACCAACAAAACCCGTGGTTTTGTTGAAGCAGTGTTTGCTTGAAAAGGGCGTCACTTCGGACAACTGGGGCATCTTGATCAGAAGGCGCAGAACCCACCGGAGTTTTCCTGCAGCCCCGCGCTGCGCACAGGGCCCCTTGCACCGGGCAGAACTGCCACCGGAAGTCCTCGAACATTGCCGGCAACACGAGTGGTTTGACCCATGTTATTCTGGGCCCCCCAGCAATTGGTGCCCGACCTCTCACCCCTTTATTGGTTGGGAGGGTTTCCCAAAAATAGACTACAGAAAAAAAAAGTTGGTACCCTTATTCTATCCTCTCAAATCTGGAGGACCTAGATGTTATTGGATTTGACCCGCTGCCCACCCTGGAGGTGGAGGATTTGAGGCATGCCACTATCTCGCTGAACCAAATTGGCAGATGACAGTCGTGTTTCGAATGGGGCTGTCAAACGCGTCAGTCGAGGTTCTCTGAGAGTTGGTTTATTTTCCCGAAACTTGCTATCCCCTACTCCAAATACCAGTTTTTGCAGATATTTTCCTCTTGCCAAGCTTTACAAGTTGCAAATGCCGCCTTGGTCAGCGCTGACATCGTGCCTGAAAGAGTGGGGATTTGGAGTGGTGTCTTTTTCTCCTGAAAGTCAAGTTGGTACACTCCACTGGACCGAAACCCGGGAAGTCCTTACGACTCGATTCACCCTTTACGGGGTAGCTTTGCCATGCTTGCAAACAGACAACTTCAGCACTTCTGACCGCACGGAAGTTGGAGTGAGCTAAAAACGCGAAAAGGTAAGCCCTGATTGGACGGATTGTTAAATTGTGTGATCACCCTTAGTGTGCCAATTGCAAGATGCTCCGATAAGACTTTAGGCGCGCTTATTTCGACGAACTGACCCCTTTCGCAGCATTCTTGTTAAATGGGAGCAATAACAATCAACTGTTGTAGTTCATTCTCTCGTGGAATCGCGGATCTCTGCCTATAGTTGAGGCTACACCAAGCCATAATAATTTTGTAGGTAGCAACATGTTAAAAGTAGTAACCTAGAAGTCATGTGTCATAATGCGGGGTAAATTTGCTGTTGGTAGGGGTTGACCACCTGTGTTCGGTGATCCTTTGACATTGACTCTGCAAAATCAACAGACAATGTTTCAAGTGCATATGCCCCAAGGAGCGGTTGCTTTCAAGGAAGCAGAAAGCCCGCCCCCGCCCGCCAAGCAATTATGACGAGAGGCAAATCCCAATAAAATCCTTTCTTGGGGTGCCCCCACGCTTTTCACCAGTCCGGGCTGGGATGGCACGCATTGATGGCATTGACTGTTTATGTTTGCCCAGGATGATGCAATCCTGGCAGCCCAGGACGGGAATGAATTCAACTCAGGGTTGGGCTGCGAGAGGTGGCGTGTTTGGAGCCCAAACGCCCTTCACCCCAAAGAAGTGCGTGGCCCCTCTATTCTCAACTTCACCGCAATGTTTTGCTTCTTTGGGTTCACTTTACTTTAGTGAGGGCTGCAAACAAGCAAGTTGTTTGCTACCATGCCAAGGGTTGGACAGTCGCGTGGCAACAGATGACACGCTTCAGAATGTGCAAGCAGACCAGTTCCTGACCAGTTGGACAGAACACTTTGTGGGAGGATGGTGGTAAGCAACAAGTTTGCACTTGTCAATCACTCCCGCGTGAAATTGTTTCACAGCGTTTGGAACTCCGGGCATGCGGGAATAAACCAGGGGTGGCCTCAAAGGAAACCACATACCATGGAGTTGTTCGGGGTGACCATTCCCTCATTTCCTGCCTACCGCAGCAAGAGTGAGACGAGGCATAGGCTTCAAGGAAGGCAAGTGCTAGGGATGCTCTTCGAAAAAAAGAAGTGAAGCACCAAAAGCACAGCACACGTTGCTTGAGTTCGCGGTGGCTCAATCTATGACCAACGCATGAGTTCTTGCATCATGCAGTGGACGCCTGATATGGGGCTTTATGGGACAAACAGCCCTTAGAAGGCAACACAAGGTGGCAACACGCGTGGCGGGAAGCACAAGACAGGCTGCACGTGTCAGCATTGTTCTCTAAACAGTCAGTTGAGAATGGGAGGTCACAAGACCGAGCAACCGCACGCAGCAACAATCAGGCGCTGGTTGGCTTTGCGGATACGGTGGCTCAGCAGCAGGCCAGGTCCCTCGTTGTGATTGCTGCACCGCGTGCTCTCTGGCAACTTGAACTTTGCGTGAGCTTTGAGATATGTGGCTGAAATGTTGGGCAAGGGGAAGAGAACCTCCTCGACTTGACATTTGGATTGGTTGTATCATTCGTGACCTAGGGGCTGATGACTTGCAGTTCGGCAGCGGTAGTTCGGCAAAGCCTGCCAGGAACAGGAGGCAACCCACGTTGCGTCCAAGGACGGGTCGACTTGTGATGGAGAGTTGCGGAGGTTCAATATCTCTGTCGTATTGTTGCGGGGTTCGCCCATGGCCAGCTTGAATAGTAGAAGACTGCGTATATGGTCCATACATGGTCCATGCCGAAAGCGTCACATCGTTTAGTGGCTTTTGCTAAGATCCACTCTCATATTGGTGCAAGTGCTGCTTAGGTAACACTTATCAAGAATGCTTGTTTCTGGCTGAGGGTTTGTTGCATGATTCTGCAGCTGCCTGATATGCGCGCGTCGGCAAGCACAAGCAGCTGCATGGTGACAGGCTGCACGTGTCAGCATTGTTCTCTAAAGTCATTTGAAGACTGGAGACAAGCGCGAGCTACAGCACGCATCAGCAATCAGGCACTGGTTGGCTTCGCGGAGACGGTGGCTCAGCAGCAGGCCGGATCCGTCGTTGTCGTTGCCGCGCTGCGTGATCTCTGGTGACTTGGATTAGATTTGACCTGCTTGCATCTGAAATCTTGTCGGAACGTGACGGCAAAAGGACCTGTTTTTACCCGGCGTTTGCTAATCGCATTTCTTAGATTCAGCCGACCATGAAGGTGACATGCCCATGTGCCACATGTGCCTGGCAGCACGCCCAGCTGCGGTTTGGCACAGCATTGCCAGGAGGCGAAAAACGTTGCGTCCAAGGACGGGACGACATGTGTCAAAGAGTTGCCGAAGTTTAATCAGTGCCGGTTTCGGGATTTGGCCATGAGGCAGAGCGACTAGGTACACCATACCCAAGACGCTACACTTGTTTTAGTGGATGCTGAAGATGCCGCCTTAGCCTGCTGTACAAGTGCTGCTGAAGATACACTTCTTGAATGCTTCTTTCTGGCTGAGGGTTTTTTGTACGATGTAGCAGTGGCCGCCTGATATGGGACAAACAGGTCTTAGAAGGCGGCACGAGACGGCAATACGTGCTTCAACAAGCACAAGCAGTGGCACAGTGACAGGCTGCACGTGTCAGCATTGTTCTCTACAAGTCATTCGAAGACTGGAGATGATAAGCCCGACCAAAAGCACGCAGGCGCTGCTTGGCTTTTCGGAGACGGTGGCTCAGCAGCAGGCCGGATCTTTGGCCGCCGTTGCTGTTGGGTGTGCTCTTTGGTGACTAGAACTTTGCGTGAGCTTTGAGATATGTTGTTGGAATGTTTGGTAAGGGCAGCAGAACGTCCTCTACTCAACATTCGGATTGTTTGTATCATGTCAAGGCGTGACCCACGGGTTGATGACTTGCAGTTCGGCAGCAGTGGTTCGGCAAAGCATGCCAGGAACAGGAGGCAACCAACATCGCGTCCAAGGACGGGTCGACTTGTGATGGAGAGTTGCGGAGGATTGAGTTTTCGCATGGTTTGCGGGGTTCGCCCGTGGCCAGCTTGAATTGTAGAAGGACTGCATATATGGTCCATACATGGTCTGTGCCGAAAGCGTTACACATTGTTTAGTGGCTGTTGGCTGAAGGTTTTTGCATGATGCGGGGTTTTAGCAGGCCTTGGAAAGGTTCTCGGGGCGGCCGTTCTCCTTGTCAGCAAGGGCAAGCCGGCATAGTGGCATGCTGCACATGTCAGCCTCCCCACCCTAAAAATGGAGGGGGTCCTGGAGATCTCTAGTTCCATTTTCCCTTCGGGGAAGACTAGATCAATGGAATCGGGGGACCCCCTACCCCCTCCCCCCTAGGGGGTCATTGACGGCTGGAGCTCATAAAGAGTAACAGCACGCAGCAAGGCGCTGGTTGGCTTTGCATCGGCAGTGGCTCAGCAGCAGGCCGGATCTTTGGCAGTGGCTGTTCAGTGTGCACCCTGGCAACTTGAACCAGACAAAGGTGTACATTTGACATATTGCTGGGATGTTCAGGCAAAAGGGGCCGCCGCTTTAGATTCTTTTTGTGTATATGCTTGGTACACGTTGACCACGGGGCCGGGTGCCCATTCCCAGAGCCAGTAGTCAACTATGAATGTGGCAAAGTGTGCCAGGAGGAGGATGCAAAATTTGTCGCGTCCAAGGACGGGGCGAGTTGTGTTGGAGTCGAGTCGAGTTTTAGTTTTTGCCAGTTTCTTCGGGGTTTGCGCACGGATGGCCAGCCTGAGTTGCGGAATGACTACATGAATGGTAGGTACGTATTTGTTTGCGGTTACAGTTTCTTTCGTGGATGTTGCAGATGATATTATACATTACCTCGACCTTCGTACGGTGCAAGTGCTGAAGATTCACTTGTTGAATGTTTCTTTTCTCAAAGGGTTTAATGCAGCACTACGGGTGTCAACAGCGGGCAGAACAGCCAACCGAAGATGTCGGCATTGTCGATTGCAAGTCTTTTAAAGACTTGACATGACAAGCCCGAACACCATCACGCATCAGCAATCAGGCCCTGGCTGACTTTGCAGTGGCAGTGTCCAAGCAGCAGGCCGGATCTTTGTGGCAGCTGTTGCTGTTCAGTGTGACGGGTGCCGGCAACAGCGGGGGGTCGGCAACGTGTGCCAGGAGGAGGATGCGAAATCCGTCGCGTCCAAGGACGGCGCGAGTTGTGTTGGAGTCGAGGTTTAGTTTTTGCCAGTTTCTTCGTGGTTTGCGCACGGACGGCCAGCCTGAGTTGCGGAATGACTACATGCTACAGTTTCTTTAGTGGTTTTTGCCGCAAGGGCTGCTGAACATGTTTTTGCATCATGCAGCATTGTTCTCTAAAGGTCATTTGAAGACTGGAGATGATAAGCCTGATCAACAGCAGACATCAGCAATCAGGCTCTGGTTGGTTTTGCGGAGACGGTGGCTCAGCAGCAGGCCGGATTTTGGCGGTCGTTGCTGTGCTCCTTTGGTGACTTGAACTTTGCGTGAGCTTTAGACATGTTGTTGGAATGTTTGGTAAGGGCAAGAGAACGTCCTCTACTCGACATTCGGATTGTTTGTATCATTTCAAGGCGTGACCCAGGGGTTGATGACTTGCAGTTCGGCAGCGGTGCTTCGGCAAAGCATGCCAGGAACAGGAGGCAACCAACGTCGCGTCCAAGGACGGGTCGACTTGTGTTGGAGAGTTGCTGCGGGGTTCGCCCATGGCCAGCTCGAATGGTAGAAGGACTGCATATATGGTCCATACATTGTCTACAGTACAATGAAAGAGACACACGATTGTGCGTGTGCTGCTGAGGATGCGCTTATTAAGAATGCTTGTTTCTGGCTGATGGTTTTTTTGTACGATGTAGCAGTGGCCGCCTGATATGAGACAAGCAGGCCTTAGAAGGCAACACGTGGCGGCAATACGTTTGTCAACAAGCACTAGCAGGCGGCATAGTGACAGGCTGCACGTGTCAGCATTGTTCTCTAGAAGTCATTTGAGCTCATTTGAAGACTGGACATGATAAGCCCGATCAACAGCACGTATCAGCAATCAGGCGCTGGTTGGTTTTGCGGAGACGGTGGCTCATCAGCAGGCCGGATTTTTGGCGGTCGTTGCTGTGCTCTTTGGTGACTTGAACTTTGCGTGAGCTTTGAGATATGTTGTTGGAATGTTGGGCAAGGGCAAGAGAACCTCCTCTACTCGACATTCGGATTGTTTGTATCATTTCAAGGCGTGACCCGGGGGCTGATGCTAACCCCTTAAACTCAGTAGAGACACTCATGAATTTGGCAGGGGTTCATTTGCCCTTGCAGTTTGGCAGCGGTGGTTTGGCAAAACGTGCCAGGAACAGGAGGCAACCAACGTCGCGTCGAAGGACAGGTTGACGTGTGTCGAAGAGTTGCAGAGGTTCAATATCTATCGTCCTTTTTGGTGTTCGCCCGCGGCCAGCCTGAGTAGCAGAAGAACCGATAACTTGCTACACACCGCAAAGGGTTTCACCGTTGCACTTCGTGAAAGTGAGTGTTGCTGAGGATTTCATCTTAGGCACAAGCAGCCAGCATAGAAGCCGACTGCAGATTCAGATGTCGACCTTGTCCTTTGGAAGTCATTTCAAGATTTGAGCTGATAAGACCGGGCAACAGCACGCATCAGAATCAGGCGCTGGTTGGCTTTGCGGAGACGGTGGCTCAGCAGCAGGCCGGATCTTTGCCGGGCACTGCTGTTCAGTTGCACCCTACACTCCCCCAGACTAACATGGAAGCTCCCAGAAGGCCTCTGCAAATGGAACCAAGTCTTCCAAAGGGGCCCTTCCATGTTAGTCTGGCGGAGGGTAACTTGTGCAAGAGAACTGTGCACACTCGAGTTTTTGAAATGTAACGAGAAAAGGACTGCCACGCTGCATTCGGATTGTTTGTATCATGGTAAACTTTGACCAAGGCTAGGTCCCCCAGTAGTGCCCTTTCTCACCCTTTGTCAAAAAGGGTACCCTATTCCAACCTCTCTACTGGAGGAGGACAGGGTGACAATTCCCTAGACGCAGTAGACAAGCATTATTATCATGGGCTTGTTGCTTTGGTGCTTGTTGCCTTGCGCGCGGAGCGGTTCAGGAAGAGGCCACCAACGCCGCATCCAAGGACGGGACGACTTTCGCGGGACGTCTTGTGTGTTGAAGCCATAAGGCTTATGGGCCTCTTTTGGTTAGTACCCAAGATCTTGCAGTTCCCCTGTCAGATATTCTATTGCTGGGATGGTAGATCCCCCAAAAGTGAAGGATTCCTCCCTGGGCGCCTATTGATCAAAGAAAGGGGAGACATGTTTGCCCTCTCGCCTTCAGGGTGTCCAGAACTCCAGGATTCCTTTTGGTTCCAAGAACCTTCGGGCCCCTTTTAGAGGTCTTGCCGGGGTCATTCATCGCAGAGGCTTCGGTTTTGAGGGTCAGGCGGCTCACTTTCCAGGCCCTGGCGCAGTACGTCACCTTCCAGCTGCAACGCGAGGCTCGGGGGATCCACCCCCCACGTGGCTGTGGTGCTCAAAGCCCAGGGGATCCCATTTTTGGGGTGGGTGCGCCACCCATTTTAGTCTATTTTAATCGGGATGTTCACTGGGGGTACAGGCTTTTGACCCATGGCCACATGTCACGACAGGGTTTTTGGAGGCATTTGGGGGGGTCGACTTTCTTTTTTTTGAGGGTACCCCGCCCTCTTTTTGGTGGTTTTAAAGGGAAACAAATACAGACAGCTCGGCCATTTTGGGGGGTGCCCGACAGAAAGACGAGCCACACGTTTGCTTGTAGGATAGGTGTTGGGAAAGGTTTACTAGGGGTGCGCTTAGACGGGTTATGAGAGCCTTTCTCGTGCTCCTAATGAGTAGCCTCACATTCACAAGAGTATCCAGACACGAAGCTCTCCAGAAACAAAAACAGAAGGAAACAACACCTGAAGAATGGATGCCCAAAGATGCTTGGGCGGCGCAAGATGTGGGTGGCTCTGCTTTTGGTTGAGTTGGTACTACTTGTTGCATGGTTTTTAAAGGGAAACCCAAAGGAACGCCACATTTTTTTTGGTGGAAACCAAAGGAACGCCACATTTGTTTGTTCTTGTTTTTGTTGGGTGGACCCTCAAAAAGACCACACACACATACGTGCTGTTTGCGGTTTTAAAAGGAAAGCAAAGGGACGGCCCCGCCCATTTTTCTGGATAACCCAAAAACATGGAGCCATGGTCATCCGGCAGGCCGAGACCTCCATCGCGGAGGACGGCTCCCAGAGAAGTGGTTTTTGTGTCTCCTCAACTTTTCGAGTCGATGGGGATCCGTTCGCGCAAAAGACGGCCGCGTTGCGGGCCATTTCGGTGGGTGCCTTTTGTGAGTACTCCCCTTGGTGGGTTTAATAACCCATTCTCGGGGCTTCTAAAGATGACCAGCGTTGCCATGGAGGTTTCACAGATATCAGATTTGGGCATAGGGGCTCTCTTTTCAAGAGAGCTTTGCACCTTTTGAGTAAATCATTCAAGTGGAAAGCACCGACAGGGCGGTTTTTCTGATGCGGCCATACATCTGCAGAAACCTAGTCAACGTATAGCTGGGTCTGTCCTTTTTTTCGAGTACTCCCTTTTTTTGGGTGGGTTGAAAGGGAGACCATTTTTTGGGACTAACCCTTGTGAAAGATGGCCCATTCCACCCCGAAACGTAGGACGTTTGGAAGCCCTGCTTTGACCTGACGGCTGGTCTGAAAGGTGCCCCACGATCTTTTGGAAAGGAACCCACTTGTTTTTTTGTTGAACCTGCAAACACATATATGGGAGGCTTTTTGAGGTACCCTGTTTTGTGGAAGAAACCAAGCATTTGTCAGGGTCCCCTTTTTCGGACACCCATATGTTCTTGCGTTTTGCTCGGGACACAAGGAACTGACCAGTCTGCTCTTGGGAAGGATGAGAACCGACACGCCCGACTTCGCCATTGAGTAAGTGCAGAGCTTCCCCAGGGCTGTCTGATTTGATGGGCCTATTTGGCGGGCGCAAATGAAGTATGCGTTATGACACCTTTTAATGTCAGACACCTGCATGCATGTTCACAACTGCAATACATAAATGTGTGTATATGGTCACACCCCTCCATGATCTACCTTCGTCCCTTGCTCTCCTTCAACAAATGCTAAAACCCTGTGTTTTTGTTGAGGTTATTTGCTTTCACATTGTGCTTGATGGTTGGCCCGAATCGGGCCAACCATCCTGCATACCTATGATACATATATATATATATATTAATTATTATATAGAATTGTATATAGTACACATGTGGATACACAGTTGCTTGCACATGCACGCACACCTTGGCTGGGCTGGTGATTTGGGGGTGAAATCCCACTATACATGGTTGTTGTTGGGAAACATTTTGCATTTTTTGCTTGTTGTGGTTTAGTGGTTGAAATCCAGCCACCTAACTGCTAAGAATTAAATCCAAGCATTGTGGTTTAGTGGGAAATCCCCACTTAACTGCTAAAATTTAAGATTTTGCTCCCCTTCCAACGTCAACCAAGTGTACGTAACCCAAACTTGCTGCAGGCGCTGGCGCTGCATGCCAAGCAGGCACCGGACTGAGCGCTGGAAGTGCTGGGAGGGTTCACAGAGCGGTTAAGGGTGGGGTAGTTCCATAGGTACACCGTGGACAAACAAAACCCGCAGGGGGAATGGCCAAAAAAAAACCAAAGATTCCCATTTTCTCCCAATGTCTTGGGAGGTAAGGGTAGGTAGGTATATTGTTGACAGACAAAGCCTTGTGATGGCCAAAAAACCTATGGATTCCACATTCTTCTCCCAATCTCTTTTGAGAGGTAGTCAGGTTTCACTCTTGACCATGGTGTAAGCAAATGGAACCCTGAGTTGGCGCAATGTTGTTAAAAGATCTAGTATAGGGTTTAATCCATTCCCAACAGGATTTCGTTTGTCCACCGTATACCTTAGATCAAGACACCTAAAAGCCATGACCGTACCCAGCATTTGGTCCATCTCACTGATGGACGAAATCCATTTCGCACCGTCCAAGAAACTACTGGAACTTGATACGATTCCACGTAAATGCCAACGTAAACTTTCTGGTTTCACCCTGGTGCATCGAATTGGATCCAGCCACACGACCTCTTTCTCGTAGGGGGTTGGCACCATACCAGCCAAAAAACAAAATGCGAGTTGCAGTGGGGAAAAATAGTGAGTCGGTTCCAACTATGGCTTAAAAGTCGGTTCCAACTATGGCTTAAAGGCTACAAGGGAACATATCTCCGCTGTCCCAATAACCATGGTTACAACCTACCTGACATGGGCTGAACACCTGCGACAGATTGACTCGATCAGGATTCGGGCAATGGTTGCGGCCTGGAATGATACGCTCCCCAACGTAAATGCCAACAAACTTTACGGTTTCAACCATGGTTTCAACGTGGTGCGAATCGAATTTCGGCCATCAGTAGCAAACCGATCCGCCGATCCGCGGGCTCTCGGGAGAAGCATGTCAAGCGCGCCAGGCAGACGACCTCGCCGTGGCTTCCAAGGACCGGCCGTCGGGGTGCGCTTGGGTTTCTGCTTGGGTTTCTTCCTTCAGAACATCAGCCACGTCCTCAAAACCCGGGTAGATGAAGGTTAGGGACAATCCCCTTGCCATAAATAGCTGCGGATATCCGCCTTCTTCATTCTTTACATGGTTCTGGGCAGACCATTTTGATGCCGGGTTTTGATTATGACTCACATGAAGAGGCTCTCACTGCCCGAGCACCTGGACTTTTTGATGCTTCTTTGGGTTTGGACCATTTCAGTGCTGCAGAAAAGGATTGGTTGCTTTTTTGTCCGCTCGATCGAAAGTGAGAGCTATTTTGTTTCTTCGTTCCCAGCCCTGTGGGTCCAGAGCGTGTTGTTTAGGTGCTCTTTTTTGTGAGTTTAGGGGTTGGGTTGCCATTTAAGCCACTAAAAGCTAGATCTGAGTACTTTGTGTCTATTGGATAATTGGATCTTTGGACTTGCACTTTTTGGTTGAAACAGGTCGGATTTTCCGGATTGGCTGAAGCTCGTTTGGAGAATTTACATCCGGGTTTGCTCCGCCTGGACTGCACATCGGCTTCTTTGCACCCTGCTTTACCCTGCACACTACAAACATTCTCAGGTCTCCCGGATATGTTCCAACTGCCATGGTGGGTCTTTTCTAGCAGACCAAACACCCCGCCCCAAGCAAAAACTGTGGGTTTTCCTTTTGGTGTTCCTTTAAAACCACAAACAGGTGGTGCCAACTCCAACTCCAAAAAGACGAGCCACCCATATCTGCGTTGTCGCATCCATCTCCCGATGCAGCCATCCATGGTTTTGCAGTCCGATCCCTCGATGCTATATCTCACTTCCCTGAGTTCATGAACTTTAAACTTTTTGGGAAGACCATTTTAGTGGCAAATATAAAGTTTTCCACTCAGCAGGTGAGATATGGGTGGCTTGTCTTTCCTTGATACAGCCCTCCTGGAAAGGCCTGCCTACTTCCATGTTGGACCCGTGCCAAGAACGAGTTCATTCGAATGGCAACCGAGTCGCTGAACCGCCGCAGGCGCTGGCACAGTTCGTGACTTCTCGCGTGGAGGAGGCGGACATCCGGGAAGCCTCGCAGGCCCGGCTGGGCACAGAGAGCATGGTTTTCTTCCATTTGCTCGACTGATCTATTTTTTTATTTATTTGTTTCTCTCCGCTGGCTTGAACAAACAAATCTAGCACTGGAAATATTCTCATTTTCTTGAAGGGGGCTCAAGCAAACGGATGTTTTCCCACCAGAAAGCTTTGCTCCGATTCTCTCGCGGGAGACCGCTTGCGGAGGGTATAGTGCCTCTTGAAAGGAAAGGGCTCTTTGTTGCAAGCACTGACCCGGGATTCATAATGATGAATACAAGCAGGCTGATAGTTGATTGGAGGGTGCTCCTAATGTTGAGGGACCCAGATTGGCTTTTGGGGGGAACACCCTCCCCTGCGAATCTCCCCTACAAAAAGCATATAGACTGCCCAACATATGTTCAAGCAACCGGACCGTGACACTCTTCAAGGGAAGCTGTAAGCTGGTGGTAAAAGCATGGTTCAAAAATGGTGCGGCTATACGCTCGACAGGCTCGTTTTTGGCTTGAAGAAAGCTCCAGCGGCGTTTGCTCCTCGGAATGGCCCTCTTTGGCTCTGGTTCTTGACCCCTCGGGTCTTGTCACAGGAACGTCTGCCTAAGGCTCTGGCACTTCCGTCTCAAAGTCCGCGGGTTGATTTCCTAACCAGAAACGGGTCCAAGAGCCCCAAGGGTTGATCCCCAGGTGCTTTCCCCAGATAGCTTTAGCTATAGGGCTTAAGGAATTCGTTTACTATCGATTGGGGGTTGTTCAGCGAAATCGGTTCAGGTCGGGGTGCTAGTCAGGGTGCTGGTGACTGGCAGTGCTTGTTCGGTGCATCTTGGTGTGCTTAAGGTGGAGTGGTTGCCGTCATTGTTTTTTCTTGCTTGTTTAGCGATGCAGCCAGGGTGCTGGTCAGCGTCGTGTTGTAATCTCCCATGCCTTCTGGGGTCTATGCTATTGTATTTGGCCGTGGCTCGAAATCAAACAGCTGGGGCCAAGCGGGTTTTAGTCAACCTTTCCTTTTGCCCTGCCAAGTTGGTAGCCTCTTTTTTTTGACCCAGCCGCCAGTTGCTTTTTGTTTTTCGGTGGTCGGATTTCTCGTTGCCTTTTTTTTCAGCTGAAAGGGAGCCCGTGGCTCAGGCTCTCTTGCACTTCGTGCTCTCGGCGCAAGAGGCCCGAGAAAAATTTCTGGCTGCCGCACGAGGTGTTTTAGGTCAAAGGGATTCGGGTAGATGAAGGTGAGTAAGGGGCAGTCCCAGCCAGACATAGCTGCGGCTATCCGCCTTCTTGATGCCTTACGTGGTTCTGGGTGGACCAGTTTAAGACCGGGTTTTGATTGTGACTCAGGTTAGCCTAACTTGGTGCGTTGGATTGGTGGCTTGGATTTGGATTTGAAGCCTTGCTTTTAGTTCAAGGTCCAAGGGTTGTGCTCTTAAAGTCAGGCTAAGCTTGGCGGCTTGGATCGGTGTTGGATTTGGATTTGGGGGCCCTGCTGGTTGTAGAGGGAAATGGGGAAGCCGTCCATGACAACCAAACGAGCAAGCCACACCACCAATCGGAAGGGAGCGGTTTTTTTTTTTCCCCGGCAAACCGCGAGGTGATAGGTTTCTTATAGCCATGAAAGATTGTTAGGCCCGATCCGCTTCCTTCTCTTGGGTGGTGTTTTCCTCACTGGTAACCAGAGGCATGGTAGAGTCGAAGCCCAACACTTCAGCCTTTAGAAGGCTTTCCCAGGGCTTAGGTTGTCAAAGGCAACCACGAGCGACGCACCTTGGGAGGGGGTTTGTTAGTGAAAGGAACCACCGTGGGGCCCACCTGCCGGCGAGTCTTGATGGAAGCCAAACTGAAAGTAGCGTCCTTTCTCTCCCAACTGACAAGGGCCTTAGAAGATCACGTTTCTTTCACCAGGAGAGAATGGATCGCATAGGGATACAACCTGTCTCTTACACCAGGTTCCTTTCCATTGTATGGGACATAGTTTCTTGCCCGATATTTCAGACAGCCCTCGAAATAATACCATGAATCGGGGGAATTGCGGGCAACGCGGCAACTTGACAAAGGTGGCTGAATGCATGCACCCAATGGGGTCTGTTAAACTTCCCCCAAAGGAAGATACACAAGAAACACACAGGATGGTAAATGCCGTCGCGTTTGGGTTGGGGCGGCCCCCCCCAGAAATCTGCACATGGTTGTTCCAGACCCCAAATGAATGCTTGCTTTGTCCTCGGCTGGTCACTTGCGTTAGGCAACCGGGGAGCCGGGTGCCCTATTCCTAAGTCGCCGAATTGCTATACAATTTCCTGCAGAAGTGGACAAAAGTCTTCCCAAGGCAAGTACTTTCAGGTTTCTCCTGTCAGCTTCTATTGGAGGAAGGGTAGCATTGGCACCGCGGGCAAAGCGCACAAGCCGCACCCTTTCCGTTTGAACGCCCCCTGCACGCCAGGATCAGGAGGTGGATTTGTCGGCTGTGGCGTGCAAGGCGTGCGAGCTTCGTGGCTCCGAAGACCAGATGCGGTTGTTGTAGCTTTCGCTTTCGCTGGGTTTTGTGTGTTGTCAGTTGCTACTATTACCATAACTCATTACTTGGTTGTAGCCTTGTCAGGTTGCACAATGAACTTGTGAGCTAGCTCGGGGGTAGAATACTTCGCGCTTGCGCAGGAAGACTGCTTTCTTGGTAGCATTCGAGCATCTTTTGTTTGGTATGGTGCCAACCCCCGAGTACGAGCAAGAGGTGCTGTGGATGGAAGAAATCCAATTTGAGCCACTTGGAGGATGAAACCGTAAAGTTTGTTGGTATTTGCGTTGGGGAAGCATCAGACACCGTTTCTTAGGTGGGGCGAAATGGATTTTGCCCATCCACAGTATGTGCCTCTGAAAACTGCTTTTTTGTTTGGTTTCTTTTTCTTTGTTTCTTCTTTTTTCTATTTCCGAAATATGCCCAAGACTACCCTCACAGGGGGCCCGATAATTTCTTCAATTTTTCTTGCGCGTAGGCAACCAGAACCGGTCTCAAAGCCAAAGGGACAATGGCGGATTTGCGCAAGTGGCAACTGGGATCCACCGGGTGGATTGAAGATACGGAGCCAAAGAGCCCCAAAAAGGGAGTCCCTTCCCCACAAGAAGATTCCTCCAAACATGGAATGTATGCTGTTTTTTGAGCTTCCATGGGAATCGATTCCGGGCTCGGTTCTTTGTTGCGCGTGTTCGCTTTGACTTCCTTCCATGGAAGTCCCATCCACCGCAGGTTGTTGAGAGAGTGTGAGTGGGTCGCAAACAGTAGTATAAAGGCAGAGGGCCGAAATATTAGGTTTTTGTTTCCTTCCCAACTGCTGAATGCTTTGGGGTCTCTACCCAAATAGGCTGTGGGGTGGTTTGGGACATTCACGGAGGTCTCTGGCCGGGGGTTTCGGGCTGTTGGGGGCCTTACACCTGGGCTTTGAGGTGCTCCCTTTTGCAGGGCTCCTTAAAAGATACATTTTGCCACCATTTGAAACATGGCTTTTCCACCAAAATAAAGGGACACTACCATTTACAAGGCAATGTTCGGGTGTATATTGTAAGGTGCCCTCTTTTGTGTCCATCAAATTTATGTTTTCCCATGCAATCCTTCTCTTTTTTCTGGTTGCCTTCTGGTTTCCTTCGGGTTTCCTTCTGGTTTCCTTGGGTTTCCTTCTGGTCTCCGTTGCCTTCGGTTCTTCCTTTCGTGTGGTTCTCGACGAAGCGAAGCTCGCAGCTCGAAGCTCGTAGGCCCTGGCGCAGTACGTCCTCGCGGAGCCGAAGGAGAAAGCGAAAATCGGAGCATCGGCGGCTTCTGGCTGAAAGCTAGCTGGCAAGCCGCAGGAATTTTAGTCTTTGGTTCCATTTACCAGGGCATTTTGGGTACATGTTTTTGAGCCACAGCCAAATGGTCGCATGTTTTTGAGCAGCCAATGGTTGTTTCTTTTTTGTTGGCCCTTGGCTTCAAAGGGAATTCTATCAGGAAATAGATGTGTTCTCTTCGGTTTGGGGCGAATCGGCTTAAAGAAGTGAAGGCGAGCTAGGTTTTGATCACTTGGGATGGCGGGATGGTTGGGGGCTTGGGGAGTTGTTGCGATTCATATTGAGCACTCCATCTTTGAAGAACCAGAGTTGGAAAGGCCCAATGGTTCACAGTGGAGTAAATCTCACCCTGAAACAAGACACGCCTGGGTCGTAAACAAGTGCTGTTTGGGACTAGTTAAGCGAAATGGACGTGGTCCGTTGAGCTTCTCCAAGCTGGAGACAAAGCCTCATTTCCACGCACTCTTGGGAAATGTGACGATGTGAAGCACCTCGCAAAATTCTGGCTTGAGAAGCCAGCTAGGACTTGAATCAGGGCTCAGACCCTTCTGGGTTTTGGTGGAGGATCTAGAAGCCCGCATGGGTCCTTGCTTTTTCCCCACGCCGCGGGGATGTTTTCTCTGTGCCTTTGGCTGGTGAAGATTTCCGTAGATGGCGCTGGCTTCTCGATGGCTGGGAATGATTGTGGCAAGACAGCGTGCTTTGGGCTGCCCATTTCCATTCTTTCCAGGGATCCGAATCTTTCTAGAAAACCTCCAGAAACCCAAGAAAAACGGCTGGTTTTCGACAAGAACGATGGTAGGAAAGAATGGAAATGGAATCAACCCCTAGAAAGGTGAAGCGAACCAGGTCCTTTTGAGGATTGACTCCGAGTAACTCTTCACTTCGGGCCGTTTCGTTCGCGCTTGACCTTCGCGAACGGCGAGGCGCGGTCCGGGAGTCCGGGAGCTGTTCCGCTGTCTCCATTTCGGCTGTTGTTTTTGCATCCCAAGGGGTTGAGCGTGTGCTCGGGCGTCCCAAAAGTGTTTTTCTCTTTTTTCAGGGTGTGTTTCGATCCCTTCCCCGGCGGGCTATACCTCAGTTCTTCAGTGGCGCCCTTTTTTCTTCCTTTTTTTGGTGGCTGCCCCACTAAAAATGGGTCCAAGCCCCAAAAAAGGGCTCCCATTTTTTTCCAGGGTCACTGAACAACTGAGATACACACGATTACGCACGCACGCGTTTGGCAGGAGGAGGTGGATATCGCAGCCATCGCATCTAAGGCCGGGAGCGCGGCATGAGAGCGACGAGAGCGGGGTCTCACAAAAACAAGAAGCACCAAGGGACTGCCAATGCCAACCGTGATTGTCGCGAGAGGGGATGATATGGGGCATGCTCAAACAACGGCTGCTAAGTTTTTTTTTTTTCTCGGTTTGTGCCCAACAGCAATCAACGTGGACCTCCCTATGATGCTGTGGATGCTACGAGATCCATTTCGCATCGCTTGGAAACCATGGTTGAAACCGTTCCTATGATGCTGGGATGGACGAGATCCATTTTGCATCGCTTTGAAACCATGGTTGAACATTTTCGTTGAATCATCAATCACCAGGGTTTCTGAACGGAGGTGCGAAATGGATGTCGTCCATCCACAGTACACTCCCTCAGACTAACATGGATGCTCCCAGAAGGCCTCTGTAAATGCAACCAAGTCTTCCAACGGGATCCTGGGAGCTTCCATGTTAGTCTGGGGGAGGGTATGTTTCGTCCATCCACAGTGAGATTCTGTCAACACGTTCCGTCGGTACTCACTGCCTCACTCACTGCTTCACGGCGGCACAAACCGGTTTCAACCACCATGTTGACTGTGCCGGTGGCTTGCTAAGCAAGGCTCATCATGTGTCATTGGCCACAAAGGAGATGACACGGGGTGTCTCGCACCACTGGCAGGGCCCAGAAAAACCCACTTTGCAACATCTCGGGCAAGACCAAACCAAGAAGTAAGGCATGCGCAAGTTGAAGGAACGGACGTGTTTCCCAGCGAATTGTTTTGGCCATAGGTGTCCTTGGTTGTTTTGCTCAAGCAAAAAATGAGGGCGATTCCTGGTTTACCTGGTGTTTTTGTTTCTCATCTACCAGGGAAACCCATCCAAGGCCAACCTAAAAGGACGCCAATGGATTCATATCGCGCGGGTTCCCACGCCTTGGGGCTTCGAAGCCAGGCGCTGGCGCGGGATGTGATGGCGCAGGATGGGGGGGGATCTGGGGCTGAGAAGAAGTGAAGGACGAGAGATGGGGAGCTCAGTTTTCGTTTTTTAGCTGGTTGCCTGTTTGTTTTGGGCTTTCAAAGGCAAGCCAATCTTTTCTTCTCTTTTTTGGGGGTACCTGTTTGTTTTTGGGTTTTGAAGGCAAGCCAAAGCGGACACCACCCATTTTGGGCCCGAATGGGGGTGTTTGTTTTTGAGTTGGTACCCCTACAAGGCTTTGTTATAAAAGGAAACCCAAAGGAACACCACGTTCTTTTGTTTTTTGGGGGGGTCCAAGCTTCAAAAAGACAAGCACTGATAGTTGCTTCTATGGAGGCTGCTCAAGTATACAGGGGATCTCGCGACTCTCTGGCATCGAACGTAGGCATCCACGAAAGGCTCCTGCCTCTTTTCCTGCAAGCTGGGAGTTTGATCAGCCGCCTTTCTGTCACCACCCGGATGACTCAACTGGCCTCGTGGATGTTTTTTTGGGTGGTTTACCCTCAAGCAGGGTTTTGGGATCACTCGGGGTTTCTCCAACCACTTCTGTGACACAAGTTGGAATCCCCCTTTCTATGAACACAATAGTCTTTGGAAAGCCCTTTCCGTTGTATCACAGAAGTGGTCATTCCCCACAGCCCTGCCCTCAAGGATCTGTACGGGACACATCCCGAAGCATGAGGAATTTGTTGATCCAAGGTTTTCACAGTCTATACACGGCAGGTGTCCGTCGATGTTTCGGGAGGATTGCAGCACCTGTTTGGGCCATCGCAAAAAACTTCAGCTTGCCTGTTGGTTGGACACACACGGAAACCATGGCTGTCGCTAAGTGGACTTTAGTGGTATCAGAGAAAGTGGGCGGCAGCGCCAGCAAAAATAACGCAAGCTTGTTTGGCCTTTTCTGAAGATTTGTTCTTAGCCGCTGGCCACATTGGTTCACTGTTGATTTGGATCGACAGGGCAGCGGGGGAGTTTCCTCATGCAGTTTGACCGCAAAGATGTCCCAAGTTTTCATGTGGAGAACACTCGTGGGTGTTGTTCAACTTCAATTCGGAATGCGCCGATCCTTCTTCTTCTTTTTTGGCTGGGGTCTGCGGCAGTTGAAACGCCCAAGTGTCAGGCGTGGGGCCTCATGTCCGTGACATGTTCTGCCTGGCCTCAAATTCACGAAAATGGAGACTAGAAGAAGGGAACACCAAAATGGTGTGGGAGAATCTCAAAGCTGGCAGAATCTGTTGGGTTGTAGTACCTTCAGAATGACGAGAGCAACTCGCAAAAACAAGGTATATACTCGCTCTCTCATCTCTCTCTTGATTTGGGAAGAACGAGAACCCAGAGTGAAGCGAGCAACACGCGGACATTCTCCGAAACGCAAATGGATAATGTTCAAAGAGAGACCTGCTTAGGAGGCCCAGCGGATCCCTAATTATATAGTGGAGCCCATTTCTGCTCATGTTTTGCTGCTGTTTGTGAATCTGGGCTTCCATGTGTGGAAGGGCCCATTTGTGCTCATTCGGTGCATTCTTCTCCCTCCTTATGTCCTCCCAACCCGCAGTTTTTTTTTCTTCAGCGGTTGAGGAGGACAAGATGGCGACCGCCTCCAAGGCCCGTTTTTGTTTTTTCCCGGTGCAATGGGGAGGTGCTTGTCGGACTGGATGAGCTTCCTCCATTGGTGGCTTGGTGGAGCCCGGCGGTTCGGTGGTTTGGTCAGCCACCAATCCAAACCAATTTAGGGGTACCTGACAGGACCAGTGGGCGAAACTGGTTTGAACTGCCAAGCCCTGGACCTTTCACTTGCTGGTGCTCAGCAGGGAAGGAGGGAATGACCACTATAAAACATCTCTTGTGGTTTCATTTAAGGGAATTTGTGGGAGATCATTCCCTCATTCCCTGCTGAGCACCAGCAAGTTCAATGGACAACAAAGCTTGCCACACTTGAAACATGTTTGAACTGGGCGCTGGCTCAACCCTGGTGAGGACCCTGCTTGTATTTCCCCTTTGCATGTTGAACATCACGTTTTCGGCGACATTGGTTTGTTTTGATCTAATATTTGTGTGTGTTGCCATGTTTCGAGCACCACCTTTTGCGCGACATTCGAATTGATTTTTTTTCTCGAGAAATCGGTTAGGTGCCCATATTGCAGAGAGTCGATGCAGAAGCAAGAAATGGGTGTCTTTGCAGCTTGCCCAGTTGCTAGTTTGTTGCATCCGCCTTGCCTCGAAAAGGCTGACAGAGCTGTGAAGCGGTCACTGGTGGAAACAACAGCAATTGGGATTCCCGGCTATCGAAGTGATGGGCCCTTCGTTTGCACCGCGAGAGCGAGCTCACCAAGAGGGCTAGGGCTCCATGAAAACCATTTTTTCCGGGATTCTCGGGGCAAAGGGCTGGCTTTGGCGTCCTGAGGAAGCCATGACCACCGCCAAAGGCATTTTGTCTGATCATGCCTTACTCGACTGTGCAGAAGTGATTCCGTGTTTCTGGCCCGAAGACTTGTGCAGACTTTGAGCCTTGCCCTGACATGAATGATGAATCACCCTCATTCTAACCTTATTCCAACCTCTCAAATCTGGACCTAGTTTTAAGTTCCCTTGCAAAAACCACGTGAAAGGGGCACCCTGAAAAAACGACCAGCCCCCCACTGGAACAGGTCAACTTCGCCCAACTGGGAAGGTCTCCTGCATGGAACCTTTTTGGGCCCCTCCCAAGGGCCCGAAACTCATCCCCCGAGGAGATTGGGCTGACGGGGTCAGACTTTGTGCCAATGTGTTTCTTTCTTTCTGGCTCCATAGTTTAGGGTTCCCAAAAAGTTGTTTTCTTCTTCTTCTTCTTCTTCTTCTTCTTTTTTCTGCTTTTCTGGCTCCATTGGGTGACCCGCTTGGAGGTTTGGATTCGATTCGGATTCGGATTTCCTGGCTCCTAGGTCGGATGGGAAACCTCAGCACCAAACCACCGAGAGGGAAGCCGAAATTTGCGGAGGAGAACAAAGGGTGCTATATTTCACCGCTCGCACTTGTCTCCCAGGCTTTGTTTGTCTAACAGTCCCATGGAGATCTCACGAGCAAGTGGGTCAAGAGCAAGAAGATTGCCGGCTTATCAGGTGAGCCACAATCAAAACGCAGGTAGATGAAGGTTAGTAAGGGCCAATCCCAGCCATAAATAGCTGCGGCCGCTGCTTAGTTCTTTACATGGTTCTGGGTTCGCCATTTTAACACCGGGTTTTGATTGTGGCTCGGGAAAAGCCGAGATTTCTGGAGTATGGTGAACTATGCGTACACCTCCAAGTCGGCGCACAGGCTGCTGAGGCTCACAGCAAAGAACGCATGGATGTGAGCCAAGGGCTTTCTTGGCCTCACGAATGCGACGGGCGGAGCAGGCGATCCAGAGGTCATGACCCAACCTGGGTATGAAGGCAAGCCCTTTGTGGCTTTCCCAATCTTTTGGTTGCATCACAACGAGGTGATCCTCTTTACATAGCTACTTTTCAATGTTGGAAGGGATGACCATTGAAGAGTTGCCAGTGGCTCTAGGAATAACCCGCACGACTAATACGAAACCATCATTTAGAGGGTCATGTTTTACCTAGGTCCCCCAGTAGTCCCCTTTAACCCTTTTTTGGGCGAGGGTTCCCCCACTAAAATAGTCTACAGAAAAAAGTCGGATACCCTTATTCTAACCTCTCTACTGGAGGACCTAGTTGCGGATGTACCTGGACCGTCAGTTTTTCTGCTCGGGCCTTTCAGGCGCTGGCGCAGTACGTCCTTGAGATGCAGGTCCGGCGCCCCGCGCTTTCTTTTTTTTGGGGGGGTGCGAGAGGCTGGGTGAGAAGGTTTGAGAGCATCTTCCATACTTGCTTTGGTCTGAACAGATGGTACTAGAGGAGACTAAACTCCCTAGGTTAAGGGTTGAACGTTGACCAAGGAGAGATGTCGAAAGGAACCTGGGAGTTTCCTGGAAGTCTATCAGAATAAACATTCCTTTAGGTGCTGTTGTCTGGTTGTTTCAGGGCTCAACTAGCAGGATCTGATGTCCTTTACAAAAAGAAGTCCATGTCGTACAGATGATGGTTTGCGAGGGTTCACTGCTCATGCCAGGTGAAAAGGTGCATTTACCATGGCATGGGGATCTCAAGGCAACATGTCACGCCGATCGAGCACCGAGAGATGGCAGGGAACCGACAACTCCAAAGATGGCCAATGTGTGTCCACACGGACACCAGAAAAAGACAAGGATATTTATCCCATGGGTAAGGAAATTAGACCGCCTTGCTGAGTGTATGTATATATGTATATATGTTTGTGTGTTTGAGGGGAAGTATGCTGGCGCAAAGGATTTTGAGTATCACATATGGGTGTGTCTCAAATTCAGGGGCCCCCCTAAACGTCCAAAAAAAGGTTTCCTATGTTGAGACACACACTCACATGCGTATTTCACTGACCACGGAACCGGACAACGGCTGGACAGCCCAAATTCACTAAATCCGGAGTTGGTAGGTCCCTCCAATGAGCCCAGAAGCCGCTACGGTACATGGTACACGTGTCAAAAGCTTGGGTTCCCTACACCGTTTGCACTTATGTGGTTGGTGTAACTCATACTTTTATTTGCCCAATACACCTTTAGAGATGCCAGTTTTCGCCACGGCAACAGTTTCCCATGGCTCATGAGAACTTAGCAATGAAGCATCGTGTGTACTACTTGGGGGCGGCTTCCATTGAAGGATGACAGTCAGCTCCTTGTGCCATTTGTTTCGCTGGGACCCCGCTAGCTCCCCCTTCATCAAGGTTATGTACCCCCTGCTCCCTGGAGGTGGTTTGGGGTAGGGAAGCCATCTTAGGTTGTCTCACGACAAGTCCGGCAAAGGGTCCGAAACGCGAGGACGAGGAGGACCTCAACACTGTCGTGGCCAAGGAGCGGATGGGCGGGAAGGGAGGGGGGTTGAAGGTCTTTTTGACCGGCAGCCCGGTAGTGTTTCAGGTTACCCTTTTTCCAGCTGATTAAAGGGGAACCCAAGGAAAACCACCGCTGCCCCTTTTTGGGGGGGCGGCCAACCTGAAGAATGACATACTCATTGCCCAAAAATCCACGCTTTATCCATTGTGGATGCATCATGTTGCCCATCAGTAGGTTTGTTTGGGGTGGCCTTGGGGGAGGTTCCCAAGGGTCTCGGGGCTGGGTATACTCCTTCGGCTGGTGTCCATGGAGCTCTAATAATAACTTGACGTCCGGGGCCTTTGGTGATGAACTGGCCCCTTGTGGTACACGAAGCTGATAGACAGTGGTTATCGGCCTGTCTCACTCTATCCGCTGATGTCGAGCCTCTCTTGTCCAGAAAGGTGCAACTCCCTTTGACCCTTTTGGATCTTTTGACAAAATCATTGAAAGATCTTTTGGATCTTTCAACCTTCGACCCTTTGGATCCGTGATTTTGGATCTTTTGACCCTTTTGCATCTTTTGGCGTGTGGGCCCATCTCGTCAAAACTGGCCTCACCTTGGGATCCTCGACCTGGGGAGCCCTTTCACAAAAATTGGTGTGATCCTTTTCAGGTTGGGCTCCATTGGTTTGGATTGGTATGCCATCCATTTGAGAAATCCATCGATTTTGTGCAAAGGGACACCTAGGATGGCCACAACGTAAACTTTTTGAGTGCTTTTCCATTCGGGGGGAGACAGCTTTTCTATTGGAGAGAGCCCAAAGTGGCCCGGTGCTTTGAGAGGCGCTGGCGCAGTATGTCGTGGCCAAGGCGTGGGACTAAACTCCGCTCCGTTGTGTTCTGCTAGTTCTACCACTAGGTCCCCCAGCTGGGTGCCCTTTTTTACCGTTTCTTTTTTGGTTGGAGGGTTCCCCCACTAAAATAGACCAAGACAAAAAAAAAAAAAACGGGTAGCCTTATTCTAACCTCTCAAATCTGGAGGACCTAGACTGCGTTCGGTTCTGTCCCATCCTTCGATCAACAAGTATCCCCAGACCCTGCGGTTGGCCCGGGGACGTATGAGCCTTGCTGGCCGACCCCAAGCCAACTGTTTAAGGTTTAGGTTTTGGTTTAGGGTTGAGACCGCCCCAGCCAACTGTTTAGGGTTTAGGTTTGTGTGTAGGGTTAAGACTCCTAAGACCGCCCCCAAACGAACAGTTTAGGGTTGTGGTTTAGGGCCAGTGGATGTATGATGACTCTTAGATCAGCCACAGAGCTAGGAAAACACATTGCGCAGGAACCGCGGTCAGGATGGGCGGCAGACGCTCTCGGGCAAGCCATAGGGTCTGGCCGAACAAGTAGTGTAGGCAACCCTTTGGTTCTTAAAACTCACTCACTGCGTTCAAGGACTTTAGTCACTTTTTGCAAGGACCATGTATGTCGGAAATGCAAGCGCAGACTTTTTTTGGTCAGTCCACTGCGGAAGTGAGACTGACATACTGCGCATGTTTGCGAAATCCAGAAATCGCACCACGAAATGAAGCCATGGTTAATCTTAGATAGACGACATGGCTGAGCGCGACGTCACACAGAGTCACCTGGAACGCCTGCGTTTTCGGCGTTCCTTCGCCCGTGCGGGTGGCGCGGGCTACGAAGTGTTGCAGCGGACAGATGTGTCGACAGAGACGTGTTCATTTGGATGGACGAAATCCATTCCGCACCAGTTGGCAAGCGACAATGACTCAGGTTTTTCAGGGTTTCAAGGAAAGCAATTCACATCCAAACTACCCCCGCCCACAGCGCACCCTCCGAGAGGGGGCCGCAGGCCGGGGGTTGGATCCTCAGGTCCTATGAACAATCCCCAATTTGGTCGGGGGCAAAAAGCGCATGTTCTAACAGGGCTCCTCAAAAGATACATTTTGGTCATTTGAAACATGGCTTCTTCCACCAAAATAAGGGAAACCGCCATTTACATGGCAATGTTCAGGTGTATAATGTAAGGATCCCTGTCTAAGTTTCGGAGCAATTCGGTTTCACTCACCAAAGATCGATCGAAAGGTGGTTTTTTACAAGTCCTTGGACCCCGATATAAAAGGATACCAATTCCTTAAGAGGTTGTTTGAATTTCACTTGTTCAAACCCGTGGATGCATGCCTTTGAGCGCGATGGTTAAAACATGGTCGCACAAGAACATGGCCCAACAGGGAACATAGTGAAGCCGCAACAACCTTCTTTTACGCATCTTGAAAGAGACAGTTGGCAGGTTGTTTTGGGCACTCACATGTGCCGTGGCAAAGAACCTTTTACACGAGAACACTTTACATTGGTCTACGATCTCGACATGTGTGATGAAAGCTCCACATGTGGGGTCATGGTCACTGTTCTTTACTCACGAGAAGCCTTTATGAGTGGTCGTTTGAATTCCCAATCAACAAGTCCATGACTATCCCTTTCGCCCAAGTAACAGATCGCAGGCCGATGATGATGCCACGCTCGCAGCGTCCAAGGCCGAATTCTGGGGGCAAGACCGTTTCCACCAGAAAGTAAAATTACATGTTTCAGCTTTCCATCGATAAATTGGTAGTTCGGTGGTTTAGTGGTGAGAGGGGTGGTTTCTTATTTACCCTCTACAACAAGCAAGGGTTCAAATCCAAATCCAAACCACTAATCCAAACCACCAACTACGGGTTACCTGAATGATTGTTCAGGTGAACAGGCCAATCTTGTGGGTGGCTTTGTTTTACCTAGGTCTGTTTCTTGGGATGGTCCAAATGGCGCCCATGACACATTTTGAGAGGCCCATATCAGGTTCGGAGAGAACATCCAGTCGTCTATAATCCATTTGGAAGGGGGCATGGACAAATGACCACGATTCCCACAGAACTGCTGGGGACAGTTCCGCATGTCCTTTGCGATGATCGCATATTTTGACTGGGGCTCATATGAGCGTTTGGCGCCGGCTGACCAGGCAGAAGGTGTCCTTTTTGGCGCCTATCACTTGGTGTCTGTTGACAGGATCAGAGAGTTGGTGTTGACCGGTCGGGTCGCTATGTAGAGTCCTTTGGGTTCGTCGCTTAGTTTGTTGGTTGGTCAGGAGTAGAAACCATGGCCACGCCACGCCCGCAGCGACAAAAAAAGACGCGTGGGAGTTTTTCCGCTGGTGGCCGGACCTCGTTTGGCTGGGGGTCAAAAACATGTACCCAAAATGGCTTGCCCTGGGAAGTGGAAGCATGGGCCAAAAAACCTGCGGTCCAATTCCTGGTGGTTTGATTTTGAGCCATGCCCATTTTTGACCCACTCAGCATTGAACCCACCAAAACAGCTCGAGCCACGCGCCAGCCTGAACCGATTCCAACCAGCCCCAAGCCGCTCTCATGCTTTCAGAACACTTCCCCCCAATAGGCCGTGCCTTTCCCTGCCCCACCCATTCCATACGTATGTGCGTGTGTGTGTGTGTGTGTGGCTGTCCATCCACAGTACCGCTTCCTGAGGCAAATGGGGGCTGATCAAAAGGCCCGCGATAGGGATGACCATTGGGGAGAACCACTAAAAAGACTTGACACGTCTCAGAGTTACCCATGGTCAGCCATGGGGCCAGGAATACTGATTCACCCCAAAATCCATAGGCAATCGCTGACTCGCCGATCCCCCGGCTTGCGAGGCTTTGGCACAGTTCGCCGCCTCCAGAGTTCAGGCACGAGCCTAGATTGGTCCCATCCTTCGATCAAGTAGGGAACCCTTTGGTTCTAAAAACTCACTCCCTAGGCTTCTGAGCTTGAGTCACTCTTTGTGTTTGGACCAGTTTAGTGGTAAATTCAAAAAGGCCTAGACATGTTCATACCTTGTTCTGGCCAAAGCCCCCTCAGGAAGTGAGATTACACTTGAAACCAAGAGCAACCTGAAAAGTGATAAGTTTTAGGGCCGTCAAGCGCAATTTTGCACATAGGATTTGTCAGCTTCGACCGACATCCAACATAAGTTTGACAAATATAAAGTTTTACACTCAGCAGGTGAGATATGGGTGGCCCTTTTCGGGGCCATCCACCCAGCAGGTGAGAGTAATTATTCAGATGGCTTTGTTGCATCCATGGCTCCAAACCCCTCAGGGTCTCTGAGGGGTTGGACGGTATTGTTTGCCACAGGTTGCTTCAACGGCCCATGAGACCAGATGGGTGGTGAAGGGAAACCCAAAGGAAATCAACCATTTGGGAATTGTCCAACTTGGAATAGCTTGCTGGTGCTAGGGAATGAGGGAATAAACCTGGGGATTTTGGGTTTGTCACTTGGGAGCTTGGGAAGGCTCAAAGCCGCGAAAAAAAAAAGGCGGGCCTAGGACGAGGTGCCCGGCTTCCCAATCAGCGAAAACATTGAGCCTTTGGCGCATCCCATAGGCGGATCTACTGGGGGACTCTCTTTTTTTTGGGATTTAGAGCGAAAAGAGACCAGCCCCAAGTTCCGCCCATTTCTCCCTGGAACAAATCCTTGGCTTTTGTGTGAAGGGGTGTGCCCTGCAAAGTCCTCGTGTACCCCCCGGCCCGGCAAGTCAGCAAGTCAGTCCCGTCGGCGATTCCAGGTGGACATCACCGCCTTGGCCGCAAAGGCGCCTTCATGGGGGGTCGAAGGAGCTTTCCTTCGAAAAAATGTTCCCCAGCAATTGGTGCCCGACCTCTCACCCCTTTTGTGGTTGGGAGGGTTTTGCTACTAAAATAGACAAAGCAGAAAAAAGTTGGTAGCCTTATTGTAACCTCTCAAATCTGGAGGACCTAGCAGATACTCTGGGCTGAAAGGCAAGCCTGAATCCTGAATCCTTGGGTTTTGTGGTGGCTTTCCAATAGGGATTCTGGATTAGGATGGGCCACGATCCATTTTGAACAGCCCAGTTTCCTGAACATCGACAATCCATGGGGAATCTACCTGTTCGGAGGTGGGTTTCCATTTGGCCCAGATCCCTCTTAGCCAAAACCTCCATTTTGTCATAGAGGACTTTGAGACACTTCCTTGCCTACGGCAGGCATGTGGGTGAGAACCATGCTTGCTGGGATAGTGAAGAGGCAACCTTCCCTTGTATCCATATAATCCTACTTAGCCGTGAGTTGAGTATTCAAGTCGGTGCATCATGCTCTTTTGTGCCAGGGCAACTGCCAAAGACTCGCAGAGGGATTTTGTGGATCACTGTGTGGACAACCTTGAAGCAGATCTCGACCCCCATTCAGACACAGGGAAACTTGAGTCGCCGGAGAACCCAAGGTGCCATTTGGATCCTTGGTTGGGTGTTCGATTTGTTCAAAGTGTTTCCCATTGTCGTGGTTTTGGGGAAAAGCTGCACGCCAAGGGAGACAAAATGGCTACTGTCGACGGGTACTCTCATGTTTGGTAGCTGTCTTTCATCTGAGTTTGGAGTCTGCATGGTGCAGTTGTTGGTTTTGCTGCCTCTTCAGACCTGGTTAGCAGTGATTGGCGCACCGAAGGGGTGTCTCGATCCATCCTTCAAGGCCAGACACCCAAGCGGTGTCCAGTGTTCGTAGCGCCCACTCATGGGGAAACACACAAATCTCAGTTGTTCAGTGGTACCCTTTATTTTCCCCATGTTTTTTTTGGGTGGCTGCCCCACTAAAAATGGTCTTAAAAGGGTTCCCCTTTTGTTTCCAGGGTCACTGAACCACTGAGACGCTGCTTTCGGGGAGATGCTGCCCACTTGATCGCAGGCCCTTGCTGCCGATGTCGTGAAGGAAGAGGAGGAGGCATGGCGTGAATTGGTGATCTGGACCTGCGGGGGGTTCAACATGGTGGGCCCCCCCCCCTTTTGGTTGGCAGCTAACGGGAAGCCAAGAGGAAGCTAGCCTGTTCAGGGCGCTAAAGACCCAGAAATGATCGGTGTACCTGGCATTTCATGACCATAGGTGTCCTTTTTGGTTGGTTTGCTTGCAAATAGAGGGCGATTCCTGGTTTAGATGGGGTTTATTGCCCATTGACCAGGGAAACCCATCTATTTTTCCCAAAGGCCACCCGGCATTTCATGACTCGATGAATGTATCGGCATAGAGTTGTGCAGGCACCGGACCTGATCGCCATAGCATCTGAGGACGGCCTTCCAGCTGTCGTGGGAAGGGAAACGGATGCTTTCGCGGCTGTTCGGCTTATGGGCTTTACTGCACAGGGCTCCTTAAAAGATACATTTTGCCCATTTGAAACATGGCTTTTTCCACAAAAATAAAGGGAAACCACCATTTACAAGACAATGTTCAGGTGTACAATGTAAGCATCCCTGGCAAATAACAATGCACAGTGCGGAAGGATCACTCGCCAAAGATATTTGTGCAGGTCTCCATGTACGCCCCTTCGAGGTATGGCAATATCGTCCCAAGCAGATGTCCATTGTTTGTTTCTCTTAAGATAGGCATAAACCCCGGAGTTCTTCTTGAAGAAAGCCAGCTTCCCCAAGAAACGCGGCAACAACCCTCTTTGGGGTGCTTGTTTGACCAATTCCCTGCATCCCAGCAAGTGACGACTCGGGGGCAAGGAGTTGATTGTATTCCAAGCGGCGACAGTTTCACAGTGACAACCTCCACGTGTTTGCCATGAAGCTCTTCGAAGTGGGCAGTTGAAACGACCAGACCAGGGGACCCTGGCCCTTTTTGAAAGGAAGCTTGGACCCACCCCAAAAAAGAAATGGCGGCTTTGCTTTTGGTTTTCCTTTACAGAACAACCCAAAAAGGGGGGTATCAACTAAAAAAGACGAGCCGCCTCATATGCATGTTTGAAGCAGGGCTTACGAGAAGAGTTGGCGCAACCCCAAGAGTGCGTTGCAGGTTGTGTTGTTGAACTTTTGACGTCGACATTCCCAACAGCAACCAGCTGGTGGGTTTTATTCTTCTCTACGCCAGGGGGGGTGGCTTTTTTTGTTTGCATCTCTCCGGCTCGGAGCCGGAGCCGCCTGGGGTTCCTGGAACCCCGTGTTTGGGCAGCTGGCAACTGGGCTGATGTTGATCCAGAAAGGCGCCCAAAGCCAAAAACACCAAACGGACCATAGCCTCGGATTCGAATGAGCCGTCACGAACCCATGGTCGGGAGTGTCCCATGGTCGGGAGTGTCCATTTGACACTGGACGAGTTGAACCCACCAGAACCGCAAGTTTTTTTGTTTTTTAATCTGTCCGGGACCATTGAAGAGTGTCGAGAAAGCGCCCAGAATGCTGGCCATAGGGCGTTTTACCCAATGTTATGTCAATGTCAGGTCTGCCTAAAGCCTCACACCCATTTTCGCTAGAAGAAAACCTTCCATCCCTTGGAACCATTTTTGCTAGAACAAAACATTCCATCCCTTGGACAAGACCCATTTCGCACAATGGTCGGTAGGTTTACTGCAGGGTGCCATGCGCAAACTGCCGAAGGCCTTGGCGCAGGACGTCTTGTCCAAAGAGGTCGAGGAGGACGCTTTTGGCTGGTCGTTTTTGCGGAGTCTCGCAGAGGTGTTCTTTGGCTAGGTCCCCCAGCAATTGGTGCCCGCTCCTTTACCTTTTTTGGTTGGGAGGAACCCCCTACTAAAATAGACAGACAAAAATAATTGGTACATATTGGTACCCTTATTCTAACCTCTCTACTGGAGGACCTAGTTGAGCAACCTGCGTTTGGTTGGGAACCTCCAACTGGAATCCAACCGGTTTTTTTGGGGGGGGGGCACTTTACTCACAGAGGTTCGTTCATGTGTCTTTTGGGCCATCTTTTGCGTTTGGTTGGGAAACTGAAAGCGGAACCCAACCATGTTTTTGGGGGGCACACTGAGCTGTTCAGTTTTGTCTGACCAAGGTGGCTGGTTAGGACCTTCTTTCGAAGCTACAAATGGGTGTGGCTCAAAATTAAACAGGAGGGGTTACGCAGGTTTGGGTTTTTGTTTTCACTTACCAGAGTTCAGTTTTGGTACCGGTTTTGTGAGCCACAGCCAAATGAGAACGTATCCCTGTCAGAAGTTTGGAAGCGATTCGACCTTGTCTTCTTGCGGGGCCTTTGACACATGTTTCCTTATCGTGCGTCCTGTAAAGGAACAAGCAGAAAGAAGATCGCTAAAACATATGCTGATGTTGCTACACTGACTCAGACTAGCAGCCGGAAAGCTCCCCAATTGGCCTCTGTAAATGGAGCCAAGTCTTTCAAAGGGGTCGTGAAAGCTTCCGTGGAATCTCTGGGCCAAGAAGAGGATGGTTTCTTGAGGGAGAATCCAGAAACGGGGGGGTCTCAACCTTCAGGTGAGCCATACAAGGTGGCTAATAGGACCACTCCAGGCGACATGTCCGTGTTGCTTTCGCGGTCCCCAAAGCGGGTCCGAGTGAGTGGGGCACAGAGTCTGGGAATGGTTCACCAAATATGGAACAGAATCAAATATAGGAGCAAGGGTCAGCATTCGCCATCATCTACAAATTCCCATGTGGGTTGGTGGTTGGGAACAACGCATATTGACCTTGGCTCGGTATGACTTTTGGTTGAGGGCAACAGCTGAGGAAGAGGTGAGCATTGGACGGAGTTTTTGCCGTGTCTCGATGGATCTCTGCCGGGAATCAGCCTCAGAGCTGCGGATTTTGCGCCGAAGTCAGCTTCCCAGGTTTGGAGCCCACCGGTTTGGAGGTCTGGAGTGGTTCCCCACTCCCACAAGAACCATTCAAATCCCAAACCACCAATCCAACCACAAGGGAAACCTGACGAAAGCCTGGGGTCTCTGCCCAGATAGGCAACGGGAGTGTTTGGGAGGGCTAAGGTCTCGGAAGGGGTCCGGGGGTTGCTTACTCCCGGGCTTGTCGTTTAGGAGTGCGCCGAGATGTTGCGTCCGGGAGTTGCTTACCCGGGCTTATCGTTTAGGAGTGCGCCGAGATGTCAACATGCGGGAGACCCGCCATGTTGTGCCAATGGATATTCAACAGTAGAAATAGGAGTCTTTCATTTGCATGGTGTTCGAATGGACAATGCAGAGCCGTTGTGTTTTTTTTTCCAAACACGGATATGGCGTGGTTCGAATGGACAATGCAGAGCCGTTTTGTTTTTTGTTTTTTTCCAAACACGGATATGGCGTGGTCAGTGAGGATTGCCCTAGTAGATGTCAGTACAACAAATGCACATATACCCTTGCATATGTGTGGATCGGCCTCAGAATTGCTTGTTGGAGGGTTAACACTAAATACCCAACGCTTTCTGTCTGGGCCAATAGGAGACACACTCCATGCTTGCGGCACCTTGATCAATCGGAAGTCCTTTTGCGGACGAGAGACGCGGGCCCGGGCATTTTTCAAATTCGCCACCGGGCACCGGACTGGCCAAGTTGAAGGTTCTCCTGTTTTCCTTACTTGTTTAAGCCAAATTGTGTTAAGGGGGTCTTTTCTCCCTTTTGGTTTGAAAGGAAATGTGGTCACTAGCAATATGGGTAATCATGAACTTCATTCTCCCCAGGAAGCCCAAACGGGACGGGTTTTCGACTTAATGTTTCTTGCTTGTTTTCAGCAGGGCATGAGAAATGGAATGGCTCCTTTTTCACCATCCCCTATGGTTTCCTTTCAGGGAATCCCCAATTCGCAGTACCCGGATGGGGTGATTCCCCACCTATCGCAGCAGCAAGTTTCTGGTTGCCGGAAGCTCCAATTCGGAGGAGCCAAAGGAGGTCACGCTGCGGCCGCAGGCGCGCGATTCCGCGTCGCGAGTCGCGAGGACATGGAGCCCAGTGTCGTTTGGTGGGGTGAGTTTTAAAGGGAAAATGTAGGGAACTCTGCGATTCACATAACGTGAGCACTGCGGTCACATGACCCTCGACCGATTTGAAAGTGCACATGACCCACTTAGCAGCCAGTGTCCGGGTGGACGAAAGAACAAGAGGTGTATGTCTACCGTTTGGGGCTGAATTTGAAAGGGAAACCAAAAGGAAGTCAATTATTTGGGGTCACTCTTGGAGGTATACCCGAGGGTCAGAATACTTCGTCTATGGTCCATTGCGAGGGGCAGGGACTCATTTCACGCAAAACACGGGGGGGGGGGGGTGGGGGGGGCAAGACCGATTTTTGTCCAAAGTAGGTAGCCAACAGCACAGGTTTGACCATGGCTAGCGGCTCACATAGGGTTCCCTCCTCAAAAAATGAAGGTTCCCGAGCTGTAGTCTCAATCATAGCATCCTCCATTTCTTTTTGGAACCACCAAGAGTGGCAGTTTCAATGAACACCACCCAGCAAATTGATCAACTTTTCATCGGGAAGACCGGTGACCCCTGTCAATGTTTGACCCCTCCAAAAGTAAGTGGCCGTTGGACATTTGTTTAGTAGGGTGAAAAAGGTGGTTCAGAAACTGCTCGCAGTTTTGGGGCATGATCCTGGAACCCTTGAATCATATGACCCCTTCTTCTTTTCTGGGACCCACAAAACTGAGGTTGTCCTTCTAGTTTTCCTTTAAAACAACCCCAGAAAGTCAAACATCGACAGGCCCCATATCTTCACTTTCAAGTTTACTTTCCGCGGGGAGCCAACAACCAAGTCTGGCCACAAGAAGAGCCAAGCGATGGTCAGGTGCCGCAACCGGAGCCGGAAGAAGAGCCAGGCGCGAACACCCGATGTCATGTTTGACCTCTTCGTTCGGCCAAGTTAGAAAGTGGCTACCGTGGATGACCCATATTTGTATGGCAAGTACCGGGTTTCCTTTCTACTGTCAATACTTAGGACATATCCTGCAGGGACTTGCAAGTAGGTTATGCTGCAACGGGTCCCCTTGCTTTTGCCTCTGAGACTGTATATATAATGGGCGGGGGGGGGGGGTGGGGTGAAAAAAGAACGCATTGGATATTTCCGTTTGGTTCAAGCCAGGAACACAATAACAGAGTGCCGTCCCGTATTGTCTTTGGTAAGTTGCGATATCCAAGCCCTTGTAGCATCTTGAATGCATTTAAGCAGCCTCTCCTTGGTTTCCTTTTGAAGGGGGCCAGGATCGGGTTGTTTAAAGAAGCCTTCGGTGAAAGGGATACCAAAGGGAACACGCCGGTCGAATGGGTTACCAATTTGAGGAAGCATCTACTAGAATCTACGGTTCAGCTTGAGGGGTGCGAAAGGGGGATCATCCTTCGGTAAATTCGGTGCGCAAATGGACACTCAAGTAGTATAGCTGTTGACTGGGGCTGTTTGCGCTGGATTCCACTTGCTCGGCTGTGGGGGTCAAAACCGTTTTGGAATCCCATTTTGGGGTAGGTGAATTCACCCATTTTAGAACCTATTTTAGTGGTTGGATTGGGATCTTCACTGGGCAACCCGGCTTTTGACCCAAGGCCTAGTGTTTTGTCTCTGATGTTTTCCCCAGCTGGAAGTTCTGGGGTCTCTGCCCAGGGACTGTGGTTTGGGGCAGCTGTGGATTTCCAGGGGCTGTTGGGGATGCCACCGGCCACCAGCTGCGTCATTTTCAAACTCGCTGGTGTCAGTTTGGACAACTCTCTCTTGCCCTGGCTTCGTCACGGGTATGGAAGAACACGGGCCAAATTATTTTTCGCTGCCTGGAAATATACCGCCCGGTCCAAATACACACATTTCCGTTGGGTATGTCGTTGGGTATTTTGTCAACCTACTACAAAGGCAGGCCAATTTACCCGTGGGGAAAACCTGAGAAGCTCCTCATTCGGCTCAGCCATCTATTGCTCCTGGATATCCTGACATGCACGAATCGGATCAGAGGATAGCATCCACCTATTTCTCGTCACTTTGGTGGTGGCCTCCGGCCTTCACTAATCAATCCGCTTGGTGATGGCGTCTTAAGCAGAGGTGGCATTTGGCGGTGTCACATGGCAGAGGCCAGGTGCAAAGGGTGTAAGTTGCGACCATTCCCCCACTGTTCATTCGGCTCTCAAGCTCAGACCGCATGGATGGGGCTTGGAAGAGCGGGACCCGGTCCCTTTAAAAGGAAAATGGTTCAAGCCAGGACCCGCTGTCAGGTTCCATGTTAAGTGGTGAGAGGATAGGTTAGTTTGGAGAGGTCAATGCACTGCAGGTGAGCTAGTCCTCCCTGATCGAGTTAAGACCAGCTTGTGCCCACATCCCGACAAGTCAAAGAAACTTGCAGCTTGACCAGAAAGCTTGTCAGCGTTGAACTGTCCAGCGCTTGCCAGAAAATCCAGAGGAAGAGGACGCTCTTCGTCGAAGGGTGGCTGGGCACTGGGTCCGGCTTAGGTCGCTGGTAGAAGGTTTCTCGTGTCAATCTTGGCTTTGGAAAGTCGCAGTCAACTTTTTCAGCGCAGAGGTTGTTGGATGCTAAGGGAGCCATGATCCACACCTTTTCAAACCAAGGAATTCACTCTCTATATTCTGACCTGGGCTGGTTTCATTTGCCTGGGAGTGCTATTGGTTGGGGCTGCCGCTTTGGAACAGTTCCCAGGGAGGCAGCACCTGGGCTTGGACATGTTAACCCATAGGTCCTAGCGGATCTTGATCAGGAAGTGTCTCCATAAATGAGCGTCTTTTTTGAGGCGACCCCCCCCCCACACACAAAAGAGAGAGAGAGAGAGAGTGGTTTTCTTGTTGGCTTCCCTTTGCAACCTGACCAAAAAGGGGCATGGGGCAGGGTGCACATCTTGAGGCACTCGCTGAAGCCAAGTTGCCGCTGGTTGTTGCCATTGTCTCCAGTTCCTGAGGTGTTTCGTGTTTTTAGTTGGTTTAGTGGTCGGGCTTCCACCTAACCCACTACAGGTTATAGACTTGTAGCCGGGGATCGGAAAACGGACAGCCCAGGTAAAGGGTTGCACCCGCCCCTCTAAAAAGCAAGGGTTGATGGATTGATTGATTGATTGAGTGAGTGAGTGAGTGAGTGAGTGATTGGTTCATTAACTGGATTTGATTTGATTTGGTTTGATTTGATTTTATTCGAGTTTGTTTGATTTGATTGATTGAATGATCGTTTTGATTGTCTGATTGATTGATTCATTGATTGATTTGATTGATTGATTGATTGATTGATTGATTGATTGATTGATTGATTGATTGATTGATTGATTGATTGATTGATTGATTGATTGGTTGGTTGGTTGATTGATTGATTGATCCATAGTCCATGCGTGCTTCCAATTGCGGCAGCTGGCAACCAGGGGAAATGCCTACGGGGACGGCAGTTTCAAGCAGTGTGTGTTTGAGCTAAGGTTCATTCGGCATGCCGGGTTGTCCAAACGGGGGCTGTCCCTGTTTAGTGGGAATCCAGATCACTTTTCTGGGTTGTAGTCAAGGTTTCGTAGGAGCACTGCGCAGATGCATCCGAAGGTTTATTCGGAAGGTCGGGGTTTTATCTCAATCAAGTCGTGGGGGATCGGGCACACCCCACAAAACAGTATTAAAAGAAACAGACCATGTTCCACCTCGGAGCGATCACTGGTCATTGGATAGGAATCCACCGGCCCCTTCACTTGCGCGGATTGCATAGACCAGGATGCGGTTGCCAGCCTGATGTTGGTGTCCTTTTGGGGGGTTATGTGGATGGAACTGCACCTCACGTGGCCAAGTGACAGCCTTTCAACCTGCAAGGGTTTGAAAGCGGCTTGAGACATGCCTTGAAGTCAGCTTGGCTGGCGATAAATTATTTTTCCACGGGTTTGAGTTTATTTCGAGTTTCATTTCGCAGTGGGACCTATGGGGTTTTCCACAAGGACAATTCGGCTTGCAAGGCTCCCGTGAGACCTTCCCCTTTTCGCGATCCGCTAAGATCGCAGGAGGTGTTCCGGCCACCATCCTCGGTTGTGCGACACCCTGTGGGATCAGGAGAGTTGGATCGCGTGGTGTCTTGGGCTTCGTTTGACTGGCTGGTGCTCAGGGAATGCCCCAGGCTTCGGGAATGAACTTGATTCCCTTAAAGCCGAAAAAGGAATCCTAGGGGTCGTGCACTCATTCCCTGAGCACCAGCAAGATTCCAAGCTTCTTATGGGATTTGTTTCAAAAGGAAGTGGGGCCTCCCAAATTAAATAGTTGGCTTCCTTTTGGGTTTCCTTGAGCCAAAGAAGGCGGATGTCAGCGAAAGACCCGGTCAAATGGGCTCCACAGAATCCAGGGAGACCGACTGCTTGACGCATGCCCAGCTAGGTTTTGCCAGTAGTGCCCTGAAAACCTTTTTTTTGGTTGGGAGGGTTCCCCTACTAAAATAGACTACAGCCAAAAGGGTACCCTTATTCGAACTTTTCTACTGGAGGACCTAGCCAAAATCTTAGCGGTTGAACGTGGTTCATGTGCGCCATGGTCATGTGACACCCTTTTACATGGGCTTGATGACCATGAAGTCCGGAGCATTGCGAGGTGCATCAAGCCACAGATCCAAACGGAGACAGGTATGTCAGGTCCAGAAATGCATCTCGCAATTGGGGTTCGTCCCTTTAGTCTTCCTTTGAAGTTAGCCGAAAAAGAGTAAGCCTTTTTTGGCTGTTCCAAAACTGGCCGATCCCCTTTTGGATGGCACTAAAACAGAAACCATAAGGAAGGGGATAGATATCGCCATCATTCGGGACTGCTTGTTCAGGAAATAATGGAACCCTAAAGGACGCTTGTGGGCGGGCCCTTTGTGTTTGGATGGTCTACTCCAGATACCCACCTTTTTTTCAGGGTATATTAAGAACAACACACGATTTCGGATGGCAAAGGCCTCCTTCTGTCAGCCAAGGGTTGACATTCGCCCAAACAAGTTGGGGGCAATTGGAGCACAAGAGTAACATCTGTTCAAGCCACTTGGCAAGTAGGTTGTAACCACGGTTTTGCGAGGGACAAGAGAGGTAGGTGGATCTACAAGTATGGTTTTAAGCTTGAGAAGTGAGATGTCCAAAGTTGAATCTCGTTGGCTGCTTTGTTGAGGAGCCGCTGTCGCGCTGAACAAGCGACTCTACGAGCGCAGCGTTCCAGGCGGGGATGGGTGGGGGGACTTCACCGATAGGACCTTGGTACTTTTTCTCACGGATGGGGTAAAACAAACGAAAACCATGTAGGTCGTGATCCCTTACCCTCCCCCAGACTAACATGGAAGCTCCTAGGACCCCTTTGGAAGACTTGGTTCCATTTACAGAGGCCTTCTGGGAACTTCCATGTTAGTCTGAGGGAGTGTATTTCAGGTTTTGCCACTTCCTACATTTGCAGGGCAATGGCGAACTTGAAGCGGGTCCTTGGAAGACCAAGCTTTGGGTACTTTGGATGACGGGTGTTTTTTCCAAGGGCAAGCCATTGTGGATACCTATCTTTGACCAGCCACATTTGTATACCTATCCCTATTTTGGTACCTATTTTGGATACCTATCTCTGGTTGTTGCCGGGTCCTTGGAAGACCAAGCTTTGGGTATTTCGGACGCCAAATCGTTTTTTCTTTGCTAGGTCCCCCAGTAGTGCCCTTTCTATCCCCTTTTTCGGTTGGAAGATTCGGTTCCCCTACCAAAATAGACAAAACATAAAGAAAAGTTGGTACCAACTTATTCTCTTCTCTCAAATCTGGAGGACCTAGTTGGGATGCCGAGCTGTTTCCCTGCGACCTCCAGGCTTGTTGAAGCTACACGAGCTCGAGAACCGCGAGCTGCAGGCGAAGCAGTCGCAGTCGATGGGCGACGCGGTTTTGGTCGGCCTGGGAAGCTCCGGAGGTCCCAATGTGTGGTTCAACGAAATATCAAAATGCAACTTGTGTTAGATGTGATGTATAAATGAAGAAACCTTTTTAACATTGTGTCTTAATCTTCAAGTAAGCATCGTTATATTGGTAAATAAGAACATATATTACATTGTGTCTTTGTCTTATCTTAAGCATAAATATGGTAGAATGCACGTATTAGCAAATTGTGCGGCAAGACACCTTTAAATTACGCATGGCTTAATCTTAAATTAAGCATGATTATATTGGTACATGGTTCAGCAATATCGAAAGCCTTGAATATATAAATATATAATTCAGTGTCACCTTGCCTCACGCAATTGCCGGGGGTAGGATGTAGCAAAAAGGAGGGGTATTGGAAGGACTTGCCCTGGAGAGTTGTAGGCGCCTTAGGTTTGATGGCCATTTTGACTGGAGGTACACGAGCCTATGGTTTTTAGAGTTGCTCCCCCTTTTGTTTGTGGTTTTACGCATTTTCTTTGGGGGATCCGAATCCTAAAGAAAAGATGAGTCAGCCATCCTTATTCCTTAGGAAGATTGGGGAACCCCCCTCCCCCTCGAGACCAAATCTAGGTTTGTCTTGAAGTTCCTTAAAGACCTCCCTTTTTCAACCAACCTCCCTAGGTTTGTCTTGATTTTCCTTGAAGACCTCCCTTGAACCAACCCCCCTAGGTTTGTCTTGGGGTTCCTTAAAGACCAGTCAGCCGCTGCCGCAGGTGGTTTTCTTTGCACATTTGAACCCCCCCCTTCCCCTTGGACCACCCCCCCTAGGTTTTTTGTTGGGCTTCCTGAAAGACGAGCCAGCTTTTCTTGAGACATACACCAAATCGTGGGCCGGGCTTTTGGAACACAAGCTCTGCACTATGTCCCAAAACGTTTGTTTCTTCTTTTTTTCTTTTTTTTTCCAACCGCCAGGTCCACGAATCGCCTGCACCAAGGTTTTGGCACCCCATCCGACCCTTGTTCTAACCTCTGAAATCTGGAGGACCTAGTCAAATCCAGGACTCGTTGCCTCCTTTCAGGTAACTCTTTGCACCCGTCTGACCGGGTTCCGGGCTTCGCCCGGCTTCGCCGCTTCGACCGCGCAGGCGCTGCTGCAGCGGAAGTTCCGCAGCCCGGTGCCCGGCACGAAGCTCACGGCCCGAGGGCTCAGCTGCCCGGCGCGGGGCGAAACGGGGCGTCGTGTTTTTTTTAAGGGGGGGGCCATTGCTCAAGAATATAGTTGTTTCCCCCCTTTTGGTTTTTTTAAAAGGAGTCTATCACTGAAAATAGTTCCCCAACAGCTGAAAGCAAAGCGGGGTCTGAGCCCAGATAGGCTCCGGGGTGGTCCGGGGCGGCCCTGAGGCAAGGTTCCACGAGGGTTCCACCAGGGTTCCACGAGGTTCTGCGAGGGCTACGGGGTGGTGCGAGCACTAAAAAGAACACCGCATGCTGTTGGGGATATCACCTGAGCTTTTTTCTTTTTCTCTTTTTTTTGGTGGGGGGGGGGGGGCGCGGGTACCGCGTTGTTGGGCCTGGTTAAAGGGGAAACCAAACGAAAAACAAAGACACAACCACAAGGACTTAAGTCAAAGCCATTTTTTTGGTTTTCCTTTTTGTTTGGGGGGGGATTTCCATAAGGTTCCTGTGCTGAAATGCGTATTTGTTCTTTTCCTTTGTTGGTTTGCAAGGGAATCCATCACTTAAGCAATGGAAGGAGTGCTTCCTTCTAGATTCTTTTTGGCATCCAAAAAAGGCGGGCCCCTGTTCTGAAGAACACTGTTAGACATCAGAATCTCGAAGTTTAGCTATTAGCAAGGCATCAATGAACTACTAAGATGTTCTGGAACACTGATGACTTTCAGACTCCCTACAGCCCATGGGCAGCGGAATGGGGCCCGCTTTTTCAAACATTCCTTGTGATTTGGTGGGAATCCCAACCCAGAAGGGTGCAATCATTGACTCTGCTTGCCCCAATCGCGCTATTGGTCAAAGGGATGAGCCCTTGCGTCCCCCCGATAGTTTCACATGGCTTCACACTTGGCAGATGTTTCAGTTTGCCTGGTTCATGCTGTGGACAAAGTCCTGCACCACCATGAAAACATGGTTGAAACCATAGTTTATTGGGATCTACAGGGAATTTTAATCGGTTCATACTGTGGACGGACGAACTCCGTTCGCACCACTTGAACAACCATGCTTGAACCATCTTGAGCCCTTTGTTGATGGGTATTTACGTTGCGCGGGAATCAAACCATGTCAGGGTTTCCGAGACGGTGCCGCGTTTTTTTTCTTTCTGGATGTCGCCCATCCCCGGTATGGGATTGACATTTGACGGCTAAATGTGTCGGTTTCAAGGAGCTGAAAAAGCCTTGGGTCAACTGAGGACAGCCCCCTTTTGATGAAAGCAAACACCATGGGGCTGCCCAGCCCGCGGCATTTTTCCGTGTTAACTTTCCTTTTTTTTCTGGGGATGCTAGTTGAGGTGTTTCATTTCTCATTCCCTGCCTATCCAACCAGCAAGTTGCTCGAGTAGTGATTTGGATTTGTTTGAAGGGACGCTGTGCGCTTTTGGAGTTTGGAGTACCTTCTTCTCGCGTGTTTTTCTAGGGAAAATCCAACGAAAGCCGGGCGCCGGTGGCGAATTTGCCCCATTCTCAAGTCAAATAGGTGAAGGCTACCAAGGGAGATGGGAAACGATTGCCTTTCGTGATAAATGATTCAATGGAAGCCCAAAAAAGCGTCCCTGCCCAAATCGATGGAGCCAAACATCTGAGCCGAAGCTCATATCGCCCCTTTTCCTTAGAGCCAAACCGTTTGGAGGGGTCGTGAGGCGGTCGAAGGCTCAACAGCCAGCACCACCTGGTTGTTCTTCTACTTGCTCACCCACCCCACGCCCTGACTTTGCAACACAAAAAGCAACACAGCGCTCTGGTTTCTTCTTTAAGGGACTCCCCAAAACGGCCTTCCTTCCCACCACCCGGACTCGGCAATTCATTCCCTGCCTATCCCGGCAAGACAAGTTGTTGGTGCTCGGCATCAGTTGCATAAGACACGCCCAGCACAGACAAGAAAGGTCGTGTCTTAGACATCCAAACCACAGGTGAAAACAATCCCCCAGAGACCGTCACGCGCCGAGACCTCGCGACCGCTGTCGGTTTTTGTGCTGTTCCCCAGATAGCTGAAAGCAATATGGGGTGCTAACTTCTAATGAAGAGGGGAAAGTGATTTGCGAGATTGACGGCCTGTGTTTATGCTATTTGAGGTCTATGCCGGTGTTTTTTTCTCTCCCTTTTTTTGCGAGGTCTCGAACAGCTTGCCGTCTCTCGCCTTGGATCCCAAGAAGGCGGGGGCCGAAGCGGGGAGCCGGTAAAACGAGCCTGATTGGGTCCACTCCGACTTCATCATTTATATATATATATATATAGGTGTACGTATTATATATATATACAAAGGGCCACAGTATATATATATATATATGGTACCCCCCCATATATATATACACATGTACATGTAGTTGTAAGGTCCACTAAGTGGTCGGGCCAAGGAGGGCTTCGGAGTAATTGGCAACCATAATTGGGCCTTCCAATGGGTTGGGAAGGATTTTCTGAAACAAGCGGAGGGGTTGTAGGCCGAAATAATCAAAGGGAACCAGGGCCCCCTTTTTTGTTTGGTTTTTTCCCGTGCCGCAATTTAGGTGTCCTCTCTGGGTTAGTTCGGCTAGACATAGAAGGATTCCACTTGTTTAGATGGGTTTTCTGCCCACATGTACCAGGGCCATTTGGCCTAGTCAAACGGTCCCCAGCTGTCGATCGGCTAAGGCCATGCCTTGCCCTTAACGGTGTCCCCCCCCATGTTGGGAGAAGGTTGAAGGAGGTTTCTCTAAAAACAGCCCCACAAAGGTACCTCTAAAGCAGTCAGACACGATCAGTTGATTCGGATTTCGAAGCACGATCAGGAAGGCGCCCCATCATCAAAGTCGGAGTTTTTGAGCAACTGAGTTCCCACCGGCATGCAACACCGGGCACAGGGTCCATTCGAAAGGAAAACCGTCGAAGAAAGGCAGTTTGCCCCTCCGAATGGCGAGTTTACGCGTGTTTCTCGGTTGAAGCCAGTGCAAGATGATGATAGGGATGATGGTGATGGTGGTGGTGGTTGTGGTGGTTGTGGTTGTGGCGGTGATGGTGGTGGCGGTGGCTCGATTTAGCAAACATGAAAACGTGGATACCTGATCAGAGGTCTTAGAATCTCAAGTTCTTGCTCCCAATGCAACGTTTCAACATGGAAATCAAGCACTGGTGGGAAACGCGCCACACTGGCGCAAGTCCTTTGAGCAGAACCCCCCCCGCCCCCGGATATGGCTGTGGGTCAAAACCAATGGTACCACTTTGGGGTAGGTGCACCACCCATTTTAGTCTATTTTAGTTGGGATTGGGATGTTCACTGGGGGGTACGGGACTTTGACCCATGGCCATATAAATATATAGACAGACATACCCAGTCGTGGCAAGGCTTTTCAGGGTAGACTGGTGCTTAGCGTTCAGCGCGCAGTGGACCGCGTGCGCTATTTACCCAACCCCCCCAACCCCGCGTGGTGACGCTAACCACCTGCGCGGTCGTGGTGGAGCGACACGGCGAACGTAGGCTCCTGGCTGCATGTGTTTGTTGTCTTGTGCATATCCAGGTCCCCCAGTACCCTCTTACCCTTTTTTTGGGGAGCGCTCCCCTACTAAGATAGACTTACAGAAAAAAACTGGTACCCTTATTCCAACACAAGCAAACAACCACACAAGCATACAAAAACACAATAACACAAAAACACAAACACACTCTCTACTGGAGGTGAAGGGGCTCTCAAGTCCGAGACCCCAAGACCTCGCTGGATCCGCTTCGGCTTCGGCTTACAGGCGTCGGATGAGACGAAGCGCCTGCTTCGGTTAAATTACCACAGGCCTGCAGGGTGCTCATTGTCGAACTCGGCTTTTCCGCTTGAACAACTGGTCTTTTTGGAACAAGTGAACTCTTGCAGGGGCCCCGGTGTGTTTCTGTATTGTGGAGCGACATATTTTTGCGGGGCTTGTGTTTTAGACTGCTTTGATGAGAGTTTCGGCCCGTAAATGGGGGATTCGGCGAAGGCGTGTTAAATGTTGGTTGCGAAGTTCACGTAGGTTTACGGCCGTGGGACGCACCTGCGCAAAAATCAAGTTAGTTTGCCGCGGCCAGCGGGAAGATAAGCATATTTCTTCACGGTACCGTGGGATATGATTGCCTTGCGGATCAAGCGAGCAGGGTGTCTTCCGAAAGAAGGGGTCGATTGAGGGCTCACTCTCAAAACTCGCTTTTGAGAGGCATATTTGCTTGAAGGCAGTTTGAGAAGGCTCCCTTTCGCCAAAGTTGTTACCCTCAAAGAAGACTTTTGGTTCAGTGCGCCTTGGGACAATCAAAGAATCGGAATCCTCCCATGAAACATGACAACGGGCCCCTTCCGGCTCCATGTCAGATGCCCCACGTCCAAAAAAGACGTCCCAATATCTAAAAAGACAGCCAGACATCTCTCCCAACATGTCTTGGTGGTTCCCAGCCATCCGGTTCCTTAGCTTTTTAGCCTTTTAGTGTTGAGTGGTAGTTGCCATTTCGCCCACGAAAAAGTTCGTCACTTTCAGGCAGCCCAGATGTGCGGGAGCAGTTCCTCATGGGAGGGTGAGCTTCTGGTTCTCAGGGTGACTGGCACGCCCAACGTCTACGAGGTGCACCGGCACAAGCTCAGGCCTCAGCTCGCTCGTGAGGCTCAGTCAACCTCCCCCAGCCGGGGCAAAAGCTGCGGGGTTGCTTGGGATGGTCCCAAGCCGTTTGTTCATATGGCTGTGGCTCAAAAAACCTGTAATTATCCAAAATGGGTTGCCCTGGTAAGTGGAAACATGGACCAAAACCTGCGGTTTGCCCCTCCTGGTTAATTTTGAGCCACACCCATATTCAACCCCTCAAGCTCTCCCAACCTCCCCTTCCTTAAGCTCTCAAACTCCCCTAGTGTGAAGATTCCTGAGGAAACCTACCGTGGCCGGCATGCGGATCCAAACTCTAGCTTTCCTCGCAGTAAGTTGCTGCCTCAGGGGGTCGTTTAACTTTGTTGGGAAACCAGACGGGGAAGGCGGCGGCAGGTGCATCCTATGATATTTGAGGCCCATTCAAAACCCCCACCTTAGACCCGAATCCTCGTAAGGATAGTTGGGTAGTTGCGAGAGACCCTGCCGGTGAGCTTTCAAAGCCGTCAACCGAAAACTGGACACATGGCCATGGGTCAGAATCCCGTGCCCCAAGCGAACATCCCAATCCCGACTAAAATAGGTTCTAACATGGGTGGTGAATTTACCTACCAACCAAAATGGGATCCCAAAACGGTTTTGACCACCACAGCCACATGGTCGTGTCTTTCTTTGAGGGTACCCTGAGAACGCTCGAGGCCCGCCATGGACGTGGACCTTCCGGGGGAGGAGCGACACCGGTGTTGTTGGCAAACAAAGAAACAAGCAAAGCCAAACCAAACCAAACCAACCAACAAAAAACAAACAATCACACAAACAAACAAACACACACACACAAACAAACAACCAAACCAACAAACGAACGAACAAACAAACACACATGACACGATGACACGATTGACACGATTGACACGATTGGAATTCAAATAAAGGAAACACACCAGCGTGGACCCTTATCTTTTTTGTGAGCTACCGTTACTAGCTCCAACATGGCACCTGCGCAGCGGGACTTTGCAGGTGCTGTAGTGAGGCAGATGCGAAATGGCAAACAACATGCAACCAGCTTTCAATCCTGCACTTTGCATTTTACGGCAACCGGCTTTACTATGAGTACACTTGAGCCACAATCAAAACCGGGGTAGATGAAGGTTAGTAAGGGACAATCCCAACCAGAAATAGCTGCGGCCGCCTTCTTAATTTACATGGCTCTGGGTAGACCATTTTAGTACCGGGTTTGAGCAAGTGACTCACTTGAATAGCGGGAAGATCCACTCCATGTTGGTCCGGCTTTGCCACTTCGGAACCCTTCTTTGGCCCTTCCTACCAAACCGGACCCCTCCGGATATGATGTACCAAGCATCAAGGCGGCCCCAAAACCCTTAAAATCCCTCACAGTCCTTTTGCGTGTGATGATTGCTTGCTCTGTCCTCAGCATGCTTTGGGGGCTGCAACATGTTTGGAGGCTGCAACAAAGCGACACACACCGAGGAAATGGGCTCATAAACGTCGATCGTGGTTGTGTAAACAATAGGGAGTGACATGTTTTTACCCAATTTGGGTGCAAGATCAGGGGAAGACCAACTTTTGGAGAACTCCCATGCGTGCTTTCCCACGCTAACCCGGCGCCAAAAAAGGCGTCTTTGCCAGCACGGAAGTTGGTTTTGGGAACTGGTTGCGAGGCTTCCGGAATTGGGGAAACCATGGTCATGCCCCCATGATGTGAGCAACCACCTGTCCAGCAGGCAGATAGGATTCACTAAATCCAACAAACAGGGGGACTCACTACCCAGGCAAGCTTTGCATGTGCATTTCATATGCATTTTCTCTCCAGCGAGAGCCAGACTAAATTATGGGTTTGGTTCAAACTAGGGGACACCTGAAATGGTTGTTGCTCTTTGTGGATTCCGGCAAAGGCAGCAACAGATTTCTCCCAAAACAAGCAGTAAACATGGCTATGGAGCTTCGTGGGGAGGTGTTGAGTAAATCACCAGCATTCCAGTATATTTTGAACGCCTTTGTTCCATGTCTAGGTTTTCCCCTGATGGAGTGTTGATAGCTCATTCCTTTTGAGCACCGGGGTTTCTGTGGATATCGTGGATCGGTTGACAATCTGAACGCCTCGCCTTGGCTTCATCCAGAGGCACACAAGCAGAGCACAACTGTCATAACTGTGGCTCAAAAAACCGGTACCAAAATGGAACCCTGGTAAGTGGAAACATGGACCAAAACCTGCGTAAACCCAGCTCTTTAATTTTGAGCCACACCCATATGTACCTTTCCCCCAAAAAGCATGGACTCGGACAGGAGGGTTTTGGAAGATAGCCGTTTGAAGGGGAGCCCGTGGCTTTGTCCAGTTCCAGAATCGTTGGACAGAGTGTAAAGCCACAGTACCAATCATCCCCATATCCGACAACATCAATCAACTCCCACGGAATGTTGGCACAGGATAGCCTGTAGATGGACGAAATCCTGCACCACCTAACCCTCAAACAATTGGATTCCCCTGTCAACATCAAGAAGCAGTACGGGTTCAACCATGGTTTCTTTAGTGCGAGTTGAATTTGTCCATCCAGAGTATCAATCAGGGAGAGCCACTGTTTGCTGGTATTAATAGGGGAGTCATCATTCCAGTTGCTTTTTTCTTTTTCGGTGCGATGTCTGGACCTCGCAACCATCCAGATGTCCCATTGTAGCGTCGTAATTTGTCGACGCGAGCCCAGCGCAAATTCTTTCGAGGACCATCTGATGCACCATGACCCCGAGATGCAGGAGAAGCGCTTCCTGCGGCAGCGCGTTGGGGCGCCATGAACCTTCGGGGCTTGAAATTTGACGCTTCGGGCAAAGAATCACCGCGCCAAAAACATACCGAGCTCACTCCGAAAGCACCCAAATGGAGGTGTCTTGGTTGAGGGCACCCTTTTTGGGGTTGAAGGGACACCAAAAGAGAAGTCCCTGTTGTTTTGTGCGAGGGGGCGGGTATCCCAAATTTCCGCCAAACGCAAATGATCCGTTGGCCCCCGCTCCCCTTTCGACACATTAAAACAGACATTCGCCGGGAGGCTTGCCAGCTAGAAGGGGGAGCTAGTTCGATCGTACAGGTGTTGTTGTCACGCAGGATGGGACATTCACAGGGGATAAAGCATATCCGGTGGGTGTCTTTGATCGCCCTAATCGCCGGAGCATGTCCCTAGCTTCCTTCAATGTCCGTGTTTTTAAGTTTGATTTCGAATTTGGAGCATCGACTCTCTGCATATCTTGGTAGTTTCCAGCCATCTGGACCTTAGGTTTTCAGGTTTTTAGTTGGTTTAGTGGTTGGGTGTTCATTTAACCACCAAGCAAGTTCGTCGCTTTAAGCAGAACATCTGAAAGCGGACAGCCCAGATATTTCCAAGCACCTGGCCAGCCAATCCGAGTAACATCTCGGCTTCGTGTGGACCAGATGTGCCACTGTTTGCCAGCAGCCTGGGGCGTCCTTTGGCAACCCGTCAGACCATCCAATTGACCCCACGGAGAAAAGGAAAAAAAACACATCCAAACAGTTCCAGGCTTTGGGACCAAATGCTGGCGTGCGTTGGGGTGCTTCAAATGCCTTGGGCCAAGGGACGCCCACAGCATGATTTGGAAAGAAAGGTGGGTATCTGGATCCGAGATGGTGTCGGCCACTTCCGGATCGCCTGTCTGGACAGGTGTTGCCATAAAACCATGGTGGGGGTGGCAACCATCAACAGATGGGTCCCAAAAGGTCTGCCAAACCGGACCGAATAAAGGCTTCAAAAGGACTGCCCTGAAATCGGTTTTTGCTGGGGGAAAGCCCAAAACATGGTTGTTGTTGGGAAACATTTTACATTTTTGCGGGAAATCCCCACTTAACTGCTTTTGCTCCCTTACCAACGTCAACCCAGAAAATGGATGTGGTTTGTGTTCGGGTTCCCTTGAAAACACTCCTGAAAAGGAGTCCATTTCTCGGATTTTGGATCTCAGGTCACCTACCAAGCGGTGCCGGGCAAGTACGAGAACCCCCCTGCGAACCGCAAGGCCCAGGCGCCAGGGAGAGCCGGCTCTTGAAGGGAAGGGAATGAGCCGTAACCATCCCTTGTCACCCAAATGGTTTGGTTGTTTTCGGGGATTGCCTGACCAATTAACATGGTGTCCGCTTCACAATTAGCCGTTTTCTCCCGGGTCGCTCAACATCCATTTGGAAGGCTTTGAGAAGGCAGTGGCTTCTCTGCTTGTGCCAATCTCCCACTATGGACGGAATGTGGATTTACATTGGGGACCCCTCTGTAAACAACGCGGTGTGGGGGGGAGTTGGGTTCTTTTGATTGAGACGTTGTGGACCATGATCTAAAGATGTGAGTGTGTCATCTCTTTGCCCCTCCCGCCCAAAATTCTGGTTTTGCTCCTGGTGCCCTTTTGAAACCACAACAAAAGGCTTTGCGGGGTACATTCAAAAGAAGGCAGACCCATGTGGTTGTTGGTTCGGGGCAAAAGCTGCAGTGTTCATCCCTCGGCATCCCGTTTCGTGAGCAATTCTGGAAGGGTAGGCTTCCTATTGAGCCCCAGTAGTGCCCGTTTACCCGTTTTTTGGGGGAGGGTTCCCCTACTACAATTGACTACAGAAGAACGGGTACCTGTATTCTAACCTCTCTACTGGAGGACCTAGCTGTTTTGAGGAACCGCTTGGCCTATTGAAGTAGACACCTTGGATATGAAGGGCTCCAACTCTCTTGTATTTGACGATTTGAAGAATCTGTAATTGACGAATCTCCTTGAACCAAACCCAAAGCACCCTCCAACTCTACCGACCGAAGCGGCCCGAAGCCGAAAGCCAAAGGAAGCCCAGTTGTCCAAAGCCTGGGCTTCCTGAATCTGATTCAAAACTTGAACGGGGCAACCCACCAAAAGCAGAATGTACTTCCCGTTTCGAAGGTATCTGGCCATCATAACCTATGCATTTCTCCATTTTGGGGCGGATAAACACCCATGTACTCCACATTTGGATGTTAATCAGGGGTACAGGGTTTTGACCCACAGCCATCTATCATTTCAGGGGAAGATGTCTCTAACAGCTCCAAACAACTCAAGCATCATCATAAGTTTTGGTCAACCTGGCCGTGCCCTTGTTTTTTGCCGACCCTTGTTTTGTGTGCTGTTGCCGCTATAGCTTTTTGTTGCGGGCCATTCCTAAGCAAGAAGACGCCCGAAATGATAGGATTTCGTGGTACTTGTGGGTTTGCCGCGCTCGTGTACCCTACCCTTAAATCCTTTGGATGGACGAAATCCATTTCGCACTTAGAAACCAAGGTTGAAACCACAACGTTTGTTGGTATGTACGTTGGGGACTCGTATAATTCCAGAGTTTCTGAGTGCTGCGATTCCTGGATGCAACACATCCACAGGCTGAATCACTGGTTTGCGGTTGCAAACCAACCGGCATCGTTTGGCTAACCTGTCAGGCGGTCTACTAACCCCTCCCGCTAGAAGATCCCCAACAACTTGATGGCTATTTGGTCGGATCTTTGCAAAAACCTTAACTTTCTTGTTGAAACAGGTCGGATTTCCGACTCGCGCAAAGCTTAACTTGTTGCAGAGGGGTCGTTACAGTAACCAGGACTTTGGTGCCCTTTAGACCAACTTACGACCTCGAGACCGAAAGGGATCGGAAGCTGTGTTTGCCTTCCTTGGGCCGTTTCCAATACAAGTAGAAGTGAGCCACTCGCTCAAAGCACGGGCAGAAGGTCAGGGATAATCTCAACCATTTTCTGAGCGCCTTCGCCGCCTTCTTAATTCTTGAAGCATGGGTCTGGGATTACGACCATTTTAGTACCGATCGGTCTTGATTATGCCTGAATTGTTGGGTGCGGTTGTTTTTCTCCCCCAAGCGCTCGGAAGGCGTGGGCTGGGCGGCAGGCACTCAGAACCTGTGAGAGTCTCGTGTCTCCAGACAGGACTCAAAGCCTCCATTTCCCTTAGCGCCAGCTATGGAAAGCACCAGGAAGTTGCAACCTGTCAACAAATCCGGTGACCTGCAAACTGGGACTTGTTTCCTCTTGGTTGCCCATCAAACCGTTTTTGTTGGGGGGGTTGGTTCCACGTCTGGGGCACGCCACCGCCCCTTTTCAGAAATTTTCAACACCCACCCCAGCATCCGCCCGTCAGGCGGTCTCACCAAAGGGCATCTCCAAGAGGCCCACAACTCAAAGTGCGCGGAGCCTCAAGCACCGGCAGACAGATGGAGCTGAAGGTGTTCAAATGAGCCACTTGCTCAATAGGGTAGATGAAGGTTAGTAGGGGACAATCCCAGCCATAATAGCTGCGGATATTCGTTTTTAAATTTCCTTACATGGTTCTGGGTCAACCATTTCAATACCGGGTTTTGATTGTGAATGGCTCCCCAAAAATCTGAATCCCCAACATGGCACCAGAAGGTAAAATGGAACCCAAAGACTAACAAATGCGGTTTGCCCTAGCTCTTTAATTTCGACCCCGACTTGTATGGGCAAGTTTCGGGGGTATATTCGTCCACGACCGACCTGTGACTTGCTCTTACGGGTATGTCGAATATGAGTTTGGCGAACCCATGTTGCGTGGATGCTGCTCAGGCATTTCCATTAACCACAATCTTACTTCTCGTTCGTGAATGTTGGCAAATTTGTGCCAACATTACAATGTCTTTTTTTGTCGGAAGTCTGGACACGCGTCCTCTGGATTTTGCGGGTTCCCCCAGAAAAGCGTGCCTTCTCAAGGGTTGGCACGTCTGTTTGCCAGCCTTGGCTCTGGCTAGATACTTTTAGGCATCACCGGTTCAGAGGCATCACCAGCATCAGTGGCATCACCAGCAGCAGCAGCACAGGCATCACCAGCAGCCATGGATGCGGATTTGCACGTCGCACATCGCCAAACAAAACAGACTCGGATTTTGTTCCGGGCCTTCTCCACATTTTGCGGGCCTTCTCCGGGTTTTGCGGGCCTTCTCCGGGTTTTGCGGGCCTTCTCCGGGTTTGCGTGCTCCCCCAACCTCTGCGTGCTCGCTCATTTTTATCTTTAATGTTCTAAACATATAAAAAGTTGAGAAGGCACCGTCCACTTGGGAAAAGCCTATGGCCAAAAATGAGGTACCTTACAGTAAAAAGGCACATCAACTTTTCCCCGGGGTATCGTGCCTTCTCAGTTGTTTTTTTTTCCCCGGGCGGTTCGCCCCCCCCCAGCTGGTTCTGGGTCGGCCTGATCGGGTCCCGTGTTTGATTTCTTGCTAATCCTAGCTGGTTTTGGACCACAGGGGAAACAACAGGGTTCCATTTCCAGTCCCAGAGGCCCAGATGGCTTGTGAAACAGCGCCAAAAGAGAAAGAGTACTCAGTGCGCTGAGCCTTCGTGTGGGGGGGGGGGGGGGCAGCTGGGAAAGCAATCATCACGTAAATTCATGTCTGGGTATAGTGCCCTTTAGAACGGTTCCAAGCATTGAGAAGGCATGGTCCCCTGGAGAAGCCTCGGGGATGGGGGTCCAGACCCTCGATATTGGGGGGAGAGGGGGGGGGTGATGAAACATAGGGTGGCCCACACTAATCAAAGGATACCCGGGCCGTTCCAAGACAACACACGAGTCGCATGTGCGGTTTGATTAACTCACTTCCTGAGTTCATGAACTCTATTTTTTTAAAAAATGGAAGACCATTTTAGTGGCCAATATAAAGTTTAAACGGTTCACATCCCAAAGGCTGAGATCCGATCAATCAATACGGGGCCTTGGGCCGGTATTATGAACTCCTAGCCCACGGCAAGGGCGAGGAGGAGGCAAAGCGAATCCTGAAGGCCGAAGAGGCACGGTTGGCTGCGGAAGCCAAAGAGATGGTTAGACTTGAAGCGCACAAGCGCAAACATTTGGAAGAGGAGAGGGACATCGTTTTCCAGCAGGAGGTTAAGGCCATCGACGAGTCCAAGAAGAGCATTCGCGACAAATGGGCTGCCCAGAGCCCTACCATCCCTTTGCCTTCACCCATTGGGATTGGGTCTTTAGCCGATGTAGTGACCTCGGGCGGCGCTTTGGGCAGCGGGGCCAGCCCGCAAGTGGTGCAGACGGCTCTGTCTTCGCCCCCGGCTGCCCAGTTTTCATGTAGGTCTTGTTTGACTAGGTCCCCCAGTAGTCCCCTTTCTCACCCCTTTTTGGGTTGGGAGGGTTCCCCCACTAAAATCGACAAACAAGAAAAAGAATCGGGTGCCCTTTTTCTTAACTCTCAAATCTGGAGGAGCTGGGTTGACTTGCTGGTTCTCAGGGAATGACCTTCTGGGGTTTGGGAATGAACTTGGGGATTCCCTTCAAGGAGCAAGGGGATGGTTCATAGGGCTCGTTCTACGGGAGGACCTAGTCTAACAGCTCCAAACAACTCAAGCATCGCTAAGTTTTGTTTTGAACCTGGCCGTAGGGTTGCCCCCATTTGCCCCATCCATTTTGAACCTTAGGGCTCCGCATTTCGGGGGTTCGAAGCCTTCGACGCTTCCCGGTTTTCCGCGGATTCGCGACGAAGCGACGAAGCGAAGCGACGTCGCCGGGCCCAGTCACCGCTGCTGCCGCCGGCTGAGCGCGGCGGCGAGAAACGGCCTCCGAAGCTGAGGCCGGGGCTCGGGGTCGGGCTCGATGCCGGGCTCGGGGGAGGGGGAGGGATTTGGGTTTCCAAGTGCTTTTTTTTCTTTTAAATATATATATATATATATGTTCTTTTCTTCCCTTGTTGGTTTTAAAGGGAATCGATTTCATTACTGGAAATAGCTTTATATTTTTCCGGGGGCGAAAACGCAAATGTAAGTGGGGATTCACAGGTTTTAGTCCTTGGTCCCATTTACCGGGGTTCCATTTTGAGCATACATCAACCAATGGGATCCCATTTTGGGGCAGGTGCACCACCCATTTTAGAACCTATTTTAGTGGTTGGATTGGGATGTTCACTGGGTGTACGGGCTTTTGACCCATGGCCATATGGAGATGTATCAAAAAGGTCCTTGCAAAAAGCTGTGCTAGGTCCCCCAGTAGTGCTCTTTCTCTCCCCTTGTTTTGGGGAGGGTTCCCCTACTAAAAATACTACAGAAAAGAAGGGTACCCTTATTCTAATCTCTCTACTGGAGGACCTAGTATGTATTTGGTGACCATTGGTGTTTGTTTGAATCCCTCGGCGAAAGATGCGTGTTGTAGTTCGCGAAAGATGTTGTTCCGCAAAAACAATCCACGTTGGGTTCGTGCAGACATGCCTGTGCGCTTGCAGACAGGGAGATACGCAGCACCTTTACTTGCATCCTTCCCAGGAATGCGAACCAAAACGTTGGCTGGGCTATCCGCGAAAGACCGGCGAAAGCCCGTGGAGCTTGTTGCAAGGTTCCGCTCATCCCCGGCAAGCTCAAGTGGCAAGGGCGAATGGTAGTGACTGCTTTGCTTTCACTTAACTTTTCTGCAAGCCTCCCAGCGCAGTTGAACTGCGTACGGCGTTTGTGAGCAGAACAGCGGCCACAATGGCTCCAGAGCGCACGCTGGAAACACAAGGCCGTGGTGATGGAGTTGCGGAAGATTGGCAAAATACACTTTTTCTCGCGAAGATGACGTTGTACGGGAAAATTGATCAACTGGGGGCACGGCCTCGCGGCTTGTAGGATGAGGGAGCCGCCTCGCCAAAGGAGACGAGGGAGTCGCCTCGCTGCAGCTGAGTAAGTTAGGTGCTCAAACCATGAGCAAACATCAAGCGCAACGTTTGTTAAGCAGCGCTGTGCTTGTGGTTGACCTTATGAGTATGTTTGTGTATACCTGTGTGTCGATCTTATCTATGTTCGTCCATGTTATCATGGTGTTTTTCCCCAACAACTGAAAGCTTTGGAGTCTCAGCCCAGATAGGCTCCGGGGTGGTCCGGGGCGGCCCTGAGGTAAGGTTCCCCCAGGGTTCCACCAGGGTTTCATGAGGGTTCCACGAGGATCTGCGAGGGCTGCGATGTGGTGCGAGCACTGCTGGGGATATCACTCGAGCTTATGTTGAGTTGGCAAACTTACCGGACGCAGTGTAGGGAAAAAACACATTTTCCCGCATTTGCGCAGCTCTCGCTGAAAGAAAAGCGGAACAACAGAAGAGCAAGAACGCTCATTTGCCAACATGGTGACTGAGTGCGAAGGAAATGCCGCAGCAGCGACATTGCTCGACGAAGAACAGATGGTTTGCTGGCATCAAGCCAACCGGCCATGGAAAGAAAAGTATCGGGCAGCGGCCTGACATGCGCTACTTGTTTGCTCTCTCTTTCATGATTAGTTTTTCTTGTTTGCTGCGCGTGGGAGTATATATATGTTTTTTGTTTGTGTGTGTAAATGTATGTGCCTTGATCGAAAGTCCAAGGTCCTACGTACTTGCGTTTGGTAGCGCTGGTCAGGGTTCCCTTAATCGGGAACTAAGGCAACGGCAATTCCGATTCAGGGAGCCATCGCCATTCCGTCTCATTGTTTTTTCCAAGGCAACCCTAAACGAAAACACATGATGAGCAACCGATAGTATTGCAGTCATGTTGGCTTCGGAAGAACAAAAAGAGCAACCCAAGCGTTGAGGGGGATAAGCAACCCAAGGGTTTTTTGGTGGGGGTTGCCCGGCCAACATTGCACCTTCATGAGGGGGGTGAGGGGGGCCCTTTGAAGAATGCAAAAAGGATGTCCTCTTTCCTCCTTTTCCCTCCTTTTCCCCTAACCACTGGGCCCAGAGACTTTGGCGCTTGATAGGCTTCTTCATTATTTTGTTGACAGTCAAGGCTCAAAATGCTCAACTTTGTTCCGGCGGGGCTGCCCGCAATTGGAACCCCTACTTCTTGATGAAACGAACTGGGGCAATCTAAACCGCCGATCCGAAAAAACAAGGTGACCAGGAGTTGGGTCTTGACTTCCGGGCATGTGAGAAGACTTTCTTTCAACCCGACTCGCATGGCCAGGCCGGTGTCAAAAGGCCCCGACATGCTGCGAATGCTGGCAGACGGCGGAGTCCCCAGCGTTTCCGACTCCTCCCAACACGGCTTCTGGATGAGTCTCCTCGTGAATGAGGGTACTCCGTGGCACGTGTTCACTCAGCGCAAGAACAGGGCTTCCTCCATTTCCTGTTTGGAACCACCAAGAAAAACCCCCAAAGTGGCCATCGTTTCAGAAGCCGCGAGTAAAAATTGATCAACTTTCACCAGGGAGTCCCGCGGGCGCTAAGCTGGTTGTAAGAAGGGGCCAGTTTGCCCGGTGGTCCCCAGTTGATGGGGACGGGCACTTCCAACTCACCGATCGATCGGGAGCAGCGCGCACCTTTGCCAAACTTCTTTAAATGTTTTTTGTTCTTTTCGAAATGGTGTTTAGATGGGTACGACGGTATGACTGGTGCTGGAGGAAGGGGACAAACACATGTTTGGGCGGGTTTGGCACCTAGATGGTGCGATGAGGGCTTTCGGAGAGGGTGTGTGAAAACCTTGGGAGTCCTCCCAATTCAATTAACAGGAGCCTGTTGTATGACCACGCTTGCATTGTGCCCCGCCTTGAAAGAGGCACTCTGCTCGAAAGGCGCACTTGTTTTTGAAAAAAACCCGCCCGTATCCCCAAAGGAGTGGTTTCCTTGCCGTTGCTTTCTTTCAGCATCCGAGCAAGGGGCCCAAGTTTTCACACACACCCACACAGACATGCGCCTAATTGACCGTTTGCCGACATGCGGGGACTTCCAAATCCTCCTTCCGGGGAGAAGGGACCAAGTGAACCATTCAATATGTGTATTTAGCAAGTGAACTATTCAATATGCGTATTTTTTTGGGGGCGGGATTTCCCCCGCCCCCAAGTGAACCATTCAGTCTGTTTTTTTTTGGGGGGAAAAAGACCCCCGGATGGTTTTCTCTTGGTTCCCCTTTACCAACCCAAAAGGTTGGCCCATGTTGGCCCCTATGGTCTCCGTCAAACGGAGCTTGGAGCAGAAACTTAAAATTGCAAATGTTAGCCATTGTTATTGGTTTTATATAATAGACATATATATCTTCTCTATTTTGGCCCAACTTTGTGTTTGGTCATCATTTCGGTGCGGATTTATGTCCACCAACCAGGCAGGCGGGTTTTTCTACTGATATTTCAATAGCGATATAACCGGTTGTCTGTGAGAAGGTTGCATGAGGCTTGACTTGAGGCTTCGGGCAAATCGCGCCTTGGGATGTCGAACGCAGCACTTGGAGTCGACCACCTTGGACCCCAACTCATGCACGCGCCGATGCACAGCCTCAGGGTCTCAGTGGCCGTTTTGGTTTTAGGGGGTGGTATAGGGACGGGGCAAGCCGGGGGTCTTTGGAATCAAGGCCCATTTGCCAATCTGGTGACTCCCGGTTTCCGCTCGGACGATGCGCATGTGGGTTTTTCAGTCCATGACACATGCGGGTGAGCTTCGAAAGGGGTCCCAACCCGTGTCTTGCGTGTCAGCCCGGGATTCATCAGGGTGTCTACTGTATGTGGTCTTTTGGCTTTTGTTGGGGCTGGTCCGCCCATGCTTGCGACACTATCCGAAAAGAATGAGCCGTGGGGGGTGTCTGAAGTTGTGTTGGTGACGGGTTTCCCCTTCTTGTCCGGGCTGCCACTTTCTGTGATACCAAGCAAATTCCCCTTTGAAGTGACCAAGCTGTCATACTGATGGACCAAATCCTACACCAGTTGGTAGGAGGTGTATCCCATTTTTGGTCCATCCCAACTGCAGGATTCTGTCCATCGGGGATCACCGACGTTGGTCCGCTTTGTACCAAGGAGCACTCCCATCCCGGATTTTCCGGCCCATGTGAGGGCCATTGGGGGTTTCGGCGCCTTGCGGCGTCGGGGATGGTTTTAGTGGCGAAAGTCTCACAGGCCCAACCCTTCAAACGGCGCAACAAGAGCCAGCCTTTTGGATGGATTCTGTGAGGTTTCTTTGTCGCGTTTTCTTCGGTTGTTGGGCCTTTAGTAGGATGCAGCCGCCTTAGGTTTGTCAATGACTGCATCCAGCATCCAAGTGAAGAACCCGCTCCCGTTTAGTGGTAAGTAAGAAGTTCGGGCGCTTTCTTTGGGCAGCCCACTCAGGAAGGGAGAGAACCAACGAAAAATGCGGACAGCGAGAACTGTCTAGATTGGGCGCCAACCAAAGCAAGCCAAGCCACCAACCCAAAGAACCAACGCGGAGTCAAGTGAAGATGCTTCAGACGCGTGCCGGAGCGGCAGTGGATGCTGGAGTTGCTCGTCCGCGCGGGTTTCTCTCTGCGCGGGATAATGCACGAATTGGCCAGATGTCAAAGAAAAGGATCATGGGGGCCGGGGGGGAGGGAAGGGGGCGGGGGGGGGCACCCCCAATTAGGGGCTTAAGGGCTTATTTGGGCTCCCTCCCCCTCCCTCCCCCCCCCCCCATGAAAGGAGCTGCGACCTCGGCTCGAGGGTTGGTGGAAGGAACCTCTGGCCTCGCCAAACTCATTGCTGGCTGGCCCAGTTGAATTAGCTGTGACTGACGCTGGCCTGTGTTAAACATGTCAGCCTTCCATGTTGAGCTCCTGCTGAAAGGGGCATATTACTTAGTGGTTAGTAAGCTTGGTTATAATCCACCTACCATGGTTATAAGTCAGAGACCTACGAAGCGGTTTGGCCGGACAGGGTGGATCGGAATCGCTGGAGGGGTCTCGCAATTTGTTCACCAAACCTTAACAGTGACCGAGTTCCTTTCAATTTGCCCTCAAGGAACATTTCTCGGCTCACTATTGATACGCGACCAGCCTGCAGCGCCCTTATAAACGCCCTACATTCTCCCCTAGAAACATCTTTTGGCGCTTCCGTTTGAGCAGAACCCTGTCAAACCAGAGGGAATTCCGGGCTTTGGAGGTTTCGCTTTCGCGCGCATCGCCAGCGTGCCACGCCTTGCCACGCCTTGCCACTGGCCTGCGCTGCCCGTTTGCCAAGCGCACGTGGCCAAGTTGCAGGTGCACTGTCCGGCCTACATCTTGCGCTATGATTCTCCAGACATCATCGACAACTCCATCATCGATTGCCACAGACAGGACCCGCACTTCCGCTCGTTTTCGAGTCCCTTTCGCAACTTGACCCCTGAAATCAGAGAGTTCCTGAGGATGAAGACTTTGGCGATGGTGAGTCGAAACTTCCTTTGCTGTCCCTTGAAAGCCTATGAAATCAGGGCTGCACCCTGACCAAATAGAGCCATCAGATTTGGAGACATCGTTGTTTGACCTAGCTTGAGGCACTCCCACCCTGGTGATCAAAAAGGGCCCCTTTTGCAGTCGCGCAACGCACGAGTTTCTCAGCACTCCAAGGCGAACTTTTCCGCTACGGCGAACTTTTTCTATTCCAAGCAACCCCCTCACAGGCTCGCAAGCCCCAAGATCACCAGTGTCCCCAACCCCATGTTTCTCAATTTCGTGCTCCTTGCTGGGGGCGCCTTTTTTGTTTTTGTTCAACCCGTTGCGAAAAAGGTGTCCATTCCAGCAACCCCCCACAGGATAATGAACGGGCCGGAAACCACCGGTGTCTCTGGGGTTAACCTCCAAGGCTCTTGTTCTCTTCGGACGGCCTTGGTGCAAGTCTCCCGTATTCCCCCAGAGCACACCAAAACTCACTTCATGCAGAGCCTTCCAAACCCGGAGGGCGCCGAAATATTGGCTAGTTCGCCCCTCCGGAGCTTTGTTTGGCCCATTTTAGAGGGGATCTGGAGGGGGGGTTGGTTCGGAGGGTTTTTGACCCACCCACCGCTCCAAGCTGCCCCACTCCTTCGGCGATCCGAGTCCGAGTGCCGCAGGCGCGGTACTTGTCCTTCCAGCAGCAGTTTGGAGAGCTGCAGCCGCACGAGCAGCTCAGGGAGGAGAGAAAAATTTGGCGGTGCCTCAAAATGAAACGATCGGAGGGGCAAAAAACCGCGGGTTTTGGGCCATGTTTTTTCCACTTCCCAGGGCAACCCATTCATTTTGGTGCCGGTTTTTTGGGCCACGCCCATTTGGAGTTTGTGTTTTTTTGGGGGGGCCGCTGGCCACTGGTTGTGGGTGGTTTTACCCCTTTTGCTCACTCCCTGAGTTCCGGTTTCGGACTTGACTCACTTTTTAGGGGGTCTGGCCATTTCGGGTTTGGCGCAATCCCATTTTGCTCGGTGTCTCTTAGAGAAGAAGGCCAAAGGACGACCCAGCATTTGGGGGTCACCTGAACAACGAGACACCAAGATAGGGATTTGGACCCAACACAAATGGTGGTGTTCCTTTTCTCACTTTCTGAGTTCATGAACTTTAAACTTTTTGGGAAGACCAGCTTGAAGACCATTTTAGTGGCAAATCTAAAGTTTGGACTTTTTTTGGGCCATCCACTCAGGCAGTGAGTTTTGGTTTCACTTTGAATGGATCCGATTTTGTGGAAACGAGCTGACTGATTGGCAGCTAAAACGGGCGAACATCTATGATCTGGACTTGGGGATCCATTTCTGACCGGACAGGCCGTGAAGAAAAGATGGCGTTTCTCTGAAATCAGCACGAGGGCGTCACCCAAAAGTGATTTATGTATCCCCACTCGCCCAGCCGACCCTTCGACCTTTTGGTTTGCCTTGTTTGGTACATTTTAGTCAGGTCCCGGAAGATTAACTTTTTATTTCTGGGTCCTTGGGGCAACTGAGTATCTACACTTGTGTGTTGGTTTTCCCTGGCAATCCTGTAGAAGAGTAGAACCTGCTTTCCTGTCAAAAGATGTTATCAACAAGACAGTGAAAGCTGGCAGGAGGAAGTATGAATGTTCCCATGCAAGAATTGCGTACGGGGATGTAAAATCGGGGGGCTCTTTTGGAAGTTGGTTTACAAGGGAATCAAAGGCCGGTTGTAGAGGTTCTCTTTCTTAGGCAGTACCCATACCCAAAATCGTCTAGAATACAGAGACTGAACATATATCCCTTGGATGGCACTAAGTCCATGTGCTTGTCTGCATCTTTGACTTTGAATCATTGCAGTTTGGTTTTGTCTTCAACATGGGAAAAAGGAATCTTCGAAATGAGGCAGGTTCCCTTTAAAACACAAAACAGTTTGCCCTCCGTTCAAGACACTCATAAGAGTTCACCTGAGATGAAGTTTGGAAATTAGTTCGCCCATGATCCATTTGTCGGGGTATGAACTGTAGATGCTTGAAGGCATGTACTGATTATTGCTGATCATTCCTTCGGGTCCGTTATTTCGACTGCTTTCGGGTTATCAACGCTAGAAAGCGGGATCGTTTCCCCGCCTGCCACCTAAAAAGCAACTTGTGCAAGCGTGTTGCTGCTTCCAAGTTACGCACACTGCACATCTTGGTGCTTCTTTTTGTGAGGGTACCCCTTTTTTGTGGTTTTTAAACGGAGTTCAAAAGGAAAGCCAGCATGTTGGAGGGTTCCCCTAAAAAAACCATCTGATTCGGATCTTCACAAGCGGCTGCCAAGGTCCAAGTCTGGTAGCGGTTTTAGGCCACAGATTTCACCTTATGCACAGAAAGAGTCCCCAGACCAACTGCATCCTCCTTTGGTTTTCCTTTGAAATCAGGGTGTCCTTTTAAATCAGCCGGCAGACACCACTTGTTCACGCTCTTTAGTGGGTTTTGGCACATTTCTCCCCTTTGAACACAGAACCTCCCCCTTGCCGCCGGAGGACCGCTACATTTACAAAGCAGTGGAGCAGGCGGGTGAAAAGGGAGTGAAAAGGGACTTCCGTGCTGAACCTCTCTGGTGACGTTTCGTGGTGTGTGAGAGACCTGGGCGCGTGAAAATGCTTTGAAACTCTGGCACAACAGTGATTCTAGCCAATTTGGTGGCTTTGAGGCACAATTCAACCGGGAGAAACGAGGTTTATAGGGGGTCGTCTCACTCATGGATTTCTGCGGCAACGAAAGGCCCTTTGACTGCTTTCTATTCGTTTTGGATAGACCTCTGGCATACCAGTTTTTCCCCAACAGCTGAAAGCTTTGGGGTCTCAGCCCAGATAGGTGCCGGGGTGGTCCGGGGCGGCCCTGAGGTAAGGTTCCACGAGGGTTCCACCAGGGTTCCACTGCTGTTGGGGATATGACCTGCTTATTGATATGACTCAAATCGTGGGCGGCTGCCAACGCTCGGAGTTGATTTGGGGTGAGTCTTATTTGAAGGTCAACCTTCAGAGGTCGTATTTTTGCCACGCACGGGTGTGGAAGCCCGGTCACTGTTGAAAGTCAACCAACAAAGGAGGTCCTGCTTTCCACTGGTCGCTGCGCAAGTAGGCAAGGACCCATGCAAATGGTTGATCGCCTCAGAAAATCTAGGGATGAACGCGGGCGTGTCCGCAGGGAACTTCCCACCAAGTTGATCATTTGTCTACTCGGTGTCAGCCAAACAAAGCCAGGGACAGGGCGTTTTGTTTTTTTCCACCCACACGAGACAAAAAAAAGCTACAGGGCAAGACAAGATAAGTTGGGCATCATTCCCAACCTTGCAATTGGGGCTCCGCTTCGCTCCGATGTGACTCACCATGTGCTTCCCCCGCAACTCCCACCTTCCTTCTGGGACTTTCAGGAAGACTCCTTTAATTACATTGCCGACATACTGTGGATGGACGAAATCCATTTCGCACCACCTAAGAAACCCTAGAATGATTCGATTCCCCTTTAGATACCAACAAACAATAGTTTGCCATGGTTTCCAATTGGTGCAGGATTTCACCCATCCACATATATCCGTTTGTTCTTTTGAGTTGGCTTCATTTTCCGTTATCAGCAAAAACAACCGTTTAGGTTTTTGTGAGTCTAAGCCTGTCCAAGTTGTTTTTTGGTTTTCCTTTTTTTGTTTGCGGGTCAACGCAAGCAAGCCCTTTTGTCCCAGTTGTGGATGCTTCTTTGCGGGCGAAAGTGCGGCAATGACGTGTCTCTGCTTGGTGGCTAGTGGGATTCAAATGAGGGTCCAATCACAGCAACAAATCCTTATAGGCGATTGTTCGTTTGCGGACGTGGGGGAGCAAACGCAAATCGTCCACGGGGCCCGCCCGATGTTCCCAAGTCTTCTTGGGGGAAAG